CGTGGCAATCGAAACTGACAACCTTTTTCTTTGGATTTCTTCACGGAGGCATTGCTGATTTTCCAAAAATTTAGTTTTTTTTGAAGCTGAGACTTCGTCATTTTGGACCGGTTGAATAAATCTGAGATCCGCCATTTTCAACCTATGGAATACCTTAAAAAAATATTTTGAATTGACCTTTCTGTACCTTCCCAAAGTTATGCGAAATTAGCGGATCAAAGAAAATGGCAAGCCTCAGCTAGCACGAAAGTACTCCAAGTGCGACGCTCAGATTTCCTTTTAAATTTTGAGCATTTATCAGGCATAGGCCACGTATCAATTCTTGAAAGTTGTAGCTCTTTCATTCAAGGGACAGCCGACATATTGAACGATCTTTGCGGCCGAGAGAGTACGCGAAATGCGGAGAGCTGTCAGATAGAAAAACACTTTTTGGCCGTATCTTTGCCAGTTTCGCGGGGAAAAAATTGATTTTTTATGGAAGCATTACCCTCTACGGTAGAAATAAGTATAAAACTTTTTCATGCCAAAATTGGCCAAAAAAATTTCGCATTTTTTCCATCTTTTGATCAAAAAACCTTGATCGTTTCGCTATAACTCGAGCTAGGAGGCTTGAATATTTCCTCGGCATTTAAAAGTGAATGTTTTAGTGAAGCGCTGTGGAGGCAATTTACGAAAACGGCCGGGTTTTTAGGGTACCAGCTAGGGTACCATTGCCCGGCTTCAAGCTGCGGAAACTGGGGATTTGTGCTGGAAAATGGGGCCGTTAGTCAGTATTTGTCATCATACTGGTAATTTTGTGATACTGAATGCATCTCCTGACAATTTCGACCGAAAAATTTCGGTCGTTTTGCTATAGCACGAGATAGAAATATTGCATATTCCATAGAAAAAATTATTCGAAATTTGTGTCACGTTTCATCGAAATTTGAACGTCTTACATTGACAACTTCCCTTCTGGAAAATCAATATAATTTCTCCAAATTTTCAAATTCCAACCCCAATTTTTCATTTTTATGACTTGTTTTCTGATCCGTCTAGCCTCCCCTCTGACCTTGTCCCATCGCCTTCATCAAAGCCGTTTTTCAAAAACATTTCAAACATTTGGCATGAAAACAACCCTTCTCGATAATCATCCGGCTTCACGTGGGTTCAGGCATTTCTGTTCCAATGCTCAGTTGGCTTGAAACAGTTGCGTTTCCGTGGCAAACGTTCGGAGATCCGTCAAAAAATATTTTTGGGATCTTTTGGGACAAAAGGACTGACTTTATTTTGGGTGATCAATCAGGGGCGTGAAAAATGGGGTTTTTTTTTGGGATTTTTTTAATTTTTTGGGATTTTTTTTGAATTGTTTGATTTTTTTTTGAGATTTTTTGGGATTTTTTTTGAATTTTTTGATTTTTTGAAATTTCTAGGATTTTTTAAATTTTTTCGGGATTTTTTTGGATTTCACAGACATTATTAACCAAACTTAACAAAAAGACGACATTTTATACGACGAAACGTGCATGGACTCTCAGGCACGTTTCACCGTATAAGGTGTCACCAAAATAAAAACTTTGTCCCGCATTCAGCTTTATGCGAACTACAGGAAGTATTAGACAAATCGAGCAAAGCGAGGGCATTTTATACGACGAGACCTTTCAAAATTAGCTTCTCTACCACGAAACCTTTCCATAAACAACAAAAAATTTTTGGTCCCTTGCGATTTTTTGTTCAGAGATATGATATCAGTCTGTCGGGAAAATAATGAGCACTCTGTCGCAGCGAAAATTGCATCGTCACCGAGAAAATGAATTTTTCCCAGACGAGAACTTCCTTTTCGACCTTTTACGATGAGCCCTCGAACTTTCCAACCGACTCGAAAATACCCGAAAAAATAAAAAAATAAAAAATTTGTCGGAGGTTAGGCCCATATGTGTTTTTGCGAAGATGGATGGCGCGAGATGGGTTTTTCGCCATTTCCGAGACGCAAAACACCAAAAAACATTTTTATTCCGGGTCCCGCCTTACTCATAGTGCCTTTATTTTCAATTTTTATTCAATTCTGCGCTTATAATTTGAATTTTTTGGGGGATTTTTGGAATTTACAGGGGAAATTACTATAATACATCGAGGTGGGACGCTCAGATTTCGATCAAATTTTGCGCAAATTTAGAATAATTTTTTCAAGGCATATGCAAGACTCCCGGCTCGTCTTTTGGCAAAAATGATCAAGATTTTTAGGTCAAAAGTTGAAAAAATTGGAATTTTTTTTTCATAGTTTCACATGAAAAGTTGCATTCCTTTTTCTACTCTAGAGAGTAATGTCTCCACAAAAAATCAAATTTTTACCCGCAAAACTGGCAAAGATACGACCAAAAAATGTTTTCCTCTGACAACTCTCCGCATTTTGCGTACTCTCTCGGCCCCAAAGATCGTTCAATATCTCGGCTGTCCCTGCAAAGCGCGAGCTACAATTTTCAGGGATTGATATTCAATCTACACCCTTAAAATATGCAAAATTTGGAGTCTTACCTTATGAAATTTTTGATTTTTTGACGAATTTTCACATTTGACATTTTTTTCATTTTTCACTCAAAAATCAAAAATTTTTCCTATTTTTCTGCTTTCAAAGTTTCAAATAAATCCGTCAAATCTGGTCTATAAAGCCGTTCGCCTTTATGACTTTGTTTTTGAAACCTCTGAACCCGAATAACATCTCCTCCGTGACTTGAAAAGAGAGAGGACCCTCATTTACCTGAGCCCATTCGAACGGAAAAGAACGACCTCTCAAAAAAAATCTTTCGGATGACGTTCCAACGGGGATCGAGGACGGCTGTCGGAGGGGTAGGACAAAAACAAAACCAATCTAAAATCTTTGGGGAATGAAGGATGAGTAAGTTTGATGAGGCCGAAAACGTTTGGTTTTCGGCGAGCTGCGGCCTGGGATCAAATCCTAGAGATAAAAAATGGGTCTCTCGTTCTCTACAATTGCATTTTAATAGATCTCCTTGAATTTCCAATCAAAATAAGCCAGTTTTGAGATCGGCGAGCTGCGCCCTAGGCGTTTTAAAAATTGGCAGAGTGCGCCCGAGGGTTCAATTTTAATCGAAAAAATATCATTATTAGGCAAATTGTGACTAATTTCAGAGCATTTTTAAATTTACAAAGGCTTGTTAGATCCCGGCTGCGCCCTGATCTTCGCCGAAAATGGCAGGCTGCGCCCTGGATTTCCACAAAATAGGATCCAAAATTAAATTTAGAATTTATTTTATATAGACTCCATATTTCTTGTGCATTTTTACATGCCCATTTTCACTGTACCTAATCTTAAAATATCCGCAAGCTGCGCCCTAGACTTTTCCAGATGCTTCCCTAATAGCTCCCAAATCATCTACCACCCTGTCTGAGAAATCCATGAGATTTTTAACAGGTCGTATAACGTTCAAATCCCCCATTTATGGCCTCAAATTTCCGCCCATTCCCATTTTCCGACCTCCGAAGGCGCGAGGATCCGCAGTTTTGTCTTTACTTTTTTTAATGTCCCCGCTGAAAGAGGGTTGAAGCGGGCGGAGTGTGTTTCAACTCGAAACGGGGTGGGTTTCATCGGGGTTGGGAGTTTTTTTTTTGCCGAAGTGGCGTGGAGAAAAAGTTTCCGAAAACACCTAAAAACTTCTTTGAGTGAGGTTAACGGAGGGTCTCAGGGGCACAGCCGGCTGTCTCTGAAAATCTGCGGTTTAGAATTTGGAGTAATCAGTTAGACATAAGGGCTTTTATAGCATGTTTTTGGTGCTCTACAGGAGCCTTGTAAATCGAAATCTTACAATTTTTAAACTTTTCGGGCGATTTTCAAGGAAAAAATGAAATTTTCAGCCATTTTTCAATCAAAAAAAATCGAAAAAATGTTATCCCAATCCCTCCAGCGAGGGGCTGACATAATCTTAGACGCAAACTCGCTCTATTTTTACTGCTTATATTATTCTTTCTCATCAATTTTTCCATTAACCCCCTAAAATTCCAAGTTTTGATCAACACTTCCGAAAAAATCGCAAAATTAGATCGCCTAGAGCAATAACAAGCTTCTCTGACCGTATTCCCACTACCGTCAGAGAAGCTTGTTATCTCACATCCAGTTTTGGGAACGCTTCACGAATCCCGCTCTGATCTTTGATTGGGAGTTTGTGAATGCGAATTAAGCAAATCCGGAGAAAAGGAATTAGCAATAACTCCTCGCTTCTGACTCATTGCTTTTGCGGAATTTGAATGAGCTGAAAGGAGAACGTATACGATAAAGAATAAGACAATTTTATATCAAAATATTTAGTTGATATAGCCAAAAACTTAAAAATCTTGACCCTCTATCAGTTATAATAAGAAATCTAGATGTCACCCAAAATTTCACTACTTTTAAGGGGCTCTAATGTTTTTTAAAAGGCTCTAATCACTTTTGAGAGGCTCTGATGACTTTTAAATTACTTCACGCTTCTTCTTCTCCCTTACATTGTAACAATTTGTTGTTAGAAGTTCGCGAACTGTAAGCCCAGGTCTCCCAATCTCCTCTCCTTGCGTAAACTTTTTGTTGTTTCGCTGTGCCGGGCGTTTCGGAACGTCTGACGTGTGGGGGCAGCGACTCCGCCTCGAGGCGGCTCTCCTAACCTTTTCGCTCTCCACCCGTTTCCTCTCACTTAATTTTTTCGGTCTCCTGAAGAAATTATACAAGCCATTTGACTTTGCGACAGTCGCTCTCGATTATTCTTATCCTAAGAAGCGTTTGCAAGCGAAGAGAGCTGGGCGTTTGTATTCTCTGGACTGTAAGTTGACTAATCTTTGATTTATGCATCAGTCTTTCGCAATTCCTCGACTATGTCATCGCCATTTACATCAATATATTATACTTGCCATTTCACCCCAAAATCTGTGTATTTTTGATGATTTTTCGATTTATCGCTCTCCCAACCTATCTTGAAGCAATGTAAATCCAATTAGCATTATTTACAGAGTGAAAGAGAAGTAGTGCAAAGATGAAGTCAGAGAAAACCGTCCGCCGACGACATGTTTACTGTCCGGTCCGAAGCCGCACCGACCACAAATGGCAGGCGCTGCAAAACAAGCGCGACACAATCGCGAAATGGTGAGCTAATTACTGTTTTACGCCCTTCTCAGCCTAGTCGAAAATAACAAAATGAAATGTGTCAAGTCTCCCATTTATAGAAAGACTTGACTCAAAAAAGAGAAACTTGACTCAAAAAAAGAAAAACTTGACTTAAATCTGGCTTTAAAAAAATTCTATCGAAAAATAAGATGATATGAAGTTTTCACAGCATTTGACACAAGAATAGACCCCTTAGAGAAACAGTTGACCCAAAGGGGAAAACATGACCCAAACATTTCCGATTCTTGCAAACCGCCTAAAAACCAAAAGTTTACATCACGCAGAACATTCCATCAGCTGAAAGAAGCCGAAACCCCTCTTCATTCATTGTAAATTCGATGAAAACGCAGATCAATTATCATTCCCAAGGCCGCGTGTCTAAAATTACTCGGTTACAAGCAATCCATCAATTTTTCTCATCATTCCGGTAAATGCAAAAAGAAGATTCTTTACTGTACAGGAACACAGACATTTTATTAAGCCAAGAAATCACAAAAAAAGATTGAAACTAAAAATTCGTTATAGGAAGTCGATGGTCTACACCGAATGCTCATGGCTGATCCCGAAGAAAGTCCACGCTGTCCCTGTCCGTTATGCCAAAACCGCCGTTCCCAAGCCCTTCGATGAAGAGGCGGCCGTCAAGAAGGAGGTGAAGAAGCAAGAAGCGCAAAAGCAAAAGGACAACGAAGTGGTGGGTCTAAAACAAGATAAAACAAGACTGATAATTTCTTTAGCAAAAGCAACAAGCCGAAGCCCAGAAGAAGAAGGAAAAGGAGGCCAAGAAACAGCAGGAAGCGCAGGCTAAGAAGCAGAAGGAAGCCGAAGCCAAGGCCAAGAAGGAAGCCGAGTTGAAGGCGCAGAAGGAAGCCGAGAAAACCAAGAAAGAAGCCGAAGAGAAGGCGAAGAAAGAGGCCGATGCCGCCGCCAGACTAGAGGCTGATAAGAAGGCCAAGGTTGAGCAGGAAAACCAAAAGAAGGCCGAGAAGAAAGCCAAGAAAGAAGCCGAGGAAAAAGCGAAGAAAGAGGCCGCCGAATTGAAGGCCAAACAAGAAGCCGAAGAGAAGGCCAAGAAAGAAGCCGAGTTGAAGGCCAAACAGGAAGCTGAAGAAGCCGAAAAGAAGGCAAAAGAAGCCGCCGAACTGAAGGCCAAGCAAGAAGCCGAAGCCGCCGAACAAAAGGCCAAACAAGAAGCTGAAGACAAGGCCAAGAAACAACAAGAAGAAGCTGAGAAGAAGGCCAAGAAGGAGGCGGAAAAGAAGGCCAAGAAGGAAGCTGAGAAGGCGAAGAAGGAGGCTGAAGAGAAGGCGTGGAGAGAGGCCGAAGCTGCTGAGAAGAAGGCTCAAGAAGAAGTCGAGCTGAAGGCCAAGCAAGAGGCTGAGGAGAAGGCCAAGAAAGAAGCCGAATTAGCGGCCAAGAATGAGCAAGAAGCTGCCGAAAAGGCGAAGAAGGAAGCCGAAGCCGCTCAATTGAAGGCCAAGCAAGCCAAAGAAGCCGCTGAGTCCGTGCACAAGGCCTCAGAGTCCTCGGCTGACGAAGGTGCCAAGAAAGGAAAGAACAAGAAGAACAAGAACAAAGGAAATGCCCTGAAGGAGGAGTGGGCTCAAGCCAAGAAAGAGGCCGAAGCTGTCGCCGAATTGAAGGCCAAGGAGGCTGAAGAAGCCGTTCAGAAGCAAGCTGAGGTCGTTAAAGCGCCCGTTGAAGTCAAGGTGGAGGAGAATGGTGAGGTGAAGAGCAATGGGCAAGAAAACGGGAACAGCAAGAACAAAAAGAAGAATAAGAACAAGAATAAGAAGGACAGGACGATCAGCAGCAGCAGCCAGCAAAGCAATGGGTCCGTGGAGTTTGTCGAAAAGAAACAGGTGAGAAAATGGCAAAGGGCTTTGCAGATTTGTACAAATTTTTGATTATTTAGTCTCTTTTGAATACTAGTCCGTTCGCAAGGTCGCTGCAGCGAATTCTGCGATATGCACTGTGCGAAAAATAAGTTCATTTTGCCCTATGCAATATCGGCCTTTTGCACCGCGCAATAGACTTTTTTGGGCTGTCGCCAAAGTCACTTCAGCGGCGTTGCCAACGGACTAATACAAACCTCAAAACTTGACTATCTATCTCTTTAGGTGTCCCAACAAGAGTCCGCCAATGGCCCGTTGAGAGTGGACGTTAACCACTCCTCAAACGGAGGTCCAAGAATGGTAAGCCATGAAGAGAGTCCGAGCAAGAGTCAAAGCCCAAAAAAGAACAAATGGTGGCCCTTCAAGTGATTTGCCCTCTGGGCATTAGTCTCAATTGTGTCGCAATTCTAGCTCGGTTCCGCTCTATTCTTCATTTTTTAGTCATCTTCACCGATTCTCGGTCTAAAAAATCTCGTTTTCCTCAGTTTTTCGCATATATTTCTGCTTTTTAATGCTTCATGTAAATTTACAATGCCTTTTCTACCTTATTTGCACTGTCTATGTCACAATATGAAAACTTCTGGTCTCGATAAATTTGATCGCAATTTGCACATTTTTCCGTTTTTTCGTTGCTTAATTTTTGTGTTGTCCGCAAGAATAATATGCTTTGGAGTAGACGTAGATGGTAGTAGATAGTCGCTAGTTTCATAAGGTATCCCTCACACTCGCTTACAACGAACGATTTTATGAAAAATGGATTTTATCAAGGATCAAGGACATCTGATGACCAAGTGTAATATCGTCAAAAATACGATATCTGAACAAATGAACATGCCAACATAGGATGTCAAAATGTTCCCTATGGTACAATAAATCATTGCCGCGGGTCAAAGATTAATGCTCTAGATCGAGCTGGAATAAATTTAGCGTTACTTCGTTTGCTTTATTTTCCTTGCACTTGAAACTTGTTTGTGTTCCGTTTGCCTTTCGTTTTTTACGTGTTTGCCCATGATCTTGTCAATACGTGTCAAATGGGAGAGGGATCGCATATCCCGACCTCTTTCTGTGATAACTCTCTTGAGCTCTCCACACTGCTTTATTCACCATTACTCTCTGCTTGATCGAAAACTTTTATTTTCCCTGACCATCTGCTCCTCTCCAAGTCTCTAAACGATCTTATTTATATACTTCTACATCCAGTCTAATCTACTCTTTACTTCATAAAACGCTACATTCAACAAAGGGACATTTTATACGATGAAACATGTTTGATCGTATAAAATGGTTTAATCTTCCCCGACCATCTGCTCCTCTCCAAGTCGAAAAAAACTATTTTATTTACCGGCATATCCAATCTGACCTACTGTTAACTTCGTCAAACGCCACACTGAATAAGGGGACATTTTATACGATGAGACATTGTTGATCATATAAAATGGTTCCGCCCATTGAAAACCCTAAAACAGGAATTATTTTCTTGGAGTAGTTGTCTAATTTTCCGAATACCGTAACATTCAATGAAGAGACATTTTATACGATGAAACATGTTTGATCGTATAAAATGGTTACGGCGCTCTATAACCCCCCAAAAAATATTCCTTTCTTAGAATGGTTCTAATTCTCTAATTTTCCTGAATTTCAGAAGCACTCCGTTGACAGTGGCGTCGACTTTAGCAGCGATGAACTTCGCTCCTCCCACAAGTCCAGCAGCAACGAATCCATCGCCGAGGAACCGCAAGGAGTTCAAACGCCCGTCGTCGAGAAATCCCAGACCGGCCAAGAGCTCCGCGAACACCAGAACCAAATCATTGAGCAGATCACCGAGTTCGTCACCTACGCCCAGCAAAAGTTGTCCAGCTCTAGTGTAAGTCCACTTACTCTAACTTTATGGACGTATCTTACCCTGCATAATTCCAGGTGGTCCACTCCGAAGCCCGTAAAGCCTTTGTTTTCAACGTTCCCAAGCCCCTGCCTCCTCAGCCTGCCCCAGTGAAACGTCAACGAACCACCAGATTGGCTCCTCAAGACATCGAATACTGCGTGTATATGATGGAAACCTATGGAGAGGACTATGAAGTAAGTCGAAAAGTTTTTTAAGCGTTAAACCTAGTTCTTATATTTCCAATCAGTATTTTCACAAAGTGCGTAGACTTTTTTCCGTTTATAAGTCTGTCGGGAAAATAATGTGGATTTGTCGCAGCGCTTTCTGCCTTATCGCAGTCGCGCACCAAATCTCCAGCTAGTCCTCGCAAAGCGACGATTGGTGATTTCAAGGCGCAAGGAATCCACATTATTTTCCCGACAGACTGATATTACGCATTTTTTTAAAAGTGCATAGACTTTTTGCCGTAGGCGGTTCCGCACCGAGACTGAAAAAACTGTGCATTCACGATAAAATATGGCAAAAAGTCTACGCACTTTATGAAAATACTAGTACGTAAATAGCCGTGGTATCATCTCGATCTGTCGGGAAAATAATGGGGATTTGCCTATCATGGCTTTGTGACGGTTGGAGAAAAATAAATCCACGTTATTTTCCCGACAGACTGATATTACAATTTTTCAAAAGTGCATAGACTTTTTGATACAAAGTCTATGCACTTTTGAATTCCGCACCAAGATTGATAAAATTAGCATTTGCGATAAAAAGTCTACGCACTTTATGAAAATATAATACTAGTATGTACACAGTCGTGGTATCATCTCAGTCTGTCGGGAAAATAATGTGGACTCGTCACGCATTGGAGTCGCCCACACATCGACAAATCCACATTATTTCCCCGACGAAGTCATAATCCACCCTAACCCCCAAAGATGACGTCATTTTTGCAGGCGATGACCAAAGACGCCCGCAACAAGTTCCACGACGACACGCGAGGCCTCCAACGCAAGATCCGCATCTTCAAGAACAGCGCCCACTTCGACGAATACCAGCAGCAAAAGGCCGCGACTGCCTAGGCCATTTCTGCGAAACGGTTACAAACCCCTTGATTTCTGTCTGTTGCGGTCTCTGATTCTCGAATTTCTCGCATTTCGGTGTTGTTTTTTAGGGTCTTGCCTTAGGGTTTTTGGTGGTTTTTTGACACGAATTTGTCGGTTTTCCCGAAATTTTCCTACTAACATTTTTCCCCGATTTCCACGAATTTTCCCGTTTTTCCCTCCGAAAATGAAAATATTTTCCGTTGAAAACAAGATTTCCAGCTTTTTTCTGCAAAATTTTTGTCGTAAGGCACCCTTTCCACCTAGTTGTTGGTCCTTTTTCTCACTGTATTTTCGCGGTTTCTTACTGTAGCCTGTGTCCAAAATTTAATCTCGGTCGTTTTTCACCGGGTAATTGTTGACTTTTTTAAAAGCGTACAATAAATGGGTAAAACATTAGGATTTGGCAAACTTTTGAGTACTTTTGATTTTATAGAAGTTGTTGGCGACATTTTATACGATGAAACATGCAACTAATCCTCAAGTATTTTTCATTGTACAAGGTGTCACAAAATAGAAAATTTTTGCTTAAAATCACTCGTACACGGACTATGTACAATATTAATCAAATTAAACAAACAGACGGCATTTTATACGATGAAATATGTATATAAAAAACTGATGTATGTTTCATCGTATAAAATGTCCTCGAATTGTAAATTTTCTTCCACAATCACTTATCGACAAACAGAAGATGGTATTAATAAAAATTAACAAAGAGGCGACATTTTATACGATGAAACATGTAGTTAATCCTCAAGCATGTTTCATCGTGTAAGGTGTCACCAAAATAAAAATGTTGGTCCGCAATCTCTTGTCAACTCACTACAGACAGTATTAATCAAACTAAACAAAAAGACGACATTTTATACGACGAAACGTGCATGGAACTCTCAGGCACGTTTCACCGTATAAGGTGTCACCAAAATAAAAATTTTGGTCCACAATCACCTTTACGCGAACTACTGAAAGTATTAGACAAACCGAGCAAAACAAGGGCATTTTATACCACGAAACGTGCATAGAACTCTTAGGCACGTTTCATCGTATAAGATGTCAACAGATGGGTACAAAAAGGATAAAACTGGCGTTGCAACCATTTGGCAACAAAACGATTAATTTTTAGAAAAAAAAAATTTTTATTCAGGTCTCAAAATCGCAGTTCTGTTCACAAGAAACTCTTCTCTATACCGTAAGGTATGCGCCAAAGCCGTGTAATTCCAATTTCTCTGTTTGTAGAGCAAGGCCATCGAATAGGCACGGAGAGTCGTGGTCCCAGCATTTCGCTGACAGCAGCAATTTACGAGGGTTTCTCGGGTCCGGAAACATTTGCAGCCCATCGCCAAATCCTTCACATTCCAGTTCTCCACTGCGCAATACACTCTGTTTTTACTGCTGTGGACCGCAAGTTTCGAGGTTTCTGTGTCCTTGGCTGAGTAGCGATGGCCAATCGGGTTGACTACACCTGAAATTTGAAAAAAAATAATAAAAAAAATAAAAAGAAAATGTTTTTTTTTCTCAAAAAAATGTTATTCCTTTCAAAAGTCTCGATTTGATGACTAAAAATTTCGTCAGAAAACCACCTTTTTCCATCAAAAACTACACACAACAATTAATCCCAATTGAAAAGCGCTTTTTTAGCTAATCTTCTCAATTATTGATTGAAATTTTTGAACACTTCGTTACAAAAACATGGTCCAACAAATATTATCGCCTCTCACTTTTGAGGACATCGGGTGATTGGGTGAATAGTAAATAAGAAGGAGGGGATAGAACTCTATCTGCACCACCTAAAATAATTTTTGCAGTTTTTACCGTTTGCAAGATATAGCCACCTTAAGTATTCAAAAATTGCAATCTTTCCCGTGGTCTAACCGACTTATAATAACGAAAAATCGCATGAAACTTGGAAGTCAACATTGACACATTCTTATCAAACAGTATGCAAAAAATCGCGGCACATTTACTACTCGGCTGAGGAGTTATACATCAATCTTTCCCCATAACAAAAACCAGTTCCCGGCTTTTTGGCACTTTTTGGCATTCTGCAAATGGGAAAAATAAATATAAAAAAGTCATGAAGATTTATATATTTTATCAATTATAGTGTCTTTATGTAATAATTTAGACTTTGATGGTTCATACCCATGTCATTTGGCAACTTGCCGACGTCTAAAGGAACTTTTGGCTAGGAAACGGGACTTGGAAGGCGAGAAAATCGTTTTTATAAAAAAAATATTCTTTGGAAATTCTTTTATTTTGCAGAATGCCAAACCCCTTTTCATTTTCGTGGTGAGACAAAAGACTGCAAGCGAGATTAATTGTTGTGACACTTACAACAAAAAAAATTTGGTTTTAACCGCAAAAAAATATTTTTTTTTTTCAAAAATTTCGATTTGATGACTAAAAATTTCGACCAAACAAAAATATTCTTCCCTCTCAAAAATCAATCTACAACACTGTAACTTCTCTAAAATCCACTTACCACTCTGCTGAAGCGTCAAATTTTTCAAATCTATTTGAAAAAACTCCATTAAATTGTCGTACCGATAACTGGTGTCTTTCAAGTCTTCCATGGGCAAAATGATCTCTTTGCCCGAGGGGATTTCCTTCGGAATTTTCTGAAAACATTTTTCATTACTTTTGTTATCAAATAAATCAAGTTTTCAAACCATTTTCCCTCCTTTTTCCCCTCAACTCACCATAACATTGGGCTCGCTAAAGTTAAGACGGCCAAATTTGAGTTCCCTTTTGCAATTGTTATACAGTCCCTCAAATTCTAGGTTACAGGGAACCGAAGTAGCAGCCCTCGCGTTAAGTGGGGAGGCGAAGCAGCAGCACTCGCACATGCCATCTCTGAAAAAAAATTTATATTATCTCTTGTACATCAATACGCCAAGCTTAAGTCTAGGATGCATTTTATACGATGAAACATGGCCGAATCCAATTCAATGTTCAAAATTTGTGAAGAAACAATTTTCAGACATGTTTAATCGTATAAAAATAATCTATATGAGCTTTCCTGACATTGACATTTTATACGATGAAACATGTCTTAAGATATATTTCATCGTATAAAATGTTTTTAGAATATGAATTTGGTCCACAATTGCCTATAGACAAACCATTAACACCATTAAGCAAAAAACTCAAAGATCGGACGTTTTATACGATTAAATATGCCTGAATCGGTTTCAGACATATTTCATCGTATAAGATACCCTCAAAACATAGGCTCCCTCTAAAACGGTTTGTGGGCAAAATATAGACAACATTAAACCAAAAAACCCAAAAATTAGACATTTTATACGATGAAACATGTTCTGAATCATTTATAGATATAATTCATCGTATAAAATCTCCCCAAAATATTAATTTGCTCTAAAATTCTTTGTAGACAAACTACAGACATTACTAAAACAAAAAACCCGAAAGACGTAGACAGGTTATACGATGAAACAAACCTAGCCTGTTTCACACATATTTCATCGTATAAAATGTCCCCAATGTATAAATTATCGATTCTGTCTCAAGTTTCTAAAAAAATTCCACCAAAAAACTTACACAATTTTGCAAGAGCGATCTTTTCGATAGTTTAAATCCCAGCAACTCGCTGAATATCCCCAGCTGTAGACCACAGGGGCAATGTGATAGTAATCATGTGCAAGACAACAATATGCAGCGGTAGTAGTATAGTTTATTTCCTTGCTAATCGGGCCTTCTGCGCACAGCGTTTTCTGAAATAGTCAAAAAATTAGTAATTACCAAAGACCTTGAAAACTTAGAAAAACCCTCAAAACATTGTAAAAAATCAAACTTCGAACAAAAAATCGGTCAAATTCTAACCGCTTATCGATGTAAACGGACTAGAAAGCCAACAAAACCTTATGCGTTGTCTATTTTTGTCATAAACTATTCAAAAAATCTCATTTTGAAAGCTTGCAACGGAATGCCAAAATTGGCGGAAAATCAAAAATTTTCCCACCGGTTGTTGTTGAATACGCCTTAAACCGCTAGTTAAACCATGTGTAGCGTATTTTAGTCATAAAATATTTTAGCAATCCAATTTTGAAAGCCTACAACGGAATGCCAAAATTGGCGGGAAATTCAATTTTTTCTAGCTAACTTTTTTAAAAATGGCCTAGAAAGCCCTTATGTGTCGTCCATTGCCGTCATAACAATTCAAAAAATTAGATTTTGAAAGCCCACAACAAAATGCCAAAAATGGCGGGAAATTCAAATTTTCTGTAATGGTAAAAATGGCGGGAAATTCAAATTTTCCAACCGTTCTTGAAAAAGGTCTAAAAGCTAAAAAAAACCTTGTGTGTCATAATTTTCGTCATACCAATTCAATTTGAAAGTCTACAACAGAATGCCAAAATTGGCGGGAAATTCAAATTTTTCAATTTTTTCTGTTCACATTTGTTCCCGTATTGCCAGAAATAAACATAGCAACCAGATTATATCATTCCAGTCAAATATTAGACCAACAAAACAAAATTTCCTTACCACAACCTTCTGCATGGTGCTGTTATCCAATACATCTTGGCTCCATTCCGAATCGCACTCGGGATTTGTCAAATCCGGTTGACATGCGCGTAACAGGACCGTGACCTTCTTGCGCTCGTATTGGTACGTCAATTCGGGGTTTGAGTGAATTACGGCCGGTTGAACCGTCCATTTCTTCTGCAGGGTTTCGAGTTCAGCGTCGTTGATTGCACGCAACAGTGTGACATGATAAGCTGAAATTTGATTTGATTTTTGATGAAACATAGCACAAATTTAGAACCATTTTTTAAAGATATATATGTGAAGCTGCTAGCTGGCGCTTTGACAGAAACTATTATATATACCAAGGCGGGGTTTTTTGACAATGAAAGTACTTCTTTGGGGTGTGGAGTTATAGGTCGAGTCATATATCAAAAAACTCGCAAATTTTTTCTGATTCAGAATATGTAAAAATTAGCTGCCTAATTTAAGTCCGTAAGGGTGAAAAAAAACCCTCAGAACTTTTCTCGCACCACCACCCTTTTTACTTTGAAACTACTGTGTAGTATTAATCAAGTTTAGTATGGTAAGGCTTGTCAAGATGCCAGGATTATTTTTAGCGCAAAAAACTTTTGATTTGGTGAAACCTGACCAAAAAAAGGGCCGTTTTCGTGGTGTTGCAAGAAAAGTTCTGAGGGGTTTTTCGCCCTTACAAACCAAAATTGGGCAGCTAATTTTTACGTATTCTAAATCAGAAACAATTTGTAATTTTCTTGACATGTGTCTTCACCTGAAACCCCATAGGAGTACTTTCTTTGTCAGAAAAAAATATTCTAAATTTATGCCAAGTTTCCTCAAAATCTGAGCGTCGTATAAGAATATGTTTTTCTACTGGCTACTTCCGGACTCGGCTCTCCCTGCAAAGCGCAAGCTAAAATTTTCAGGGATTGATTTGTGGCCAATGACGCGTGTGCAAAATTTCAATCATCAAGATTAATTAGGAAAAGGCGAGAATCCTAGTTCGCGCTTTGCAGAAAAAACCGAGATTTTTAGATCGAAAGTTGGCGAAAATTTGACAATTTTTGCCGAACTTCGGCACGAAAAGTTTTGCCTAATTATACCATACAGGATAATGTTTCCACAAAAAATCAATTTTTTCCACGCGAAACTAGCAAAGTTATGGCCAAAAAGTGTTTTTCTCTCTGACCGCTCTCCACGTTTAGTGTGCTCACTCGGCGGCCAAAATCATTCAATATCTCGGCGGCGCCCGCAGAGCACGAGCTCAAACTTTCAGGAATTGATATTTAGATCATGGCCGACGCGTGTGCAAAATTTAAAGAAAATCTGAGCGTCGCACTTGGGGTACTTCCCAATGTGTAGTATTAATCAAATTTGTTATTTTAAGGCTTGTCAAGCTGCCAGAGTTTACCTTAGCTCCAAACAAAGCTTTTCAATTGGTAAAAACTTGGCCAAAAAGGCATTACATATCTTGTAACATTCTTACCTTCCTTGACCCTCGTTCTGTTGGTGAAATAGACCGATCCGCACAGATTCAGATACCCTCCACTCTTCAGCGGCACCCTTACCGCCGTGTACTTGCAGAAAACGAAATAATGACCGATCCAATTCGACAAATACAGCTGGCTCGTTTCGTCGTCCCTTTTAAAGGTGATATTTCGCGCCGCAAACCGCTGAAGGATGTTCAAAATGGGCCAGGAATCGGTGTCGCGGATTGCGCATTCAATCTGAAACGAATTTGAATACAAACGAATTTTTTTCAAAAGATTTAAAAATTCTAAAACAAATTTACAGTAATATTCGTTTTGGTAAATACGGTCTTTTCCGTATCGTCATCACAAAGATATCTGGTCAGATTGCTGCGAAGTAAGTTCACTTCCATGGTAACGGCAACATCACTATTGCTGGCACGGTTTTCCAGGTGAAACACAATGGCAATATAATAAATCTAAAGAGATAAAAAATAAATAAAATAAAAATTTGAAAAACAAAGAGAAAATAAGAAAAATAAAAAAAAATAAAGAACCTTAAAAATAAAAAATACTAACATTAAGCCAAAACAAAAAATAAGAAAAAATAAAAAAAATAAATAAAAATAAAAAAGAAAATAAAAAATATACAAAACTAAAAATTAAAAAAAAAATCTCAAAAATTTAATAAAATAAAAAAATCTTAAAAATAAAAAATACTAACATTAAAACAAAACAAAGAATAAAACAAAAAGAATAAAAATAAAAAAAGAGAAAAAATAAAAAACATACAAAACTAAACATTTTAAAAAAATCTCAAAAATTTAATAAAATAAATAATCTTAAAAATAAAAAATACTAACATTAAAACAAAACAAAAAATAAAGAAAAAAAATAAAAATAAAAAAAAGAAAATAAAAAACTAAAAGTTTTTAAAAAATCTCTAAAATTTAAAAGACAACACTACAAAAATTAAATAAAAAATAAAAGTTAGAACATAAAAAAATAAAAAAAAAGAATAACAAAGAAAACAAAAAAACAACAGAAAATAAAAAATAAAAATAATCTCAAAAAATTTAATCAACCTACATCCCCAATCAAGTTATTTGCAAAACTCCTCTTGTTATAAAGTGACAATTCGATCGAATCCTTTTCGTATCTTACTGGCATTCGCATGTCCCTTCCGTGGCCTAAAATAATAAAATCTTTTGACGGAAAAAATTACTTTTATTGTTATTTTTTTACAAAATTTTTAAAATTTTTTGCTCACAAAATCAATCAAAAAAAACAATAATAAAAAAAAAGTGTTTAGGCAAAAATTTCAAAAAAAAAAAAGAATAAAAATAAAAATAAAAAAAAATAAAATAAAAAAAAATCTTACCGTCAACTGAGTATGTGAAGCTGATGTTCCCAGTAATTGTCGGGAAAATCCTGTCAATTCCAATGGCGAACACTGCTTGTAAATAATTGGAAAATTGTTTGATAGGTGCGCAAATTCCCAGAAACGAATCCACCGATGAACTGGAAAACACGACCTCATTCAGCTTGAACTTGCAGTAGGCGTCCACCTGAAAAAAAAAATTAAAATTTATTTTTCGCAAAAAACATTTTTTTTGTGGAGCCAACTTATTTAATCAACGATCTTTGTCTCCGAGAGAGCACGCGAAATGCGGAAAGCGGTCAGAGAGAAAACCATTTTTTGGCCGTATCTTTGCCTTTTCCGAATAAAAAGCCCCAACAGATAAAAAGACACATATTTGTGAAAATCTATTATAATAATTTTCTGATTTTGACTTTTTTCTTAAAGTAGTAATGTTAAGAAGTAATTTTTGGAATGTTTTCTGTAAATATTCGGTGTAGGGGTTTTCGAGGGTGCTGATTTCGAAACTGATATTCAATTTTTCTGATTTTGACTTTTTTCTGTCTAAAGATACGAAAAAATTAAAAGATGCGAAAAAAAGTTTTTTTTTGAGATTTTTTCCGAAAAATTTGAAATTTCGAAAAAATCTCGACAGTGATTGTCCCATTGTGTACCATACGCGACGAAACCAAAAATCAAGTCGATGCCTATAAAACGAAGCGAGATATGGTAGCTCAAAGTTTCGACTCTTTATGACGTCACAGGTCACTCAAAATTGAAAATTTCGAAATTTTTTTTTCGAGTCCTTAAAGAGAGCATCTAAAAAAACCCCCATGCCAAAAATCAAGTCAATCGGAGCAAGACAAAATTACAGTGGGGGACCTGATCAAGTGTCAAAAAATTTACCATTTTGCACCCAGGAAGTATCAAAAAATGCGGCGAAATACCTCCCTCTCCAAGTGAAAAAACTCAGGTTTCAAAAGCACACCCGCTCGTTTTGTGAGGAAGAGGGCGCGCCCTTCAAAACGAAGTTCTTTTCACTTGGAGAGGGAAGTATTTTGCCACATTCTTTATACTTCCTGGATGCAAAATGGTCCCTTTTTGCCACCGGAACAGATCCCCCACTGTATCACCACAAACCTTATAAGTAGTTGCATTTTTTTCAAAATTGACAACCGCCGCTTCCAGAGAATCACGTAATGGCAAGAGCTGATCCTTCAGAGGAGATGGTATATGGTCCTTCAAGTCCTCCATACTGACGTTGTGGGTGGAAATGGAACTAAAAACGAAAAAATTTTGCTTAAATTAAAGGCGTTACGACTTTTCGAGTCAGCGACAGTTCGGGTCAACGATAGATCGCATCGGTTCGTCGTTGAATTGAGGCTAGGATAGAGCTTAGTTAGTAGGAAAAATAAGATTGATCTTGTCCTACAGCGGCGAACCTGATCGATTGACAAAAAACGTACCATTTTGCATCCGGGAAGTATCAAAAATGTGGCAAAATGCCTCCCTCTTCAAATAAAAAAACTCCGACTTCAAAAGAGCGCCTTTCAAAACAGTGTTTTTTAGTTGGAGAAAGAGGCGTTTTGCTACATTTTTTGATACTTCTCGGATGTAAAATGGTACGTTTTTTTGACATTGGATCAGATCCGTCCCTATAGCATAGCTAATCACCAATTTTGAGGCATTTTACGGGTACTCACATCTATAATATCTGAATAGTCTGAATAAAAGTTACGGATCTTCTTCTTTTGTCGCAAATTTTAGTCTTCTATATGTTACTGTAACTCAGGGTAAAGAAAACATTAGTAATAGCTGAAATTAGAAAAAGTGGACGTATTTCAAGTCTTCGCCGAGCCTCCGCCGAGCATCCAACGGCTTTGCCAGTAGGCACTTCCTATAACCTTTTTTTTGGGTATTCACCTGTCTTACGCCCCGCATCGATCGATTTTACATAATTGACCCGACCTGTCGTTGACCCGAAAAGTTGGGATGAGAAATTACAATGGGGGACATGATCCAGTGGCGAAAAACGTGCCATTTTGCATCCGGGATGTATGAAAAATGTGGCAAAATGACTCCCTCTCCAGCTGAAAATACTACGATTTCAAAAGGGCGCCCTTCAAACCGAGATCTTGTACTTGGAGAAAGAAGTATTTTGCCACATTTTTAGATGCTTCCCGGATGCAAAATAGTACTTATTTTGCCACTGGATCAGGTCTCCCACTGTATTTTACAATTGGCATCAGATGGTCACCTCTCAAAAACAGTCAAAATTTTAGCTCAAAAACAATTCAAAATCCAATCAAAATGTCTTGCCTGCTCTTGCCGCCATCCCACACGGCCATTACAATGTCGCAGAACACTCGGTGATACTGTGTTGAGTTTGGCCCCGGGATCTAAAAACAAGAATATTGCGGCTCTCCCGACGGCCGAGGAATCTCACTCTTCTGTCCAACGAATCCACACACTGCGTTTCCGTATATTCCAGACGATTTACGGGGCTTTGACAGCTGCGAGTGATCTCAGAGGTAAGTTCCGGAGTGCTCGGAGCAACGAAAAATATGGCGAAAATCAGCGGCTTCCATAATCCAACCGACATTTGGAGGTTCAAATGAAAAAAAATGTCGTTTTTGTCATGGGAAAAGTTGATTGCGTCCAAAAATCAAGGAAAATGAAATGGAATGACCTTGTACTTGATATTGGCCATGGAGATAAAAAATAAATAAAAAAGGCCCATTTTTTTACTTTTTCAGGAGGCTTACATGAAAATTTCTTGTGTGCGTATAATGTCCATTTTTTAAAATTGCCATTTTATACGATGAAACATCTATAAGAAGTTTTTGATCGTATAAAATGTCGCCTTGCCGGCAAGTGTTGAAAAATCTGCCAAGAAGAGCCTAAGGCAATTAAGATTGACAGAAAGAGGAGCATAAGTCAAAATATTTCCTTTTTAACCATCGTATACGATGAAACATGTCTGAGAAATTTTTGATCGTATAAAATGTCAACTTTGCTGATATTTGATAGAAAAGGACATGTGGAGCCAAAAATTTTGATTTTTAAAATTTTATACGATGAAACAAGTTTAAAAAAATTTTGGTCGTATAAGATGTCACCTCTTCTAACAAGAGACCTTCACTGACATGAGTCAAAACCTTTCATTTTCTTAAATCATTTTGCCAAAGTTCGGTTGGACGATTATGGAACTTTCAAGTTCAAAAGGCAATGAAAAAAAGAAAGTTGAGGGTCTACATGGTAACAGTGCAATCTGGGCCAGTCTCATCGCAATTTGCGGCATTGTTCTGATCGTTGTTGTTGGAGCAGGACTCTATTTACGGAAACGAGAACAGAAAAAGGCAAGTCAGTTTGGCGGGCGAGGGAAACACTTGACCCAATAGAAGAAGAGTTGACTCAGAACCTGCAGATTGAGCCACCGAGGGAGACACTTGACTCTTTAGGTATAAATTTTTGCCAGCTGGAGGGTCAGTTGACTCAAAAAATTAGACTTGACCTATGAGGAAAACACTTGAACCCAAGTTTGGAAATTTGACCCATAAGATAAAAACTTGGTTCTGAAGGAAAAAATAATCTTATTTACGGGAGACTAGACCAAAAATGACCAACTTGTTATGAACGAGACACGAAAACGGTGCACTAGCGATAAAGAGAAACAATTGACACATACCTAAAAAAATAAATCTACTTCGTTTCAGAAACGTGCTAACAAAGAAGCAGCCACGGTCAGTGAGATGTCTTCGGTATCCAATGTCTCTTACGAATCGGTATTCTCAATTGAAAGTGAATCGAAGTCCAGCAACCCACTGAATCCGGAAAATACAGAGCAAAAGTTTTCAAACATAGAAAGTTTAAATAAGGAATCTGCGAGATGAAGTCTGAAACGACCATCATTAATATTGTTTCTTTTCCCAATAAAATTACACAAGTATTTGTGAAAGGGACATTTTATACGATGAATTATGCTTAAAACAGTTGTTGACATATTTCAGCATATAAAATGTCTCACGAAGGACGGAAAGGTCCGCTGTGCGGAAATGTCCGCTGCGCGGAAAGGTCCGCTGTGCGGAAAGGTCCGCTAAAAAAAAGAGGAGGGCGGGGAGGGGGAGGTTTTCGAAGGCGCAGATTTCGAATATCGTATCCATTTTTTTCTGAATTTTACAATTTTGCTTATGCAGTAGTGTTAACTAGTAATTTAAAAAAAATTTTTTGAGTAATGGATTTAGACGTAAGTTATATTGTACTTGGTGTTTTGATTTTTAGGTGTGACTAGTCTCGAAAAAAATTTTTTTTGAAATGTTTTCGCTTCGAGACTTGAAAAAAAGGATTTTTTGTGAAATTTGAATAAATTTGAAATGTTTTCGCTTCGGGACTGGGAAAAAAAAGAATTGTTTGGAAAATTCAACAAAATTTTGAAATCTTTTCGCATCGGGAGTAGAAAAAAGGGTGTCTGACTGAATATTAACTGTGGTGCCGCCAGCACTAAAATTTTGTCTAAAACCAATGGTACCACCTGGTACTCTATAGTACCACGTGTTTTTGGGCTCTACTAAGCACCAAACCAACGCCATTACCGCCTTGCGGCCAAATTTGCACCTCGTACTAAATAGTACTACCTGGTACTATTTAGTACCAAGTGTTAAAAATGTGTTTTTTAAGCAGTACTAGGCACCAAAACAACACCATTAACGTCTAAAAGTGTTATAAGTCGAAAAAAATTCAAAAAGGATCCCTAAAGGTAGTAAAGTAACAGAAACCCAGTTTTCATATTCAGTCAGTTCATACTCAGTCAGCTCGAAAAAATTTCAAATTTTATTCAATTTTCACAAAAAATCCTTTTGTTTCATGTCCCGAAGCGAAAACATTTCAAATTTTATTCAATTTTCACAAAAAATCCTTTTTTCCAAGTCCCGAAGCGAAAACATTTCAAATTTTACTCAAATTTCACAAAAAATCCTTTTGTTTCATGTCCCGAAGCGAAAACATTTCAATTTTTTACAATTTTCACAAAAAATCCTTTTTTTCCCACCCTCTTCTTTTCCTTTTTTTAGCGGACCTTTCCGCAGCGGACGTTTCCGTACAGCGGACCTTTCCGCGCAGCGGACCTTTCCGTACTCAATCAAAATGTCTCCGTTGGTCCTTTTTGGGTAATTTAGCAAATGGCCGCATCTACGGTATCATTCTGAAGCTGTCTTGTCACATATTTCTTTAGTTTTGGGTGGCGTGGACATGTTATACGATGAAAATTTTCCAGAATTTCTTCGTACATATTTCACCGTATGAACTGTCGCCATTCTTTTCTGGTGATAAAAAGCTTTAACAGGGCATTTTCTATCCGTTCCCTGGCTTTTCCGCAATTCTGTGTTTGGGAAACCTTGTTTTAGTCAAAAAATCTCATTTTTTGGTGAGTATGCAAATTTTGAAAATCTATGCAAAATTTAAAAATAATTTTGTTCTCTGTCCGCTAAACATGCTGCAGCGGACGTAAAATCGCTTTTCTGGGTACAACATCTATCCCAATCCGTAGCCTGCACCCTAAAAAGGCTGTTCAAACACCAATACGTTCTTTAAATCAACTGCTTCCCTTTGTACCACAAGTTTTATTTGAAATTCATGTTTTGCTTGACATGAAATTTCATCGCTTTTCTATTCTCTGCAATTTCCATTTTCTCACTTTTCAAATTTTTTCCGACCCCAAAAAGGTTCGATCGTATAAAATGTCGCCCGATTTATTTTTTGTTGTGATCGGAAAAAGAAGGGAGAAACCCGGTTCCCGCGGGCGGGTTTGGAGATTTCCACGCGTCGGAAAGTGTTATTTCTAGGGGGAAATTACACGTTTCCACGTGGATTCCATGGCAAACCAGTTTCGGGCCGCGAAACGTCTCTTTTTCGGCTTGTTTCTGAGATTTGCGATGTTGTTTTAGGGTTTTAGATAGATTCTAAGCTGCAAATTGATGTAAGCGGTGGGAAAAGGGCAAAGAAAGAGTTTTTACCTCTCAAAATATTAATTTACATCGAGTTTTATCGAAAATTCAACGATTTTCGAGATTTTTGAAGATTTTTGATGTTATTTTCGGTGGTTTTGACTGATTTTTAGATGTAGCATGAGATAGGCTGTTTGAAAAAGGTAGAGGAAGATGTTTTACAGCTAAAAAAACTGTTTTGCATCGATTTTTCGCCAAGTTTTCCGAATTTTTAGATTTTTTTAGGTATTTTCAAAATTTTTTCAAAATTTTTGATGGTTTAGCTAAAAATTTGGCTCTCCTTTGATGATCAATTGCAAATACAATCTTTTTGAAGGACAATCAGCCCTTTTTTGACTTGAAAATAGGCTTTCATATCCATTTTTATTTGACTTCTACCAAATTTTGACCATTTTTTGGGATTTTTGGATAATTTTGGCATTTATTCCCGTATTTTACATACATTTTTGTCGCAGAATGATGTAAAATTACATTTTATGTCAGTTGGTCGCTATTTTATTTGTTTTAGCATTCGAAAATTGAGGTTTTCATCGATTTTTCTCCTTTTTTGTGATTTTTCGATGTTTTGACGAGTTTTTTCTGATTTTTCCTTTTCAAAATGCGTTTTAATATAAGCTAGAGTTGTCTACTTTCTTTTTTCATTGTAAAATACGGGCTTGACAAGCTTTGATAACATTTTTTAAGACGATATTATCTTATAAGTGGGGGACGGGATCTAGCGGCAAAACACGTACCATTTTGCATTCGGGAAGTATCAAAAATATGGCAAAATGCTTCCATCTTCAAGTGAAAAAAAACTCCGATTTCAAAAGCGCGCCTGTTCTTTTTGTGAGTGAAAAAGGCGAGCCCTTCAAAACGAAGTTTTTTCACTTGGAGAATGAAGCATTTTGCCACATTTTTGATGCTTCCTGGATGCAAAATGGTACGTTTTTTGCCACTGGATCAGGTCCCCCACTGTGTAAGACTATATTGTCTTAAAAAATATTATGAAAGGTTTTAGAGCCCGGATTTTACAATGAAAATAGAAAGTAGGAATCTCTAGCTTATACTAAAGCGCATTTTGAAAAAGAAAAATCAGAAAAAATGATCAAGAAATTGAAAAATCGTCAAAAAGGAGAAATCGATGAAAATTATCTTAAAAATTCCAGGTTGAATGCCTCGAATTCCCATCAAATGGCTTCGAGTTGTCACTGCCATCACACTAGTCTTCTTCATCTACATATTGGCCAATTTGTTTAACATTGGCCCACTAGAATCCAGTTTTTCCGCTCAAAACTCAAATAGAGATCTCGAAAATCGAGCCGCCGACTTTCAAAATGAACAAAAGACGGTGAGGAATGAGGGGAAATTCTCGATCATCGACTATGCCGGTGAGGGCACGCATTTCTCGCCCGAGGAATACGAAAAAATGGAGGCCAGAATGAAGGGGCCCGGAGAGCAGGGCGCAGCCGTACAATTGACCGGACCGCTGAAAGAGGCGGGCGAAAAGTCGAAAAAGGAGTGGTTTATGAATCTTGTGGCAAGGTAGGAGTTTTTGGATAGGCTTAATTTTTGGTTTTGCTGGTTAGTGACATTTATATACGATAAAAAGTATCAAGAACTTTTTATCGTATAAAATGTCGCCTGCGGAGCATATAATTCTTATTGTTGTAAAATACGTTTACTTCAGACAAGCTCTACAGGGATATATTTGTGAAATTTGTATGAAGGGACATTTTATACGACAAAATGTTTTTCGAAACTTTTTGTCGTATAAAATGTCACCTAGCGACGATTTTTAACATGTTTTGTAAAATACGATCTCTGGAATGGTGTCTCCAAATTCTATCAAAAATTTATGCTCAGGAACGTCTTCTTATACCATAAAATATTTCTTGGAATCTTTTGTCGTATAAAATGTCCGCTATCGAAAATTTTTCAATTATCCTTGTAAAATACGTGTTGTGAACCTGCCGGACTATATTATTTTTTTATTCTTGGGTTTAAATAAATAACGCTTGTGGGGACATTTTATACGATAAAACATGTTTTGTTCGTATAACCTGTCTCAAACGCGGAGACTGAGGAAGAGGTCTGTAAAACAAGGTCTGTCTTATGTTTCTTTCGTTTTCAGTGACAAAATCTCACTCGACCGGTCACTTCGAGATCAACGCCACCAAGACTGTCGAATACTACAATATGACGCTCGTTTGCCAGCAGCCTCCGTAATTATTGTGTTCACTGACGAAGCATGGACTCCACTTTTGAGGACAGTGCATTCAGTTTTCAATAGAACACCGAGAAATTTGCTTCATCAAGTCGTAATTGTCGATGATTTCAGTCAAAGAGGTAAGTGGAATGTAATATCATTATTGCTTTTTATTGATGCTGTTAGGGTCGAAAAGAAAGTTATTTTTTGTTTTGACTACTATTAGGCCCTCAGGGCTTCATTTCCCACAAAATTTGCCTATGTACTCAGATAGCATAGTGGTAGAGAGTTTGGATGCCACTCAAGAAGTCGCGGGTTCGAATCCCACTTGAAACATTCAATAAATTTTTGGTTATATTGTTTTCAGAGGATCTTCATGAGAAATTAGAGGAGTATCTCGCCAGATTTGGGTCAAAGTTGAGGTTGGTGCGGTCGAAAGAAAGACTTGGCCTAATACGAGCCAGAGCAACGGGCGCGAAATACGCCACTGGAGAGGTGATTATCTTCTTGGATGCTCACTGTGAGGCTTCAAAGGGATGGTAAGTTGATTTTTGACACTGCCTAGGGCGTTCTATAAAGTTTCCGCATGGTGCAGAAAGTGGATAATTTGTAGGCTTTTTTAGCTTACAATTTATCCAACTTTTGCACTGTGCGGAAATTAGTTGGAAATGGGTGGGAATAAAGAAAAATGCGGATAGACTTGTATACCATGTAATTTTGAATAGTTTTGATGTATTAGTAGTAATTTTTTATCCAGTCGATGTCATGGATAATATAAAGTTTTGGTCTAAAAAGTTGTCTTTCAGGATTGAACCGCTCCTGCAACGCCTCAAAGACGCTCCGTATGCATTTATCTGCCCAGTAATCGACTCAATCAGCGATCAGGACATGGAATATCAAGGTGGAAGTGCCGGCGGCATCGGCTCATTTTGGTGGTCCCTCCACTACAAAATGGACAATATTCCCGAAGCGGAGAGGAAACGAAGAAAGAACCCTCACGTGGATCTCTTATTGACTCCAACAATGGCTGGTGGTCTGTTTGCTGTGAGAAGGGACACCTTCTTCGAGTTTGGCGCCTACGATGAAGAAATGGATATATGGGGAGGAGAAAATCTGGAAATTTCATTTAGGGTGAGTCAGTAGATCTGTAGGCACAATTAGAATTTTTTGAAACGCTCAATTTGTGGATTTCTGCCATTTTATACGATGAAACATGTTTTGTCGTATAAAATGTCACTGTATTATCTAGAATAGTAAATGCTTTCAAGAACGCTGACATTTATTTTCAAGTGGTTTGAAATTTTATTTGGTTGTTTACTTACTATTTTCGCCATTTTATACGATGAAACGTATCTGGAGAGAGTTTTAAATTTTTTAAAGTTTTCATATAAAATGGCTCCGAATTGTAGTGTGTAAGACGTAAAAGAAATTAAAATGTAATCAGTGCATTTTGCAATTGGCTGTTTAAGCGAGTGACATTTTATACGATGAAAGATCGTTTTCGACTTCCTTGGGTTTTCTGTCGTATAAAATGTCGCCAGTTGTAAGTAGTATACTAGAAAAAAAGAAACAGGATATGCAGAGCCTACTGATGGGGATTATTGTTTTATGGACACTTTATACGATGAATTATCACGCTTTTGGTATTAGACATGTTTTTTCGTATAAAACGTCCCCTATTGTAAAATATTGAATTTTTGATGGGGGAAAATGATGTATGGGCCATAGTTTAGGCGTGGATGTGCGGAGGCTCGGTGGAAATCATCCCTTGTTCCCATGTCGGGCATATTTATCGAAACGGACATCCATATAATATGACTGGTCGCGGAGGCAATAAAGACGTTCATGGGACAAATTCCAAACGTCTGGCAGAAGTCTGGATGGATGATTACAAAAAATTCTACTACCTTCATCGTAGCGAACTAAAAGTGAGAGAATTTTGAAAAAAAAAATTTTTTTGGTTTTTTCGATTTTTTTCGCAAGAAAATCGGTTTCTACGTTCAGAACAAAGACGTGGGCGACCTAACACCCAGACATGCCCTGCGACGAAGTTTGAACTGCAAATCCTTCAAGTGGTACCTGCATAATGTGGCGTATGAGAAGTTCATCCCGGATGAGAATGTAAAAGCCTACGGAAGAGTGAAAAACCCACACAGTGGACTTTGTTTCGACACTCTGCAACGAAACGAATTCAAACATTCGATTGTAATGGGCGTTTATCATTGCCAATACCCAAGCAGCTCGGCACAGGTGGGAAAATTGGGGGTTTTTATGGGAAAATTGGGGGTTTTTATGGGAAAATTGGGTTTTTTGGGGGAAAAGTGGGATTTTTTGGATTAGGTATGATATTTGGAACTGGAAACGGGATTTTTTGAGCGAGGATATTATTTTTTCAGCGAAAAAAAATTTCGAATTTTTTTAATTATTTTTTTTGGTAAATTTTCAGTTCGATATGGCAATTTTTTTGTTGATTTGAAGGCGAAAAAGGGTTTCATGCTTATTTTTAATAAGAAAATTCCGTATTTTACAAGTTTCCGCACAGTGCAAAAAGTGGATAATTTGTAGGCTTTTTTAGCCTAGAAATTATCCACTCTCTGCACTGTGCGGAAATTCAATGGTAATGAAGGGAATTCAAGAAAAATGGGTTTAGAAATGTGAATAAAGTAGGTCTGCGAAGTTTTGAGAGTAATATTAGTCGTTGTAATATTAGCAATTAGAGATTAAAAAAAAATTTTCATTTCCAAATTTTTCCGGAAAATCTTTCAAAAAAATTAAAAAGTGGGTTGTTTTTACTCCAAATAGTCGTATTATTCACTACATAAATTTTTTAGATGTTCTCCCTGACCAATGATGGGATTTTGCGCAGGGAAACGGTGTGCTCCGGCGCAAAAACCGAAGATGGAAAAGAGAAATTGGACCTACAAGAATGTGGAATCCACGGGAATGGAAAGGTCTTTGAATACAGAGTAAGTTTTTTTATCTAAAACAGCGTATTTTACTCTTTTTTTTTCTAATATTTTTTTTTTCAATTTCCAGAATGGTCATCTGAAATTGACCACGATAAACAAGTGTTTGACGGTGGAGAACCTCAAAGCTGGTGATGATCTGCACTTTGATGAGTGCAAAGAGGATTCAAAGGATCAACTTTGGGAGTTCGAAGCACCGGACTTGTGATTTTTTATTGTTTTAGGTTGGAAATTGTATTTTTTTGTTGAAAATTTTATATTTTTAATTTTTTAGGGGTGTAATCAGCTTATAGGAGGGTTGTAAGGGCACTATTTTTCCTCTTATTCAGTTTCTCGAAATTTCAAGACATTTCCTCGGGCGCAGCCTGCGGAATTAAAATTTTCTCAGGGCGCAGCTCGCCAATTTAAAAATCGCCCTAAATTTCAAAGAAAACAGCAGAACTTCACACCGTAAGCCTCTGGGAGTCGATTACACTCTGTTCTATCCTCTGATGTATTTTCAATTTTTTGATTACTGTGATATTCCGTATTTTGTCCATTTCGGGTACTGTAACATATAATATTGTGATAAAAGATAATTTATTCCAAAAAGAGTTCGTTAAAATACTTTTTTACAACATGAATGGTTTCAAAAAGCCAATACTTTTCTTACAACGGCAGGATTTTGGGTAATCCGACATGAGATTACGGTATATGCGTGTACGGTAGGTTGAGACCGTGTTTTAGGTGGTGAATTTAATCTTATAAAGTGACTAGAGACTTGTTTCGAGATCATGAATCGAAAAATTAGTGAAATTTGCAGAGATTACAAAGAGCGGAAGACTTGACCCATTTTGTGTCAAGTCTTTCTCTGTGAGATAAATCGTGGGTTTTGAGATAAAACAGTGATCGGCAGTGGACGACTCGACAATAATACGTGTCTTCGAAATCTTACAATACAAAAAATCGGGATTTAAATTGATTTACATCCAAAAGTAATGTTATACTTGACAGAAATGATAAATACAGTGGTTAATTAGGGACTGGGCGCTGTAGGTTTATCCAATTGCGCCTTTGTGAGTGAGGAACTCCAAGAGCGCTTCAATTTCCACATTAATGTTGGCTGTGGCGCGGCGAATTCGTTGAGCGATTTCGTTTGTTTCGCCGTCGTCGAAGGAACGGCCGCAAAATGAGGCGACCATCGCTTGGGCGTGCGCTTCCTCGCTGAAAACGCGGCAGATTAGAGGTTGAGCTTTCATTTCCATCGTTGAAAAGCCATTTTTTAAATTTTTATAGCGTAAAAATAAGAAATTCGAAAAATTTTTTTATCGAAAAGTAGGTCATGTATAAGGACGAATATCTCAGTAATGGAAAGTCCTAAAAAACTGAGCTTTGGCAGCTTCAATCTATGCGAATTCATCTTCTCTATGATCCATAGTCCACATCTATAGCCCATCGAGGCTCTATTTTATACCTATTTTTCCAAAAATACCTCTATATTACACTAGACCCCAAAAATCTCAAAAATTAATCTCTATTCTATAGCCAAAACGACTAATAAAAGTAACAATAGTCCCTTACCTTGCCACAGATACGTTGCTTCCATTTTTATTCTTATCAGATTGCCCTCTATGGAGTAATTTGTCCTTCAACTCGAGCATCCCAGTGAAACTTCGGCGTTTACTTGGAGTTGAGCGTATTTTATGAGGTGTCGCGGTGAGGTCGAGCTGAAATAAGAACGATAATCGTCGATTTGTAATTTTCAACAGTATCTCAACTCAATTTTACTTCATTTTTAAATAATATAAAATCAGCTGAAAGGTCACAAAATCTTGTAAAATGAACAAAACTTTATATCTCATCGAAAAATAGTCTTTATTCTATCATAAAATGATGTAAAGTGCTTACACCCACCTGTTTCAACGCATCATTCAGCTCGTTACATTTGGACCGGATTTCCGAGTAGTGTAATATCGTGTTCTTCACGATCTCGTGGATTTCCGCCACCCAGAACTTCATCGACAGCCCCAGCGCTCTTCGACATTCGTTGATGAAGCTTTGGGATTGAGCATTGCACTTGTCCAGGTTGTGGCTGTTCCATAATTGGAGGTATTCTCCTTTGTGGTCGGCGTTCGGGGACCAGTCCATTACGGCGGACCAGTCCTTCATTAGGAGGGGCTCGACTTTGATTCCGGCCTAAAATCAGGACTAAATATTCAAAAAACAAAGATCTTGACCTAGACGACATTTTATACGATGAAACGTGTATGATTGGAGCTGGACATATTCCATCGTATAACTTGTCGAATTGACGAAAACTGATCAGTCTCGCCATGTAGTATGTAATTATACTCATAAAGCCATCTATGATCTCCCTTTCGGAGACATTTTTTACGATGAAACCTGCCTAATTCAATGTGGACACGTTTCATCGCATAAATTGTCGTACTGATAAAAATTGAACCGTATTAGCATGTAATATGTAATTTCACTTATAATACAATCTATGATCGACTTTTTGGGGACATTTTGTACGACAAAACCTGCCAAATAAAATGTAGACACTTTTCATCGTATAACTTGTCGTACTGACAAAAATTGATCAGTCTCGTGATGTACTATGTAATTATACTCATAACACGATCTACGATTTCCCTTCCGGAGACTTTTATACGATGAAACCTGTCCAATCCAATCCGGACATGTTTCATCGTATAAAATGTCCAAAACAAGATTTAAGGCCAACTGACTGCTCTAAATTTGAAAAAAAACACCCAACGCCTTCTACATACCTGAAGCATCGACAAAATTCCTTGTTTCGTATACAAATCTCCTCGATTTAGATGGGGATACAAGAACTTCACCGACATCCGGACATCAACTTTGCTCAATTCCTTCCGAACCTTCGACAATAGTAGGCCCAACAGTTTGGCGCATGCCTTGTTGGACTTGCATTCGTCGACGACTTCGCATTTCGGGTCGCAATCTTGATGGAAGCATGGGGATTTGGAGACGAAAATTATTATTTCATACAGTTCCACCTGAAAAAATTGGATTAAACTTGTGCAATCAGGCTCGCTGATGGTTGAAAAGCTTATTAGAAGTCATAATTTTTCGTATTTTACCCAAAAAAAATCAAAAAAAATCTTTCAACTTTTTCGAAAAATCAATTTTTTTCACTGAAAAAATCATATTCTCACTCAAAAAATCTCATTTTCCAGTTCCAAAAATCATGTCCAATCCAAAAAAATCTCACTTTTCCTCAAAAAAAATATTTTTTTTTTCAAAAAAGCAAATTTTTTCTTCAAAAACCAAACCTACCTTATATTTCGAGATCAAATCGTATATCGCGGCGACCAATTGTTCTTCCACATGTGGTTCATTTTTGCTTTCATGGTAAAAGTCGCCTCGATAAATGTAATCATTGCCAATTAGGGTCACAATCAGTCCACTGCTCTCATTTTTGTGCTCCAAAAAGCAGCTTTGGACGTGTTTTGGGACATGGAACTTGGCTGGGCCATTCGTACAATCGCCGGTGCATTTACAGCTAAAAAATTTGATTTTTATTTTTTCGAAAAATTTTCGCACAGTGGAAAATTTTTTGGATTTTACTGCACAGTGCGGTAGAAGCAAAACAAATTTTTACACAGTGCAAAATTAGTTCCAATCGCACGGTGCAAAAATTTTCAACCTGAATAATCTGCACTGTGCGGTCCGCCAAACAAACAGATGCAGTCGAAAACCGAAGTTGCGCACGGTGCAAGCGCGACAAAGATTTGAATTTTGCACCGTGCAAGCCAAAACTAGGAATCCGCACAGTGCAATCAAACGTAAAGGTTAAAAATTGCACGGTGCAAAAAATGGACACCCAATTTTCGCACGGTGCAAGCGCGACAAAGATTTGCGTTTCGCACAGTGCAAGCCAAAAATACAGGGTGCGCCAATAAAATCTGGACTAATATTTTTGCTTGCCCTGCGGGCTGTAACAGTACGAGAACAAAGTGGGCGATTGTGGACACGTGTAATACGTCCTAGAAGCTATCTCTAAAGTTTCAGACAAAATAATCGTCTACGACACTTGTTTTGCCATTATAAGTGCTTACAACTAAGGCGCCTGAAACACGGACCCCAAATTGGTCAAAAATGGTTGCGCTATCTTTACCGTTTTATGCTATGGGCTGAAATTTACCTTTTCTGATAGAGCTCCGGTCGGCTCTTATACACTGAAATTGATTTTGCCTCATTATGACAATTAGGCTTTTTACAGCTCGCCAAAGTTGACTTAAAAACGGGCCCTTTTTCCCGAAAACTTCCGTTAAATCAAAGATTTCTATGTAGTAGTTTCCCTGTGTGATTCCAAACGTGTTAAGCACCAGAGCTACTTTTGTAAGGATAATCAGAGTCGGCCTAGTCGCCTTTCAAAGAGGATTTTTCTATCTGCTGCTTCTGGGAAATGAAATAGTGGCCGTGGTGGCATAATTTACTATATGCTCGCTATTCGAGTGATCTTGGACTAGATATTTCTAAAAGTGTTTTGGCTACATCAGCATGTATCCAGTATGCAACTCTGTGTTTTTTTTACGCTCAAGGCCTTTCCAACTTGTTACAAACTGTCAAAACGTTTCTAGTTCCGTATGACCGTGCCTTGAATTCCCCCCATGAACTTTTATTTATGCAGAAACGGTCCCTTTGTATGTGCGGATTTGCTTTTACACTATGACAATTGGCTAAGTATACGCTCTATAATCACGGAATTTTGGAGCAACACGAGCTATAATCTGGCGTTGAGATCCTTAAAAACACAAAAACCCAAATTTTTGGGGCTTTTTCTGTTTGCGCCATCAGCGCCACCAGAGCGACCGCTAACCATGATTCCGTAGGTTGTTACAAAGTCAACGCCACGTACTTTAAATGCAATAAATTTGAAGAACGTCAGTGACTATTAGCAGAAATAATGGAAGAATTAATATCTCAGTCATCATCTGGAAAAAAAATTTCTGCACCTACAAAAAGTTTTGATTACTTTTTCAGTCTTGCAATGGACATTGACCTGGGCATTACCGTTGATGTATAGCACTATTGTTACCCTTTCTAAAAGTGTTAAAATTTTCCATTTTTAGGCCACCCGAAAAAGGCTATATGGAATTTAGTTTTGTCCAGATTTTATTGGCGCACCCTGTAACAACCCGCACAGTGCAAGCGCGACAAACTTGAAAATTTCGCACAGTGCAATCAGATTGAAAATTGCACCGTGCAAAAAATCGGACACGTAATTTTCGCACCGTGCAAAATTCCAAAGCTCAAAAATCGCACCGTGCAGTCAAAAATTTGCCGAAAATTTTCAAAATCCCAAAAATTTCATTTTCTCTTACCTGCTTGAGCAAAATTCGTACATCAGCCGGCATGGGCATTCCTTCTTGACACATTGTTTTTTGCTTTTCGCGCACTGGCATCCAGTTGTTGGTTTATTGACCTTCAAAACCTTTTTTGGGGGTTCCTTATTTTTGCAGATCTGTTTGCAGGCGCACAACTTGGAACATCCTTCTTTTATGCGCAGACAATCGCAGCGTTCCGACTTTGTGCACGCGTTTTTCGCTGGCTTTGCGGGATCCACTTCGCAGGCGCATTTGCAGATGGCCTGGTTGAGGCAGTCACCTCGGTAGCTGGAAAAATAGGATCAAAATTCTGGTAAAAACTTCAAAATTGCCGATTTTCTTCGATTCCAGACTTTTTATTCACTTTTTAGCCCTTGAAACACAATGCCAAAATTTGGCGGGAATTTAAGAATTCAAAATTTTTCGTCAAAAATCTCAAAACTCTTGCATCTTCTTTGATTTCCGACATTTCTGTTCACTTTTCAGCCCTTGAAACACAATGCCAATTTTGGCGGGAATTTTTCAATTCAAAAATTTTTCTCCCAAAACGTCACAAAATTAAGTTTAATCGTATTTTAGCCATTTCGGGTGCTCTATTCCGTTTCGTTCAGGTTTTGCAACGCTTCCGAAACCTTGTTTTCGCGAATTTCCATTGTTTTGGGCAAGCCAAAGGAAAAGCCACTCGAATTTCCTGGAAAAAAACTTGAATGGCGCTCATTTGGCGCGCTCCGCGGCCGAAATCCCGAGTCCATTTTTGTGTTTTCGCTTGCATGAACAGATGTTCCGCTGCGAGGTTATTCAAATAAAGGCCAGAATAACAATTGGCCGCAAAATCAAGGAGAATTTTGGGAAGAGGAGCGAAATTTCTGAAACTCAAAGGGCAGAATGCACTTAAAAAATGAGACATAAAAAATTTTTAAGCCTGTATTTGACAATAAAAGCCAAAACCAAAGTAAAAATCGTTGTTTTTTCAACTTTTTTGGCTTCATCTCGGCCTACAGTGGCGGACCTGACCCAGCGGCAAAAAACGTACCATTTTGCATCTAGGAAGTATCAAAAATAAAGCAAAATACCTCCCTCTTCAAGTGGAAAAAACTCCGATTTTAAAAGCGCCCTTACAAACGGAGTTTTTTCACTTGGAGAGGGAGGTATTTTGCTTCATTTTTGATACTTCCCGGATGCAAAATGGTACGTTTTTGGCCATTGGATTAGGTCCGCCACTGTAGGCCGGGGTGAAGCCAAAAGGTCGATAAAAACAACAATTTTTACTTTGGCTTTTATTGCCAAATACAGGCTTAAAATGTTTTTGTGTTGCTTTTTTCAAATGCATTATGCCATTTTAGTTTCAAAAATTTCGCTCCTCTTCCCAAATTTCTCCTTGATTTCGTAGCCAATTTTTGCAACGTTTTTGCTAAAATAAAGTCCTAACAGTCTCTATTCAGCTCATTACGGTCTTGGAGCACCACTAGTGATCACTACTTCACTTTTCCAGCCTCTTTTAGGCTTTTCTAAACTCCGAACTTGCAAAAAATCTCGAAAACTTCTTACCGCGCGCTTTCGCAATGCTCGTCGCACATTCGCCGGGACGCGAAGCACGGACACATGTCCGTGGAGCATCGGTTCTGCGTTGCGGCGCATTCGCAGCAGAACGGCGGAGGTGCTCCGCCGCCGGAGCTGGCCGCGGCGTACGCCGCCGAGTTCAGGCCCGACGGCTGGCCGGGCGCCGGATGCGAACGGGACATGGTGGTGTTGGAGAGGGCGTCCAGTTGGCTCGAGCCGATGCTTTGAACGTCGCCGCGTGATGTTGAGAGTTCGCGCATGTGCGCGCGTGACGCCACTTCCCACTGAAAATTCGGCGGTAAGAAGGGGAACACGGTGTGTTTCGCAGGCTTAAATTGAATGTAAATCATCGCTCGTTATGTAACATGGACGATAAGCTAATAAAGCACAACATGGACGGTACAGTAAGCGCATTCGAACAATGAAAATAGTCAAGAGAAAATAGCCAAAACAATGAAAATTTTGATTTCCCAAAAAAATTTAGTTTTTTGGTCTCCAAGTACAGGGTGTCTAGAGAAATTCCTCGGAAAGTTTTTGTCGATTTCTTGTCGAGATATCCAAAATTCTTTTTGCAGTAGAAAGAATAAGATAGGATACCTTGGCTGAGCGCCAAGAAATCGACAAAAATTTCCGGGAATTCTCTACACCCTGTATAATATAACCATTACTTGGTGTTCAAATACAAACATAAAGGACTAACGAAGCCTAACAGTAATGGTAAGCCATAAAGCAAGCAGGAAAATTTGCAAAAAAACAATTTAAAACCCGAAAAATTTAGACACCAAGTGTAATAAAAGTCAGATTTTAGATCAAATCCATAGACTCCACAGAAAACTACGTCACTACTAGCGTCTAAATTAAATTTAATTCGGTATAAAATCAATATTTATTATTAACGAACCCTCCAAATATCCAAAACAAAAGTTTTGGCACCTAACTGTCATCTATAAGATAATTTACTCCCTGGCTTTTGAATCTAACCAAAAACTCGAACAAAAAGACTCATTTGGAAGCTGATAGCTCAATCTTTCGCTACACATCTTCTCAGAACTCAAAGTTTAAAAACCGCTGCGAGTTGGTCATAAAACGCACAGTGTAGAAGACCAATCCAAAAAAAGGATTTTTCACAATTTGCCGGAAAATTTTAAAATGTTTTGTGGGTAAGTCGATGAGGAGAGGATTTACTGTCAATCTCATGAGGAAATAATATATCCACAATATCTTTTAGGACGAAAAAATGGCCGAAAATCATCTAAAACAAGGTAAAAATCCTTTGTTTAGCCCATAAAAAGCCAAAAAGCCCTTTTTCTACTAATTCAATGTTCCACACTTTCTAATTTTCCCTAAAACTCCTCAAAAAATTCTGCCAAAATTCCGTCCAGACCGCGAAACCTATACATTTCTATCGAGTGCACTTTACTTTTTTACAATTTACTAAATTTAAATTCTCGTCGGCCGACTGAAACCTCAAACGGCGGCGGAAAAAAGAGAGAAGAGAAAGAGTATCTCTCGGCTTTTTCCTTGACAAAGGAACGCCAAGTTTCTCTCTGGACGTTCGGCCGCGCCGTAAAAAAAAACCTTTTTTGGGCATGAATTGGAAGAAAGAGGGATGCCCGCAGGGCGCTTAAAGTATTCCAAATTGTTTTTTCATCCCAATGAAATGAAAGTAATTGGCGGGAAAATGGAGCCGGCACCCAAATGCAAAGGAAATTAGAGGGGGATTGGGTGGGGTTTGATGCACTGTGCGGAGCAAAAAATTTGTTGCATCGTGCAATAGGGAATTGGAAAATTGGGTATTTTTGTACTGAATCGTGAAGTACCAACCATCAGGAGAAAAATACGAAAGAAAAATTTCTGGGATTCCTTGAATTTCCGCACTGTGCGGTGGAAAAAAATTGGCCGCACAGTGCAGAAAAGCACAAAATTTAAATTTCACTCTCAAAACAAATCAATTTGACGTAACCGAATATAATGTGTTTTAGTCTACAGATCGCGAAATTTAATTCAATTTTTGACGAAAAAAATTTCTAAAAATCTTCAAAATAAGACTCAAAAACAAGTTTCTGCACTGTGCGGAAGGAAAGATCTGTTTGGATTCATGGAAATTGGACAGAGTGATGTTGGACAATGTCACTGTGGACGTTAATGTGTTCTAAGCTCGTTATTTACAAATCAAAAATACTTTGTTTTATTTTGTTTTGCTCGCACAGTGAAATAAACGGCTTCATGGAACTTGGACAGAGTGAAACTCGACAGAAATAGATTGGATAAAGTGTGGAAATTAGACAGAGTGAAATTGTACAAATTTTCTCACTATAAAAAATAATTAGATAGTGACATTTCGTACGATTTCAGTGAGAAAAGTCTGTCAAATTTCCACACAGTCCAATTTATTTCTGTCGAGTTTCACTCTGTCCAAGTTCCATGAAGCCGTTTATTTCACTGTGCGAGCAAAACAAAATAAAACAAAGTATTCTGGTTTGTAAATAACGAGCTTAGAACACATTAACGTCCACAGTGACATTTCAAACGCCAATAAGAACAAATTTTCTAGCAATTTTCACATTTTTTAACAAAATCTATTTTTTCGCAATTTTTTATTTCATACCAAAAAAACTAAACCGATCCAAAGGCCCTCCCAGCCTCAAAACTCATAAATAAAATCTCAGTTTATGGCCATAAATCCGTCCTTTTACCTTCAAATCCGGCCAAAATTTTCCCAACACTAAAGGGCAAAGGTAACAGCGCCAATGGAGGAAATCTCACTTTTATGGAAAGTCTTATATTATTAGGGAGAGGGGAGACTTATGGCCATTTCCCACGATTATACCTGCCCAGAGGACGGGGGTTTAATGCCGGCTAAGTAGGGCTAATTATGGAGTTACAGAGGGGGGTTTCGAAGGTAATGGTGCTATAATGAGGTCTAAAAAAGTTTCAAATATAAAGCCATCCATTAGAATTTAATTTGAAGGGGGTTTTCTGGCAAATTGTTTAAAATTTTCTGTTTTTGAGAGTAAAAACAAAATTTTTAGATTTTTTAGCGGTTTCAACAAAAAATCATACCAAAACTTTGTTCACAAGTCTTTATACTGCTTTAGATATCTGTAATTTTTTGATAATAAACTTTTAAGTCATCCCTCTAACAAATTTTTTTAAATTTCCCCATTTTCGAAAAAAAAAATCAAAAAATCTCATTTTCCCCAAACAATAAAATTTATTTTCTTACAAAAAGATTATTTATTAATTTTAGAAAGGAATATTCATCGTTTTTTTCTAAAAATATTCAAAAAAAATATTTTAAACCTATTATTCTAATTTCAAAAAGTCCATATAGTCGAAAAAACCATTTATAATCACTCAAAAACTTCTTTATTCAATTCTACAGCCATTAAAAACAAAATACCATTAATTTTCCCCAAAAAATCCCAAAAATTCGCGCCAAAGAATGTAAATGACGCCAAAAATTGTCCGAGAGACTTGGCAATTTAACAGTCTCTATAGTGGGGGTCTGATGAGTGGCCATAAGGCCACGGCGAGGAGTGGGGAGGGTGCTGCCGGCTGTGTGGCGCATGCACCGAGGTCTAATTAAGCAAAAAAGGAGGACGAAAAAAGAGGAGAGCCGGGCTGCGCGAGTTCGGTTTTCCTGGATTATGCGCTCTTGTTTCGGCGCTGGACGACCGGCCACCGAAGTGACCGGCCAAGAATGAAGAATAAAGTGCGAGGACGCAAATAAAGAGGCTGAAATTTGGAGGAGGCAGGGTGTGTTGACATAATTAATGGGTCGGATACACTATGAAATCTCGAAACATTTGTAATTAGAGCGCGTGTTGCATGTGGTTGAGTAATACATAATCGATGGTCGGCGAAATCCAGCTACTCTTCCATTCATAACCATCAAATCATCTAATTAGAGTACTTACAGTGGTGAAAGATGAACTTGTTTTAGTCCATTAACCGATTTTTAGAAGCTAATTAGTTCACTGATATCATAAATTTGACAATACTTATAAAAGAAGGCAGACTTTACCTTGAAAATTTAGAGAAAATGAACTTTTTTCTGATTTTTGGTCATTGCTTGGCTAAAAGAAGGTAAAATTCCGTCGTCTACAGTCTCGCACCTGCTCCAGTGGCAAGAAACGTACCATTTTGCATCCAGGAAGTATCAAAAATGAAGAAAAATACCTCACTCTCCAAAAGAAAAAGTTTCGAAAACGCGCCCGTTTTTTTGTGAAAAAATGGGCGCGATCTTCAAAACGAAATTTCTTCAGTTGGAGAGGGACGTATTTTGCCACATTTTTGATACTTGCCGGAGGCAAAATGGTAATTTTTTTGCCACTGGAACAGGCCCGTCACTGCAAACGACGGTTTTCACCTTCTTTCAGCCAAGCAATGACCAAAAATCAGAAAAATTTTCATTTTCTCGAAATTTTCAAAATAAAATCTACCTTCTTTTATGAGTATGCCAAAATTATGGCATTAATGAATTAAGTAGCATCTTAAAATCGATTAATCAACTAAATCTAGTTCATTTTAACCTTATTTGAGACAAAAAATGCTTAGAAATAGGCAAAATTCATTGCAAATCAAAATTTTCAAGCATTTCAAGATAGAATTCGTCTATATCTAATCAGAAAAGAATACTTCTGAAACGTACAACCATTACAAAGCATTATTTTGTTCAAAAAATAATCGAATTTCTGATATTTTTCAAAATTTTCAGATTGAAGCGTAAAAATACGAGGCCGTATTTTACCCAACAACTATTTTAGAACTCCAAAACATCAATTATTTGCAAAATATCAAACTTTAAAACTTAAAAAAAGCACGGCTGGAAGTCCGTGAATGAGATTTTGTAATCCCCTTTTCGCGGCGCACCTAAATCCTCGAGGGTTTAATTTTGGTGGCCACAAAAGCCCTCAGGGCTGTCTTTGGAGGCCAAGAATTCGCGTTTAACGAGGATTTTGTTTGCAGTCCGCCTTTAATTGAATTTTTTTGGCAATTTACATAAAACGTCTTCAAAAATTATAAATATTCAAATTAAAATATGTTATGTTACGCTCAGACCTCCGAAAAACTCTACAGAGACGGGAATTCAACCGGTTGCGCACTTGAAATGGACAAACCTTTGAAACGGGATTTAAAGTGACCATATGGCATATGAATTTACGATGAACAAGGGGGAAATTGAAGGGAGTTTTAAATGAAAACTAAACCAAACCAATGCAAACACTGGATACATAACATCAAGTCTATAAACTCATAATATTGGACCAAAAATATGAGTTTTTTGCCAGGATGACATCTGATGCCAAGGATCAGAGAATTTCATGGCGTAACAATATCTCTTCGTCTCAAACTTTTTATGAGAGTCAAATAATACCCCAGTATTCTCATTAAACTCAAATTTTCTGTACAATTTCCATATCAGCCAGAGAAATCAACTTTTTTCCGTCTGGATATCAAGTGCAATATAAGTTTTTGGTCAAAACATAGGAAAAAGCCAACAATGTCAACTGGACAGGACTTAAAACATACAATTAGATCAAATCTAAGCGCTTGACCATTAGAAAACTTCAAAAAAGGCAAAAGATACCATCAAGTATAATATAATTTTAACCCATATAACACCAACCTACAGCTCTACAAACCTACAAATGAACTTAAAATGACTCAATCATCAATTACCATGACAATCTAGCAAAAAATCATCATCAAAGCACAAAAAAATATTTTTTTTAAAAATTGATCTCAAGTACAATATAAAATTTGGTCCCAATCCAAAATTTCCACTCAAAATCCCTTCAAATCCATCCAACTTCCCACAAAACACTCCACACTCAATTCTTCAACAAATTATTCATCTTTATTCCACACGCCCAGCCCATAAATACCATCGGAAATGAACCTACCATCCTCGGCGAGTACATAATGTGGGGCAATTCCCAAGGGTAGCGTTCCAGCTTCGCGGCGGCGCGATTGTATGGGATGGATGTAAGACGAAGGGAATCGGGTTTGTTTTCTCTTCTGGAAATTTAAAATTAGTTAGTTAATCGATGAGTTTCGGGAGGGACGAAAAAAGAAAATGCAAACCCGATAGGACAAAAAATTAGATTCAAAAAATTTGAGTGAAAGACGTAATTCTGTTCTCTGATCACTACGCAAATATCTTCCTCAACGCGTAAAGTGTCGAAAAAAAATTAATTTGAATTTTGCACTGTGCGGGGTGAAAATTCCGCACTGTGCAAAAATCTTCGATGTTGGGTCCAAAAAAGCCTTGAAAATCCGAAAAGTTGAATTGGTACTTGTCATATTGAGCTTCAGACAACATTCTAAAGCCTATTTAGGAATAATAAAATTTCTAAACCAACTTTTCCAACTGTAAAATCGCGTTTTATCCCAAGATTTGCACCTTGCCCCACTAAATTCACTGCACCGTGAATAACTCTCTCAAATTTTAGCAAACATCACCAAATTAAAAATAATTAGGTCACTTAACAAATTCATAGAGCAATCAACCGTATTTTACCCCAAAATTTCCCTGCCAAATTTTCAAAATCAAAATTTTTCTCCAACCCCATCTAAAACAACATAATTTAACAAAATTTTCTCTCCATGATACTCGGGCATTCCGAAAACTTGAATCGGGCCCTCCGAAAAAAGTTGCCAACTCTTTGTGGACTAGCCATTTTCTCCATGGTCATTCATTCTTCAAACGAATTTGCAAAACGCGCCAAAAGAGCTGACATTTCGCGGGGAAAAAGAGAAATCTCTCCGGCGTTTTTGTTTGTTGCGGAAATGTCTCATCGGGGAATTGTGGGGTTATCTGACAGTTAAAACGCGTTTTGGAAATGAAGCGCCTTAGGGCGGAAAGTCGAGGAAATTCGAGATTTTGGCAAAAATGTTTGGGAAATCGTGTGAATAATGTTTTGTAGTGGTAATTAAATTGAAAAGTAACCAAGTAGGACCCATTTGGCAAATTATGGCTTATTTCAAGGTAAAATAGGAAGTCCAATTCTCCTAGCTCATGAAAAAAATTTTTTTTAGATCTTTTTCATATCTAAAATGATATTCCCAGAATCCAAAGTCCTCTCAAAAATCAACTTACACAACTCTACGACCGTTCTCGAGGTTTCAGACGCATTTCCAATACTCGATCTCGATGAGAAGCACTTCTCCTTCTATAACATTCAATCACCTGGCACATGACGAAGATAATCAGCGCAATCAGACTGAAAACATATCACTAACAGGATCTAAATTTATCAACAAAAAAATAGAACAAAAACTTACAAAACAACGATCAAAACTTTGTGGAAGAAATCTCGAACTTCGTCTTCGGTAAAGTCTCTGGAATTTTCATTCGCTATAACGGTAAGGTTGAGAAAGAATGTCGAATTGGGATCTAGGGTGTGATTCGAAGCCGGAAGTAGCAGTCCCATACAGCTTTGTTCTAAAAATCAACAAAAATTTTTAAGAAAAAAATTGCACAGTGCGGAGGAAAAAATTACAAAAATCACTTGTAATATAAGGTCAAACACTGGGGAGAAACGTCAAAAAATATTCCATAGACCTTATCAATCACAAATTTAGCCGTCAAATTCAATTTTCCCGCATAAATTGCTCAAAAAATCAATTATATTACATAAGCCAAGTGCAAGGTGGTCAAGTCCAATATAATCACTTTCATAAGCAAAAAAGGCCTCAAACAATTTATTACAAATGATCTTTAGTCCAAAAAGGATATCATAAACAACATCTAGACATCAATTCCCTTCATTAGACCAGGAAATAAATTAAATCCAAATCCCAGACATTTAATGTCTAAAATAAGGTCGGATCCGCCTAAAACGTCATTCTTTACAACCTCCCACCCACCAAGGCCCTGCGAACAACCACAAACTAATCATAATCAGACTCGTCTTCAGCATTGTCCTCATGGCCACGCCAAAAATTGGAAATAATAAAAACTGCACGGTGCAGTCATAATTGAAAAATTTCGACAAAATTTAATTAACATTGAATATGATAACCAACGCTGGCGGTGAGGAAAATAGAGAACCGGGAGTCGAATGTGCAATGCCGAATTCTTGGGCCTATAAAAAGTAATGGGTTTGGTGGAAGTTTTTTTTTTCTGGAACGGAAAAGTGGCGGAAATGACCAAAAAAACAATGTTGAAGGGGGTAATTTGAATAATATGAAAGCCAAATATGCAGTGGATTACGTCTAGACCCATCAGGAAGTTAGAGAGAGGAAATTGAGATCTGTTTCTGGCGAAAACAAAGTAAAAAGGTCATGTATAATATAAAGTGCTCTCAAGCGAGCAAGAAAATTAATTCCTCTGCTAAAAAAAATAAAATTAGCCACCCTGTAGGGCAAATTGGCAAGTTATAAATCAATTTATTTTACTTGTGCGGTCCAAAAATCTGCGCAATTAGTTTATTCGAACACCTTTCATCGTATAAAATCTTTATGAAGTCGGGTCCCGCAGCGAAAACTTTTGGTGTCACGGTAAATCCTTCGCACTGTGCTGGGCTTTGCGGCCGCGGTCGATGTTGATGTGGAAGAGATTTTGGGTAGTTTTTGACTGTTTTCAATGTAGATTCTTTAAATTTTTGATAAATTTATATTATCCATGACTGATACAGTTATTTTCAAAGGTTTTTTGCTGAAATTAGATGTAATATTGCGTGTATTTGACGTGATTTGATATCAGCGGCGGTATTTTTGCCGTAGCGACCGTTGAAAAACCAGTTTTTCCCGATTTTTTTGCATATAATTTGTGCGAAAATCATTTTTATACCTAAAATTATAATAATAATTTTTTTCAGCGAAATGAGCGGAACCCCTGTGAAACCCGAGCCCACAAGCCTTCCACATCAAACCGTTGTACCAAATATGGGTAAGACATCTCAAAAATTATTAGTTTTCTGTTTTTAGTGACCACTCAAGCCGGTCAGCCGTTTGGCTACAACCCACCGGTGGCGATTCCGCCCACCGCTCCTCATCATCAGCACTGTTTCACGCCCCAAGAACTTGTGCAATATGGAGCTCGATCCGCCGTGCCGCCTCAGCCAGCAGACCCGCTGTTCACCGCGTTGAAGGCTGTGAATGCTGTTGTGGCTGAGGTGAAGACTGAGTTGAATCATGAAGTTCCTCACGAGGTGAATAATTCAGTCCAGCAATTGCAGCCTGCTTTTCCGACGGATCAAAGTGTAGAAGATGAAGACAAGGAGAATATTGCAAAGTCTGCAGGGCAAAAACGAAAGAATGTAAGATTTTGACCTCTTCTTGGTCTTAATTTTTTGTTTTTGAAATTTTAGGTTGCTTCTGTATCTGGTTTGATATCCAATGCCTAGTATAACATAAAATTTTCAAAATTTTTATGTGCTATGAGTTGAATGGCGAAAAATATTGATGTTTACGTCCTGTTAGCGTAGTAAGAACGGTTCTGTACACTTTCGCTACAAAATTTGGCGTTTTGTTGCCTAGTGCAATATAATTTTTGTCAAATTTTTAATGTTTTGGTTAAGATGCTGCAAATAAGTGTCATCTATAGTATTTTGATTAATCATTGGCTATGATTTTTACTGTGTAATTCCATCTTTTTGTCTAAAATACTTCCTTAGATTTGCAGGTTCACACGATTTTTCTTGTATATTGTGATTAAAATCGATTTTCAGACCTCTTCCGAACCCAAGCAGCCCAAGAAACGTCGTGAATCCAAGCCGAAGGAACCGAAGCCGGCCAAACAAATTATTCCTCTACATCCAACTGTCTTCACTTTTTCCTTGGATGGCCAGTTGTCCAAGAGCACAGAAGGCCAAAATATTATGAATTTCCTGAGAGAAGGAGGCTGGCCAGGAGCTACAGGAATCAAAATGTTGTGTTCGCTGATCTGCGATCCAATTATGGACTTTTGCGCAAAGTAAGAATGTGGAGGAATGGGAAGCTGGGGGAAAAATACTGGGTGAAATACGGAGATTTATTGCAAATGGGAGTTTTTTAAAGCGGGTATTGCTGATATCAATATTTTTTTGTTTTACGAACTTTCATATATTACTTTAGATACCTCCAGAAAACAATTTTCAGTGTTGCACGATTAACTTTAATTTTCAGACGCTACTATCCCACCAGACGTGAGCTCCGGGAGTATTTGACGCATCTTCTGAGAGGATTCCCTCAAGCCAGTGTGGACAGTTTGGTTGGAAATGGAAATGACAAAGGTTTCATGGAGAAGGCGGTGTATAACAGAAGAAGAATCAGAATGGGCAAAGAGAGTGGAAACTGAACATTTAGTTGTATTTAGAGCGTACAGCAGTTTTTTTGAAAATCTGTAGTTATTTTGTTTACTTTATGATGTTACATTAGATATTTTGTCCCTCTAACGAATGTAAAGACTAATTGTTTTTGTTGCTTCTTAGTATTTGTTGTTGATTGTTATTTGGTTTAGTTTCGAATAAAAATTAGCGGAAAACTGGAGCATTTTGATAAGTTTTGAGTAATGTTTTGATCATTTCAATATTAAGATTTTTCGAAATGTTATTACTTTATCTGAAGTTAATTTTCAAACTGGTTTACAAGTTGCTACAGTTTTGACATCCCTCAAATGTCTACTATTATACATGGTTAATTTGACGGATTTTTTCAATCTGGCCTCAAATTGGTGTCGTTTTCGTTATTTTGGCTAGATTGAAAGTTTTGATAAGGGAGTGGTCTGTCTAATGTTAACAGTATTCATCATTGTCAATGTTGAACTCGCATTTGAACGCTTCGTATATCACATGGGAATGGTCTGAAATTCCCCCCGAGCGTTTGAGAAAATGACTAGGATAGGTGGATAGAGCAGGCCAACTTTGGTAAAAAGAGTCATTTTTCTATTTTGCAGTTGAAAAATGACTCTTTTTACCAAACTTACCTGTCATAACCGCCTATACTAATTTTCCCAAACTCTGGGGGAAGTTCAGACCATTTCCTTGTGGTACACGAAGCTTTCAAATGCGAGTTTAACATAGACTATGATGATTACCGTTAATATTAGTCGCACCGTTCCCTTATCAAAATTTTTAGTCTAGCCAAAATTACGAAAATGACGCCAATTTGACGTCAGATTGAAAAAAATCTGTCAAATTAACACAATAGTAGACATTTGCCCATTAAGGGATGTCAACATTGAACATAGACTATGATGAATACCGTTAATATTAGTCGTAACCGGTTTTTCTGATTATTACGTCGGTCTTCTTGACAAGAGGGGGCAATTTAGTTCCTAAAAATATTAAATTACGACGATTTTTTTAGTAAAAATCCGTAAAAAATTTGCAGAAAAATCCAATTTGGCAAATTCGGGAAAGGATTCTTTTTTTGGTATAAATTTTTTGAATATTTTTAATAAGTTTTTCTGGGAAAAGCGTTTTTCATCCTTGCTGAAAGCATACCCTTTTTTTAATTGCCCACTTCCTCAACCCAAACAAATTTACAAAAGGAACTTGTTTTACAGGAACTTTAATTAGAAATTTTAATCTGTTTTTCTTATTGCCATCCATTTCCTCGGGTGCCGTTCGTATTTCTCGGATGAATCATCCCATTTTTCCTCTCAATTCCAACAAAAAACAGACACTTCGGCAAGTTTTCCCCACAGAAAACGGCGTTTCGAAATCGTTGACTTATTAAAAATGTTACGAAATTGTCTTACAAAGCCGAGCTGATATTTTCCAAGAAATTCGCCCAAAAAAAGGAAGATTGAGTGCTCTCCTTGAACTAGAAATTAATCGCCCGACGCGGCACGTTGACCCGCGAACGTTCAGGGTCATTTTAAATTCAAAATAAGATCGTTTATTTTAGCGAGCACCCGATTTTTTGGAAGTTTTTTTACGACTTTCTCAATTTGCCGTTCGAAAGCGTTCGGGTTGAATAGGTTGGAGAAATTTGAATTTTTGGACTTGGAGATTTTCATGGAGCTTAATCCGTTGAAGTCGGGGCAAGCGGCTACTAAAAGGGGAGGTGCCACAAGTCAGACGCTCAGATTTTCTTTAAATTTTGCATACAGGTCGGGCATAGGCCACATAGCAATTCAGGAAAATTTTGGCTCGAACTTTCCAGTGGCAGCCGGGATATTCAACGATCTTTGCGGCCGATAAAGTACGTAAAACGTGGAGAGTGGTCAGAGAGAAAAAACATACAGTGGGGGGACCTGATCCAGTGGTAAAAAACGTACCATTTTGCATCCGGAAAGTATCAAAAATTTGGCAAAATGTTTCCCTCTCCAAGTGAAAAAACTCCGGTTTCGAAAGCGCGCCCACTCTTTTTGTGAGAGAAAGGGCGCGCAGTTTAAAACGAAGTTTTTTTCACTTGGAGAGGGAGACATTTTGCCACATTTTTGATACTTCCGATGCTAAATGGTACCTTTTTTGCCAATGGGTAGGGTCCCCAACTGTGTAAACACTTCTTAGCCACGTCTTTTTGCTTATTTTGTGCGAAAAAAATATTTTTTGTGGAAACATTACATTCTATGGTAGACTGCAGAAACAACCTATGAAAGGTTACATATCGAGTGCCTTAGAGTGTAATGTTTTCACAAAAAATCAAATTTTTTCCACGCGAAACTAGCAGAGATATGGCCAAGAAGGGTTGTCTCTCTGACCGCTCTCCGCGTTTCGTATACTTTCTCGGCAGCAAAGATCGTTGAATATTCCAGCTGCCTCTGGAAAGTTCGAGCCAAAATTTTCCTGAAATGGTATGTGCCCTATGCCCGACCTGTTTGCAAAATTTAAAGAAAATCTGAACGTCACACTTGGGTGACTTTCCGTGTTAATTTTTCTTTATTATATTTTCAACTTTCCCTTTTCAAACAACTTCTTTTCCCTTCCTCAAACCTGTTCTTACAAATCCTCAAATCCCCCTTCTTTTGCAAATATCTTCCTCCTCTTCATGGGCTTTTATTGCAAGCCCACATCTCAACGATTATGACATTATATCCAGCCATAACTTCCATTCGATAAAAATTTTTACGAATTTTATGCGTTTCAAAGTGTCTTGTTCATTTTGGGGGAAAGAGGGTGGGCAGAAAGGAAGTTGAGGCTAACATTTTGAAAGGGTTTTGCAAGAATACAAAAGACCCATTATAACGGCTTAATGGAGTGAAATGGTATCGGTTTACAGGGAGTTTTGTCTTGGTCACTAAACAGAAAAGAAATTGACGTTTTTTATTTTGAGTACTGGGTTCCCAGTGGTGGTCAACGCCGATTTCTTCGATTTCTGGCGCAGCCTAAAAAATATTAGGCTCGATAAGGGGCGAACTGCCAAATTTCCTTTGATCTTACCGCTTCGGTGGATTTAAATTTGCATATGTTCAAGTTTTGAAGGGTAAGGGTTCAAAAACCTTCTAATACAGTATCGGACCTGTTCCAGTGGCAAAGAACGTACCGCTTGCCATCCAGGAAGGATCCAAAATTTCCGCAAATTCCTCCCTTCTCTTATCAAAAAACACTTCTCTGAAGAGCGCGGGAAGCTCTCTTTCCTTCACAGAGAGAGCTCCCGCGAATTCAAAGCAGTGTTTTTTGGTCAGACAAGGGAGGTGTTTTGCGGCAATTTTGGATCCTTCCTGGATGCAAGGCGGTACGTTTTTTGCCTCGGGGGCAGGTCCGATACTGTATTATAGTACCTTTTTGAACCCTTACCCTCCAAAATTTGACCATATGTTAATTTAACCCCAAAGAAGCGTTAAGATCATAGGAAGCTTGGCAGTTCGAGAATAATTTATCTTTGAAAAGTAAATAGACCCCTTTTTCGCTGTTGCAAACAAAATTTCCGGTATTTGCAATTCGCAACACGTAATTTCGACTCTCCTGCAAATCTCCATGCCCTCTGGCTATCTTATCAGCTGCTTCCGAATGAATTACCTTCCAAATTCCCCAGTTTTATCATCCACTTTTTATTTACCAATCTCTATGCAAATAGGCATGACTAATCTCCCCCAAAGTGCTCTCAAAAACACCCCTTTTTAAATATTCATAAAACAATCAAACGAATTGGAGCCGACATTTCGACGCGCGGCGCAAATTCGTCTTATTTTTGGGGTCGGGCTGTAACCATAAGGGTAATGTAACGGGTGATGAATCGGCTTGCTAAGAAAAGGCTGGAACCTAGCGAAGAGGGCTGGAAGATGCGGGAAATTTGGTAAATTTGGGGTACAAATAGTCAAAAAAAACTTGTCGAGTTTTATTTTACACAATTTTTTTCTGGCGTTCGTCGCACTGTGCCGATTTTTTATAAACGATTTTTTGCACTGTGCGAAAGATTTGACGTCTATTTCAGAGAAGGTAGATGACAGGAGCAACAATATTTTTTGTCGAATACACAGTCCCTGAATTGTTTTTCATTCTGAATTTCAAAAATTGTGTTTTGCGCTTTTTTGCACTGTGCAGTTCTCAATTTTTTCCATTGCACCGTGCAAAATTTAAATCGACCATTTCTCGAAAGGACTCCGGTAAATTTGGAAAATAACTTGCCTATTGGGTAGAATATACTCAGTTCTACACTCCTTGTTGCCAGAATTTGATTTCCCCTCCGATTGCACTGTGCAATTCATCATACTCCCGTCTGCACTGTGCAATCCCCAAATTGCGAAATTCCGCACGGTGCAAAAGTCAACTAGCCTAGATATTTTGTCCCTCTATTTTCCATTTTCCACCGGTCACAAGTTTGGTCCTAACGGTCCTTTCGCTTCCGGCTAATCCATTTTTTATCTGGTCGCCGAATGGCGGCCAAAAGTCGGAAGGAATCAACAAAAAAATAGCCAATGTCTCTCGGTTTTTTATGATGAAAACTTGTGTTCTGGTTGGCATTTTACGAGAGGTCCCTCTTTGTCCCGCTAACATTCAATCCCATCAGAATTTTGAATGACCCATCTGGACAATTGAATTTGCTTGAAAATGTTTGATTTTTTGTCAGATGTCATCGTTTTTTATGATTTTTTACGGCCAAATTGTGGTTTATATGATTTATCAGACTCTATCAAGCAGGATGGCCTTGTTAGTCATCATTACCCGTATTTGTTTCCCCAAAACCGCAAACTTTTCCAAGAAGTTGCTGTTCTCGTCAAACACCAGCCGCCATATGATTCATTTCACCAGTCAAGTGATTACTAACCACGCTGCTCTTTCACTTGTGACCAAGTCCCGTCTCGACATTACCCAATTTCCCCGTTTTCGCCAAAAAACGACTGGAAATGAGCCCATCACTGTCTGCGCTCTCTCTTTCTCCCCACTCTCTCGCTTCTTTTCTATTCAAAAGGGCCGCGTCGCATATCTCTCTGCGCTCTCTTTAGGTCTCACAGTCTCTCGAAAAGTCTCTAACGTCTCTTTTTTCTCTGCTGCCGCAACTGTCTTCCGTAATCTTTCGCCTCTGTCTCTTCTCTCTCCTTTTCCGTGTTCTCTCGCCGTTTCCCGCTTGAACGCATTTTTCTCTGACCACCCTCTCGCTTCGGCGTTCTCTATTAAATTTTCCTCAAAAAGTGCGGGGAAAACGAGAAATTTTGCGGAAACCCCAACCAAAAATAAAAAGTAGTTGTGTAGAATATATTGCTCACATGTCTCTGCGCTTACATCACCCCTCGCGCAGGTATTTTGTCGCTCTCAATGAATTTTACGACCTTATTTTAGGTGGTTTTCAAGTACAATATAATGGGGGTAGCTGTTCCGCGTCGCTTTTGTAGAGTTAATCGTCGTTGTTGGTCTTACTTTGTTGCGGAACTAATTGGGTTCGTTTTCAGACGCGATGAACCGAACTCTGGCCGAAACTGTTAGCGTTTCGGCCAGCCAGATCGCTCATTCCGAGAAAAGATGTCCAGTCCGGGTGAAATTTGGTAATTATACGGAGGATATCACTGCTACTGGCCTTGTTGATCTTGTAAGTTGGTTTTATTGCATTTTTTCTTGATTTTTAGGTATAAACTGAATTCGCTTATCATGGGTAATATAAATTTTCTCTCGTTTCTGCAAAGCTTTGCATCTAAGACCATGGAAATAGTACAAAAAGTCTAGATAAACTATCTTTTTGCCAATTCTTATTTAATTTACACATATTTTTTCAAAACGGCATCTGAGACCATGTGTAATATAAAAATTGGTGTTTCCCTCAAAATTTAGAGAAAAGCTCGGGAAAAAACATGTTTACGAGCTTTAGCCTGGCGTTGTTGATGTTTGTGACACGTTCTTCCTCTTCTTTTTTGATTTTCACACATCTTTTCAGGCGAAACTTGCTCAAGACTTTCAACTTCAAATTCTACCTCAAAGTTCCTCTCAATCCCAGCTCAATGACGATTCAGCCCTTTCTTTTCACTTTCTTCACAACTCGTAAGTTCTCTTTCTTTATTTTGCATCTAATTTTTAGGTAAAAACAGCTTGCTTTGACATAAATTATATCGTTTTAGTGATCTCACTTCGAAGAAGTCACAAAAACAGTCCAAAACTGCCAAAGTTTGTCATTTTGAGACAGTGGACGAAGAGCTCAACCATTCAGCTGTAAATTTATGTGACAATGACATCTCCGGGATCCTCAGGGACCAACGGGGGAACGTTTATTTCCTTGGGCATGACCAACATAGTGGATTTTATCTGCAGCCTCAGAATTTTGCCTCATGTGGTATGTTTTCGTATTGAGCTGTTAGTACTTGCATTTTTAGACAAAATATTCTCCTCTCGTTCAAAACGAGCTGCAGGAAAGGTCCCAAACACCCCTCACTACTACGCGGAATACCTGGATGGAATTCGTCGCTATGTGGAGTTGGTGTTCATCGCGGACAAGTCAGTCTTTGACAAATATGACAGTGATGAAGAGAAGGTTCATAACCGCATGGAATCCATTGCGAATGTTGTGAATTCGGTAAGATTCTGGCGATTTTTCGACATTATCCATGGTTCAGATGTACGCTCCGATAAATATTCGAATCACCCTGGTATATGCGGATATATGGAAGGATGCGGATGTGTTTCCAATAACGGAGAACTCGGATGATGCTTTGAATAAGTTTTTGGTTTACAGGAAGGGGCTGATCTTCGACCATCCACATGATAATGCACACCTCTTGACGTGAGTTTTTTTGATGTTTTTGTTGTATTTTTAGATATGGATCAAATAGATTGGGGCAAGATAGATTCCGTTGGAGAATTTGGACTACTTTTTTAGCAATTGTATTGTTTTGGCTAGGCGTATTTTACCAAAATTTTTAAGATCATCAAAATTTTTAGTTAAATTTTGATTTTATTTTAATTTTTTGGGGGGAATTAAGGTCAGTGAACATGAGTAGATGTCTCAGTTTGCCTCCTACTACAATTTTAAGCTCTTAACATTTTAAATTTTATATTACAATACTAAAAAATCACTAATCTTACCCTCAATTTTTCAGACAAACCCGATTTTCCAACAGTGTGATTGGAAAGGCCTATCGTGGAACCATGTGCTCCTATGACTTTAGTGGTGGTGTTATTTTTGTAAGTTCATATTCGAATTTGTTTTATTTCGAGTTTTTAGAACGATGACCGAGTGACTTTTGTGGCCTCCACTGTGGCCCACGAAATGGGCCATAACTTTGGAATGGAACATGATTTGGGCTATCCAGACCCGTGCAAATGCGCATCCGACCTTTGCATCATGTCACCGAGTAGTGGAGGGTGAGATTTTGGAGATTTTTTGGGGAGATTTTTGAGATTTTTTGTTTGATTTTTGATATTTTTGGTGTAATTTTTGATTTTTTTTGCATTTTTCTTGCATTTTATTGTTTTTAATTTTAAATTTAGTTTGTCCGCAGCCACTTTCTGGTCCGATTGCTCCTTGGAAAATCTTCAAAGCGCCCTAAAAAGAGGCGTCGATTACTGCCTCCAAAATGTCCCCAAAAAAGCATTCGGCGGCGCGAAATGCGGCAACGGAATTGTCGAGGACGGAGAGGACTGTGACTGCGGATCCCTCACGGAATGCCCCAACAAATGCTGCATCGCCAGCACCTGCAAATTGGCGGAGAATGCGGAATGCGCCGCGGGAGATTGCTGCGATTTTGACACCTGTAAACCACGAAAAATGGCGACGCAATGCAGACAGGCCACTAGTTCCTGTGATCTGCCCGAATATTGCGATGGGGAGAACCCCAAATGCCCTCCCGACTTTTTCGTTCAGAATGGATTGGCTTGTCCGGATGCGCCGGAGGTAGGGATTGCAGTGGATTGAATAAAAAGGGGAAATTCGGTGTAAAAATGAGCTCATTCTGAAAAAAATGAAAATTGAACCGTGAAAAAATAATACAGTGGCATCGAAATGTCGATTGTTTCTACAAAACACAAGCTAAAAATCCCGCATACGTCTGGAAAAATAGCCTCCAATTCTCATTCTCCTCGGACAGCAAGAGAATGACAACTTTCCGTTCCAAAAATCACTAAAAAAACTCGAATTTTCGGCAACTTTAGGCCTAAAAATCTCAGTCGTTTCTGCAAAACAAGCTAAAAATCTCGCATACGTCTGGAAAAATTCAAATCTAAATTTGCGCCAAGTTTCATCAAAATTGAAACCTCGTACTATGGGAATTACCATTGACTTTCTGCACTTTGCAAATTTCTCCCTTTTCTACAGAGAGGGACCTGATCCAGTGACAAAAAACATAGTATTTTGCATCCGGGAAGTATCAAAAATGTAGCAAAATACCTCCTTCTCCAAGTGAAAAGACTCCGATTTCAAAAGCGCGCCCGCTCTTTTTGTGAGGGAAAGGGCTCGCTCTTCAAAACGGAATTTTTCACTAGGAGAGGGAGGTATTTTGCTGTGTTTTTGATACTTCCCGGATGCAAAATGGCACGTTTTTGACACTGGATCAGGTCCGCTACTGTAGTGAAGGGTTAAATTTGCAAAGGACAGAAAGTTAATGGTAATCCCCCAAAGTACAAGGTTTCAATCTTGATGAACCTTGGCACAAATTTAGATTTGTATTTTTCCACACGTATGCGAGATTTTTAGCTTGTTTTGCAGAAACGACTGAGATTTTTAGGCCGAAAGTTGCCGAACATTTGGGCTTTTTAGTGATTGTCGGAATGGAAAATTGTCATTCTCTTCGGTCTGCATGTTCATGCATCACTATGATTTTGGTTGCAGTCCGAGGAGAGTGACAATTTTTCAATCCAAAAACCACTAAAAACTTGAATTTTCGGCGAACTTTCGACCTAAAAATCTCGACCGTTTCTGTAAAACACGAGTTAGAAATCTTGCATAGGTCTGGAAAGATTCGAATCGAAATTTGTGCCAGGTTTCAACGAAGATTGGAGGTGTTAATTAGGGGAATTGCTCGAAAAAAAATTTTCAAAAAATATTTTGTGTTTTTTTTGATTTGATGATTTGGTGACCTTAGGGGGTGGATTAGGGTCTAAATTTTTGGTTTTGGTCGATTTTTATAAATCTACTCATCTTGTTGTTTCAGGACTTTTGCTACGAAGGCCAATGCGGCTCGCGCGACCACCAATGCCAGTACATTTGGGGCGAGACGGGCAAGAATTCGGACAAAGACTGCTACACGATGAACGTCTATGGCAATGCCAATGGAAACTGTGGATACGACCCGAGAACCGAGCGCTATTCTCCGTGCCGACCGGCCGATCAGGAGTGTGGCCGCTTACATTGCACCCAACTGAGTGAACGCCCCGTTTTCGGCGACCCATCCACGGTCTATGTGGGCTACACGGCGGTCCGAAAAGGCGACGGGAGGGATGTGGCTTGTCGGACGGTGAGAACCACGTATTCCGGAGGGCGGAGGCAGGACGATCCGGGAATGGTCCCGGATGGCGCACGGTGCGGAAAAAATTCGGTAAATTTTGAATTTGTTTAGGTTTTCAGGGAAAATTGGAAAACGTAAAGGTTTGTAGAGGAAGAGTAGGATTTTTGGGGGAGATTTTGGAAATTTTTTGTTTTGATTTTTGAGTTTTTCTCGGAAAATATTGGAATTTTTTTTTAGTTTTTTTTCTGGATGACTGAAAAAATTTAATTTTACAGTGAGGGACCTGATCCAGTGGCAAAAAACGTACCATTTTGCACCCGGGAAGTATTAAAAATGTGGCAAAATGTTTCCCTCTCCAAGTGAAAAAACTCCGATTTCAAAAGCACGCCCGCTCTTTTTGTGAGCGACCTTCAAAACGAAGTTTTTTCACTTGGAGAGGGAAGCATTTTGCCACATTTTTGATGCTTCCCGGAAGCAAATTTGTACGTTTTTTGCCACTGGATCGGGTCCGCCACTGTAAAATCAAATTTTTCAGCCATCCAGAAAAAAATTTTAAAAAATCCTTATTTTTCCGAGAAAAACTCAAAAATCAAAATAAAACATATCCAAGCCTCAATATCCACGTGAAAAATTTGGATATTTCGAAATATTTTCAATTTTTCAAATAATGAAAAAAAAATTTCTAAGTTTTATCCCACCGTATTTTAGATATGTGTGAAGCAGAAATGCTCGAACCTGACCCAAGTCACCGAAATGGTCTCCAAATGCGACCCCACGGACTGTCACGGGAAGGGAATCTGCAACAATGTGGGGAATTGCCATTGCCTCCCCGGATACGGCGGAACCGCCTGTGATATCCCCGGCTATGGTGGCTCAGTGAACTCTGGGCCAGCCTCGGACAAAGTATTCAGCCCTGGCATGGTTTTCCTATATGTTTTTATTGTTGGTTTGATCGCCTTCATCGCAGCGACTGTGTGGTGCCGAAGAAAGAAAGGCGTCTGGCTGCATAAAAAGTGGGTTTTTGAAGGGTAATTTGGGGATAGGTAATGGTGGAAATGAATAAGGAAGAGGTTGGGGGGAGTTGAAAGCAAGTATGATGGCTGAGGATACTGTAATTTGCAAAAAATGTCGAAATTTGATGATTTTTGGGGATTTTTGAAAATTTTTGCGGAAATTTTGTTGTTTGGCAAAAAATTTTGTTGGAAAAGTATTCTAGTTGATTTTTGAGACCATAAGGGATGTTATCAAGTGATTTTTGGGTTTGAGGTTACTGTAATTTTTTGGAAAAATCGAAAAATTTTGTGGATTTTTGGGGTTTTTGAAATTTTTCGATTTTTTTTTTTTGAAAAAGTATGTAGAAAGTAAAAATTAGTAATTTTTAAGAAATTACAGGGCTTGTTATACCATTTAATTAATGTGGGGTACTGTAATTTTTTCAAAAAATCAAGAATTTTTGAGATTTTTGATTTTTTTTTTTTTTTTTTTGAATTTTTTTTGTTTTTTTCAAAACCAACCCGAATTTTTCAGAATGTGGAAGCATACGAAGAAGGCATTTGGAATTGAAGCCGTCCGTGTCCCAGTCCGCAAAGCCCCACCACCGCCAGGCCAACAAAATCGCCGCTCGTTTTCGCCATGGGAAGCGGTAAACGCGATGTGGAATCGTCATTCCCACCCCTCCCCACGCCACGAACCCCCTCCGCAACCCATGCAAACTCAAGTCCGAGAAGTCCTCACAGTCGGCGCGGCCATGCCAATCATACCACAGAGCTACATGCCCACGAAAAATGAGGATCTTCAGGGCCATGGTGAATATAATGGATATCCCCAAAACCCCCAAAATTTTGGTTCAAATTACCCCGCAAATGCGTATTACTCGAAACAGGGAGAAATGGCGACGGTTGGCATCAATTCTTACCCAGCTTATAATCAACCATATCAGTTGCCGCCGGTCGCGCAATACGAAATCCCACCGCCGGACCCGGACCAAAACTTGTACGGAGATGATTTTGACGAAATCCCCGCCGCACCGCGACACATCATCCGCCAGGACAAGCAAAAACCCCAAGCCAATTCACTGAAACGACCCCCCGTACCACCCCCAAAACTCCCGGAAACGCGCCGCCTTCAGACCGACTCATCCTCCGAATCCTCGGAGGCAACGAGCCCAATTCCACCGGTTAAGGAGAAGAAAATTGTGAGAAGCGAGAGTATCTTGAACAGACCGGTGGTCGCACCACCACCGCCACCTCATAAACCCAAAAATGTAAGGGATTTTTGACAAGGAAAATACTTTTATGGGGCATGGAGAGGAGGAGGAGACATAGATAAAAAAAACTGCAAAATTTTTCTGCTTCAGAATATTTGAAGATTGGCTCGATACGAAATCCATTGAGCAAGCTATAATCTCCTCTAAAATCCCACAAAATCTCTTAACCCCAATAAAAATTTTAAAACACGATTTTTGAGCCACTGAATCAGCCGCCAGTTAGGCCCGGACATAGAAAAAAATGGATTTTGGGTTTTTGATCTTAAATTGACTGTAGGCATCCTATAAACATATGACCAAAATATTTTTGCCTAATTCTCCCATTAACCTACTGTAATTTACAATTTAATGTTTTTACAGTAATCGACTATTACTCCAAAACTACGCATCGTAAATAGTTGAAATTAAGAATACTTATGTTTTAGCACATGCTCGTCAAAGTGAATACAAAATTTTGGCACTCAGGTTACTGTAACATACCGCAATATAGGTTCGGCCGCACAAAATCGGCCGTAAAAAAATTGTTTCTGAAAACCCGCAGCTGATTTTTACATATGTTGTTCAGCGTAAAATTCTGCCCTAGAAACATTTTAAAAAAGTTTAAAAAGTCGTGCCCCGATTTTCGTGGTGTAGTGGATTTTGGTCAAGTTTAGTAATCCGAAGGTCGCGGGTTCGATCCCGGTGGAACCAAAATCTGTAAAACCGCACAAAACTTCAAAAAATCGTGTCGAGGGGAATTGATAATATACATGCAGAGTACCAAAAACTGTATCATGGGTTATTCGCAAATTAGAAGGCATTTTTCGGAGTTAAAATTATTATTTTGGTCTTCGCGGATTCTGGCCCAAATTTAGTTAAGCAAAATGGCTAAAAATGATAATATATACCTTTTCTAGCCTTCTGAGTTCAATGCACCCAATTTTTCGGACCTAGGATTACTGTAACATGGCGAAAACGGATTTCGGCCGCTAAAATCGGCCGTAAAACTGTTCATTGCGAGTATACGCAGCTAATTCTTCGATTTTTCGAATCAGCATGAAATTCCACACTAGTGACACTCAAAGTTGACTTTCTCAGTTAAACACTTTTTTCACTGTGGTGAATTACTTTCAAGTTTGAAAATTGTAAATAAAACTGCATTAGTTCTGGATTAAGCCAAAAATACTTCAAATCTGAATTTAAACGATGGATCCACACATTTATAGACCAAAAACCCAAATTTTTAAATTTTTTTTTCAACCAAAAAATTTGTATGTAATCTTCAGTGCAAAATTTCTGCGAAATAAAAATGGTCAGCTAAGAAATATTATATAATGATTCTGGGGCAAAATTTCACGCTGATTCGAAAAATCGAAGAATTAGCTGCGTATACTCGCAATGAACAGTTTTACGGCCGATTTTAGCGGCCGAAATCCGTTTTCGCCATGTTACAGTAATCCTAGGTCCGAAAAATTGGGTGCATTGAACTCAGAAGGCTAGAAAAGGTATATATTATCATTTTTAGCCATTTTGCTTAACTAAATTTGGGCCAGAATCCGCGAAGACCAAAATAATAATTTTAACTCCGAAAAATGCCTTCTAATTTGCGAATAACCCATGATACAGTTTTTGGTACTCTGCATGTATATTATCAATTCCCCTCGACACGATTTTTTGAAGTTTTGTGCGGTTTTACAGATTTTGGTTCCACCGGGATCGAACCCGCGACCTTCGGATTACTAAACTTGACCAAAATCCACTACACCACGAAAATCGGGGCACGACTTTTTAAACTTTTTTAAAATGTTTCTAGGGCAGAATTTTACGCTGAACAACATATGTAAAAATCAGCTGCGGGTTTTCAGAAACAATTTTTTTACGGCCGATTTTGTGCGGCCGAACCTATATTGCGGTATGTTACAGTAACCTGAGTGCCAAAATTTTGTATTCACTTTGACGAGCATGTGCTAAAACATAAGTATTCTTAATTTCAACTATTTACGATGCGTAGTTTTGGAGTAATAGTCGATTACTGTAAAAACATTAAATTGTAAATTACAGTAGGTTAATGGGAGAATTAGACAAAAATATTTCAGTCATATGTTTATTGGAAGCCTACGGTCATTTTAAAACAAAAAACTCAAAATCGATTTTTTTCTATGTCCACGGCTAATTCAGTGACTCAGAAATCGTGTTTTAAAAATTATAACAAACTACTTAAAAATAGTCAAATTCTCTAAAATAAGGTCGAAAAGACCCAAAAATTGAATGTTTCGCAACGAAATCCACTCAAACTGACAGAACAGACCATCGTAAACAATCTCCAACCGCCAAAAGGTGGCAAAAAGTTGGCTAAAATCCACCCAAATCATCAAAACCCCCCAAAAATAAGGTCCAACAACTACCCCATATCTCCACAGTTTCTATTTCAATCTCTTCCAAACAATAAAACAAGCTCCAAACTGTCCTAAACTCCCCACAACTCCCACGGAAACCAAAGCTATTTTCCAAAATCACCAAAAATCGCCTAAAACAACGTCAAGTCCTCTAATAAATATAAAAATCTCACAATGGGAGTTTTTTGTTGCTTTAGGGACTGGATGTTGATTTAGACGATTTTTGGTGATTTTGGAAAATGTTTTTGGTTCCCCCGGGAATTATGGGGAGTTTAGGACAATTTGGAGCTTGTTTTACTGTTTTTGAGAGATTGAAATGGAAACTGTTGAGGTGTGGGGTAGTTTTTGGACCTTGTTTTAGTGGAGTTTTGATGATTTTGGAGGATTTTGGATAACTTTTTGCCATCTTTTTGCGGTTGCAGATTGTTTATGATGGTCTGTGCTGTCAGTTTGAGTGGATTTCGTAGCGAAATATTCAATTTTTGGGTCTTTTCGACCTTATTTTAGAGAATTTGACTATATTTTAGGTAGTTTGTTATAATTTTTAAAATTTTTATTGGGGTTAAGGGATTTTGTGGGATTTCAGAGAAGTTTATGGATCATTCTATAATTCTAGGTACCTATAAGGATAAAACGAATATTTTTGGTCTGTTTTGACCTTATTTTAGCCATCTTGACCTTGTTTTGGACGATTTTTGTTGATTTTACCCTCAAATCTTAATTTTAAATAAAATAACGGTCGTATTTTAGCTCCCATCATCATCTCCAACCAAGAAATTCAAACCCCCACCCCCAATAAAGCCTCCGGTGTCATCCACACCAGCCTCGGAGCCCTCGGAAGAACCGCCAAAACGGATAAATGTGAAGGCTCTAGCCAAACAATTGGACACCAAACTCTCAAACATATAAGACTCTTTCTCCAGTATTCTGTAATTTATGCTTTCGCCCTTTTTCCTGTACATAACTCGGTAATATTGTTTTAAAGGTCTAAATTAATATAATTTTTTGAATTTCTCGATATTTTTCCGTGAAATGTGATGAAATACGGTTACTCACTGCGACAAAATGTATTTTATTTTTGTTCTATTAGGGTCATGTATGTGAATATATCGGAATCTGGTCTCTATAGACAAAAAAAGATATTACACTACTTATTAAATTAATATTTACTTAATTCTTGGTAAATTCAGTGCTTTGTAAGCTGCAATAAATTTGTCAGAAGGTTGTTGAGGCGTCTACAAGTTTGATAGTGTTTTGAGAACGGTCCCTTGGCCAGAAACGGAGGACCGACATGTTATACGATGAAACATGTCCGGCGAAGTTTGAACGTAAAGTGAACCGCCGCGATTGATTTTTTTATTGTAGGATAAGCGTCAACTAATCGTGAGCATAAAACATTCTTGATTTTGTTTTGTAATCATCGAGATTTGATCATATCTGAATGTTCTGTCAGATTTGATGACAAAAACAATGTTTTTCGATTATGGACAATATAAAATGAGCTCAATTTGGCCATGAAATTTCTTGTAGATTCTTTTAAGACAACACCTAGTGCTTTCTTGACTTTTTCTACGTTGTAATTTCAATTACACCACTCATCGTATAAAATGTCTTCCGCAAATTTTTGAGTATTGGGCGCAGCTCGGCGACTTTTTAACTTCCTAGTTACTACTCTTTCTTGAAGTTTACAGGCTAAAAAGAGATTGTCAATTCTCTGGGGACATTTTATACGATGAAACATGTCCAAATCCCACTCATATATGTTTCATCGTATAACATGTCGATCTTTGTAGAGATTTTAGTATTGTGAGAAAAAACGATTTATTAACGATTTGCGCTCAAATTACGGTGGATATAGCTCCACAGGGCACTGACTTTCATCAGCAGTTCCACTGTCACTGCTTGAAATGCGCCATTCCGTGTCCTTACTCAACCCCACGTCCTGGAAGACGGTGAAACGGCATTGAGAGCCGTAAAAGATCCGGTGATATCTAGAAGTTAAATTAAATTTGTTGTTGGTGGATGATGACAACTTACACATAAAGGTTCCTCTTTGTGGGCAAAGTGTTGGGCCAGTCGCAGGTGATGGAGAAATACCCTTCGGGGGTGGGGATGTCTTCACCGCATTTCTTCTCCCATTCGCCGGCAGCGACCAACACAACGCGCTGAAAATGCGATGACTTTATTTTGGGGAGTGCACAAGTGCGGCGCTCAAACAGGAAGAACTCGGCCTAAGGAAAACTGAATTGGATACTAGTAGCAGTGCATTTTTCGTTTCTTTTTGCACGGTGCAATATGGTCTTGTTACAAAGGGCACAATGGGGTCTTTGCACAGTGCAAAGTCGGTCTCTCGCACGGTGCAAAGTGGGGGTTTTTTCTATCGTACGGCCCCGCGACAAAATGTCTACGCACTTTTGAAAAAGCGTAGTAAAACATTCCCTAAAATTTATTTATAATAAAGCGACATATGCAAGTCTCCTAGCTCGCGCTTTGCAGAACGAATACAGATTTTTGTATTGGAAAACCTACCACTTTACGGTACCCTTTGAGGTTCCCGATATGCCAAGGCCGAATAAAGCCGGTCATATCCCACGCTACACAGACAGTAGCACAAAAAATTAGCAAGCATATCAGCCCTAAAGCCTTCATTTTTTTAATAAAAGTGATGAAAAATGATATTTCATGTAATAAGGCGGCTGAATTAGCTTTAAAATTGCGATTTTTATGAGACAAGTTATCCATAAATTAAAATCATATTTTTTTTGAATTGTTTTTCTCTAACCGCTCACCTCGTTTTCCATACTCTCTCGAATCCACGTTATTTTCCCGACGGACAGATAGATATACAATTAAACTTTTGTATATACAACGGTTCACAGAAGCCTAAACTTGCGACCTCATGAATTGTTTGTTATAGACAGTTTTCATTGTAACGGAGTTCCTTGCACAGAATCCACCGTATCAGTCATAAGATTTATTTCAAAAGAATAAGCAATTTTATGTCCATCCAAACAACTAACGAATCAACCGGATTCATAGTAGTCGGTGGGGCATTCGTTGTCCGGAGCTGGGCCTTCGTCGAACTCGGAGAGTTCCCAATCGCCTCCGACATCGGGGAGTTGAAGGTTCTCGAACTTGGACATACGACACTGTTCGCCGTAGAAAAGACGGTGGAACCTGGAACACGTTTGTTTTTGGCCTTACCAATTCTCCCTTACATGTACAAATGGGCTGTGTTGCTGACCCACGGCTTCTGGCAACTAATCATGAATCCTCCGAGGCCCACAATAACCTCTCCGCACGTCGTCTCCCACATTCCAGCTTGCACCAGACGGGCTTTCTGAAACGGGTTTGGTTTGGTTTTTCCTTGGGAAACTTTGAAGGCGGTCGGAAAAGGTCAGCGGACTGTAAGTAACACCAGCAGCCATGCCGGTCCCCCTTGAGCCCAGCATTTTTATTTCTTAGCGTGCAAAATCAAATTGCCTTTCACTTCAGCGACACAAGCGACGCAGCGAAATTTTTCTCATTATTTTCCCGACAGACTGATAGACCGAACGCGAGGTTGTTGGAGTATTTTTTGCGGCATGCACTATGCAAAATAGGTCAGTTAATGTCGCCAAAATCTTCCTCGCAACTTTCCTGACGGATTATGAGTCTGTCGGAAAAATAATGAGCACAATGTCGCTGCACCGATCGCGTCACGAAAGCGAAAAGCAATTTGATTGCGCTGCGACACATAGTCCCCGACAATTAAAAGTGAAGTCTTGATTTTGAGCCCGACATTGCCCTGAGGCACAAGATGTTTCTTCAGGCCTCTTTGATACCCTACGGCAATGCAGAGTGCAAATTTTTATACATGTGCACTTTAAATTATTTGTCGGGGACTATAGTTCATTTTCTCCGCGGCGATGCGATTTTCGATACGACATTGTGCTCATTATTTTCCGGCGGACTGATACAACCAGCCCAAAAGGTACCGAAATATGTATTTTTTTGAACTTTTAACCGTTAGGGGGTCATCTTGGTCAAAAATTGTCTTTTTAGTACCTCTGAAAGTGTTCGCTATAGACCGGGTTCACTTATATGTAGGTTTGTTGTAAGATGCTTTGGATAGAACATATAGGCGTGAAAGACTGTACCGTTAAAAAGCTTTTACATCGTACTCATTATTTTCTCGACAGACTGTTTGTATGCCAACTCACCACTTTATGTCTTCCTCGCAGCGACGGCAACTCAAAGCCCTTGACATGCCCACCGACTTCCCATGTTGTGGCATTCACAAGGACTAGGTTGGCCAACAGGGCGCACAGAACAAGCAGCAACCGCATTTTTTAATTAAACTGAAAAAATCAGCGATTTCTCTCGCCCAATTTTATGTTATAAATTAATATTCCAACATTTATGAGAGACCAAATGCATATGCAAATGAGCTGTTGTAATTATACGATTTATCATCAAAAAATGAGGTTTTTGATAGTAAATTGACCAGTCAAAATCGAATTTTTTTGACAAATTTTAATAAACAATTCAATAATTTTTTTTAGAAATATCCGAAATTTATATATTCAAATTTATTATTATCCGTTCCAAACATTCAAATTTTCCGCTTCTAGTAATATTCATGAGGGCATAAGTCGTCGCTGGCCTCACCGTCGTCGTATTCGGAGATCGCCCAAGTGTCGCCACTCGAGATGGGATCAATGTTTGGGAACTTGGTGTAGCGGCATTGCTCTCCGTAGTAGAGACGGTGGTACCTGGAAGTCATAATGTTGTTATTTATCAATCTGTCGGGAAAATAATGAGCATGAAAATACAAAAATTTCTTCAAAAATCGACTTGTTATACGATGAAACATGAACGGATTTTGGACATGTTTCACCGTATAAAATGTCTTCATAGAACTCCCAATCTCTTCGTAGTCTGTAGACTCAAAAAAGGTCATAAAAAAGTCTGTCGGGAAAACAATGACCGCGAACATGCAAAAATGTCTCAAAAAATCGACTTGTTATACGATGAAACGTGTACGAGGTATGAGAATGTTTCACCGTATAAAATGTCTCCAAAGAACTCCGAATCCCTTCCTAGTCTGTAGACTCAAAAAAAGGTGAAAAAACAATTGGCTTTTGTTGCGACACATTTCATTTTCTCGGCGGCGATGCGATTTTCGATGCGACAAAGTGCTCACTATTTTCCCGACACTGGTAATGTTTTTCCGAAAATTCAATTGCTTTTTCGGACTTACATGTACAAATGAGCTTGGTTGCTGAACCACGGCTTCTGGCAAGTGAGGCTGAAGCCACCGTTCTCACCCACAATCATCTCTCCGCAGGTGGTCTCCCACGCGCCGCCTTGCACGAGACGGACTTTCTAAAACGGGTTTTTTCTTGGAAAGCCTCACAATATGGGGAATGATACAGTGGCGGAGTTGATCCGGTGGCAAAAAACGTACCATTTTTCATCCAGGAAGTATCAAAAATGTAGCAAAATACCTCCTTCTTCAAGTGAAAAAAGTCGATTTCAAAAGCTGTTTTTATGATGGAAAAGGTGGGCCCTTCAGAAAGGGTTTCTTTAAGTTGGACATTGAGGTATTTTGCTACATTTTTGATACTCCACGGATGCAAAATGGCACGTTTTTTGCCATTGGATCAGGTCCGACGCTGTATCAGGATATTTTGGGCAAAATTTGGAACGGATATTTTGACAGATGACTATCGAAAACGGATAAAATTTTAAATTTCTAGTTGAAAATTTACATTGTTGGCCTGGCCTTAGAGGGCGGCTTTACCCGTCTCAACATCTGTATGTTTGAGATTCTGATCGGATATAATACTACCATGTATATACATATAATGTTACTCGTTTCAAAAGTGCTTAGACTTCTTGTCGCAAGCGTTTCTCACTGTTTTCTCAAGGAAAGGCAAAATGTGGCAAAATACCTCCTTTTAGAAAGGGAGGTATTTTGCCACATTTTTGACACTTCCCGGATGCAAAATGCTTTGTTTTTTGCCATTGGATCAGGTCCGCCACAGTAGCGTTTAATGATATGTGTCAAAAAACTTAAAACTCACGATTTGATGTCTTCCTTTCAACGAATCAATTCTAAAGGCCTGCACTGTGCCAGCCACCGACCACGTTTCGGCATGCACGAGCGCTACATTCGCCAGTAAGGCGCACAACACCAGCAGCAACTTCATTTTTTCACAATAACAAAATGAATTACAGACCAAATTATTTATAAATGTCTTGACAGATTTATGCGGTAAATTGATATTCTGACATTTATGGGGTTGGCTATGCAAATTACTGCGGAAATTAAAGTTGTCGGATGGGAGAAAATGAGATTTTTTGATCGCAAAACGATCACATAAAATTGCAATTGTCGGCGAAATTAAAACTCATTTCGGAGCTGTTGAATATGGAAATGATGGCTGAATTAAAATACAGAGAACCCATTGGACAACAAATTGGCCATAAAAAGTTTGTTTGTTATAGAAGGGTTTTGTTGTACGGAGGTTTATTGGGAATAATAAATGATATGACAAATTTTGGGCCATATTACAATGTCTCTCCGCAAGTCGACATGTTATACGATGAAACATGTGCGACCGAAATTTGATCATTTTTCACCGTATAAAATGTCTCCAAAGATCGTTGTACGGAGGTTTCTTGGGCATAATAAGAGATATGGCACCAATTTTGGGCCATGCTACGATCTGTTTCCGGAAATCGACACGTTATACGATGAAACATGTCTGAACGAGATTTGGACAAATTTCACCGTATAAAATGTCTCCAAAGAACTAATAACTCCTTCTTAGTCTGTGGACTCCAAAAAGAGTTGTAATTATCAGTCTGTCGAGAAAATAATGAGCAAAAACATACAAGAAAGGTTCATTGGCTTGCTCGCTGTCTCTTCGTTCCATGATCATTTGGCGCAAAAATCATTGAGTTTCTCGGCAGTGCAAGATTAAGTTATAAAATAATAAGCATTCTGTCATATCAAAAATCGCATCGCCGCTGAGGGAATTAATTGTGTCGCTACAAAATCAAATTGATTTTCGCTTCATCTACGTGATTGGCGCAGGACAGAGTTTTCATTATTTTCCCGACAAGCTGAAGTCATCTACATGCAGATACAACTTCCTAAACAACAGAGCACAAGAAATTTATTAAAAAGTCGTTGATTTTTAAGTTAATAATAATAGTCCTTTGGGCAGTCGCTATCCCATCCGGCTCCGTCATCATACGCGGAGATCTCCCACAGTTCGCCTAGCGAGAGGTCAACGTCTTCGAACTTGGCATAACGGCACTCCTCGCCTCGCCACAGGCGGAAGTAGCTGAAAAATAGAGCCATATCCCCGGCACGACTTACATGTACAGATGCTTGCGGTTGTTGGGATGGGTGGGATGGCATCGAACCTCAAAGCTCCCGTCTTCGTCGGCAATATCGTCGCCGCAAGTCGACTCCCACAGTCCACCCTCAACAAGCTTGACTCTCTAAAAAAATTTGATGATATCAGGCTGTCGAGAAAATAAAGCATCCGGGAAGTATCGAAAATGCAGCAAAATACCTCCCACTCCAACTAGAACTCCGTTTTGAAGGGCGCGCTCTTTCCCTCACAAAAAGAGCGGGTGCGATTTTGAAATCGGAGTCTTTCACTTGGAAATGGAGGTATTTTGCCACATTTTTTTGATGCTTCCCGGAGGCAAAATGGTACGCTTTTTGCCACTGGATCAGGTCTGCCACTGTAGGTTTACGGAGAAGAGAGAAAAAAACGCTTCTAAGCGGACGGAAAAAATTGATTTTTTGTGGAAACATTACCCCCTACGGTGGAAATAGACATGAAACTTTTCGTGTCAAAATTTTGCCACGCCCCACTTACCACTCTATGCTTCGTATGAAGCGAGTTCATGCCGATCGGACGGATGAATCCGGCCAGCTGCCATACACCCGGGATTTGCTGACCAATCACGTCCGATAGGTACAGTAATCCGCACAGTACGAGGAGGATCAGCTTCATTTTGAAATTTGGAAATTTTCAGACGACCTTGTTTATAAACTCGAATTTATATTGATCAAAGCTATTTGATTAGGGCAGTTAAATTGTAATTGAAATTTGTAAATTCTAATTGGTAAAATTAACGAAAGATGTGTTTAAATTATGCTAACCAAAAAGGTCTTTTAGCCTTTCAATTTTTAATGAAACTTGGCCAAATTTCAATAGTGAGCATAATAACGTAATTCACCTTTATTTTTTGAGATTTAATATAGTCAAAGTTTCAATAAATATCCGTAGGGCAATCTTCGTTGTCAGCCGATACTTGGTGCTGTCATCAATTTTGAAAGTTTGCCCGTCGTCGAGCGAGATGTCGGCAAACCAGTTCAATTTGCAAACGCCGTCATCGAAACGGTGATACCTGAAACATAAAAAAATGGAAAGACTTCCTTTTTTTGGCCCGGCGCTTCGCAGCTTGCGCCCTGGTTTTCCTGCGGACTGCGAATAAAACAGAAAACAGCCTAAGCCAAAGCTAAGCCTAACCTGCCTTTTGCCTGAGGCTAAGCCTGATATTCCTTGCAACCGGAACTGTTCGGGCGCAAGCTGTAAAACCTTCTTTTCTCTGGGGCAAGGAAAAGGAAGTTTTAAAAAATATATATATTTTTAATGATCGAAAAAAAATCTCTAATTTTTTTGCCTTTTTCAAAACTTGCCTGAGGCATTATTTGACAAAAATCTCGGAAAAAGTTCCTTATTTTGGCCACAACAAAGGTCCTCCGCGAACTGCGCCCAAGCTTGGGCACTAAAGTTAGAAAAAAACGCTCCGACCTAGCTGGCACTGAATTACTATATGAGCTCCATAGCTTTAAGGGTACCTACGAAGGCTGTGACGACTCATTTTGTTCCACACGGAGGCAATAAGTTTAGTTCCGGACATGTTTCATCGTATAAAGTGTAAAATCACAGGCTGCAGCCGTTTTTGAAGGGCAAGGTGGTACGTAAAAAAGAAGGTACCTCAGTAACTAAATCCACTGTCCGGGCATTGACAACGATGAATTGAGCGTGCACGCTAAATTTGGGCAAATTCCGACCAGTTTTCGCAAAGTTATAAGCTGTGGCCAAAATAAGGAACTTTTACCCGGAATTGTTCGGAAGCAAGATGCAAAACCTTCTTTTTGCTGGGGCCAGGAAAAGGAAGTTTTACAAAAAAATGCCCGAGGCATTATTCGACAACAATATCCGCAGAATTTAAAAAAAAAATATTAATGAAAAATTCAAAAAAATTTTTTTCACTTACACAGCCAAATGTTTGACGCTGAACCAATTCCACGGAGAGGGACAAGTGAGCGAGAATTTTCCGTCCGCTTCGGCTAGCGTCTCTCCGCACTCGGAATTCCACACTCCTCCGGAAATCAGCTGGACCAACTAAAAAAATTTGTTTTGAAATTGTAGAGATAAAATTTTTTGGAAAGCGCGAGCTAGGGGTCTCCGATTTGCTTTAGAAATTTCAACTCACAACTTTGGGGTATCCCGAGAAATCGTCCAGCATAGGAACCTCAATTTTGCCTGCAATATGCCAGTTGGTAGCGTGGATTGGGACGGCGAAGAGGAGAGAAGCCAGGAACAGACCGGTTCTCATCATTTTCGGAGGGAAAAATGAAGGAAAAAAACGCATTTTTTACGATTTTTTCAAAAAAAAAAAAAGAAAAAAAAATACAAAAAAAAATTATTTTTTTGACTTAAAATTTGCATATTTTTTAATTGTCATAAAATACCAAAAATAACCTTTTTTTAAACAATTTTTATTTGTCAAAAATGCTAATAATACACATCCTTGGGACACTGATCGTCATCATTGATATTCTTCGTGTCTTTGGTCAAAGTGAAGACTTTGTCGTCGCCGAGGGAGATGTCTTTGAAAAAATACATCTTGCATTCATGTCCCTCGAAGCGGTGGAGACTAAAAAAATAAAATAAACTAATTTTTTTTGATGAAAATTTTGGATCTTTGGCGAATTTTGAGCTAAAATTTTTTGTAAAGTAAATTAAAAAATAAAAAGAAAGTAACGTTTCCTGGCCAAGGTATGGCGAAAAAGTTTCTTTTCCCTGGCCGCCTCCGCATTCTCTGTACTCCCTCTTGTCCCAGCCCACGAAACTTACACAGCCAGATGTTTGAATCCAAAAATGTTAAAGGCAGAGCAAGTGATGTCAAAATACCCATTCTCATCAGCGATCTCTTCTCCACACTCTGTGTAGATCATACCGCCGGAGATCAACTGGACTCTCTGAAATCTCAATGCAATTTTTGCCCATAAAATACGTCATAAACGTCAAAAAAATCAAAAAAATCTTAAAACTTACAACTTTCTCATATCCAAGGAAATTGTCCAAAGATGGGACCACAATTCGGCCAGAAAGATGCCATTCCGCACCGACTGGAAGAGTCGCAAAGAAAAGGCCACAAATCACATAAATCTTGATCATTTCACCGAGAGAATAATGGGAAAGGCATGACAATTAGATACAAAAACAGACTGCAAAATTGACTTTTAAATTTTAGAATAGGAAAAATGACAGATGTGACGAGATATCTTACATTGTGACAAGATAAAAGACTCCTAATGTACAGTAATTTTGGAAGGGAAAACTGGTAAGGTTCGGGAGACGCAAAGAACCAAAAGTCTTGGGACAATGACAGGAGCGCGACCTGACATTTTATACAATGAAAAGTTGGCCAGACTCAAGCTTCTATTTTTTCCTGGGCGTAACTTGGCCAGGAAACTTGATTTTTCGTTTTATGGGGTGGTGGTCAATCAGAGAAACTTTTCCGGAAAAGTGACTACAGAGTGGTTTACCCAGAGCTTCCAACGTTGTCTCAAGCCGATAGACATTACAATTTTTTTGTAGACATCATAATTTTTTTAAATGTGTCAAGATTTTTTTGATCGACATGCTCTTAATAGGCCACATATCAACTGGGAAAAGTCTCAGCTCCCGCTTTTTCGAAGCTACCAAGATAGCCAGCCATCTTTGCGGCCGAGAGAGTACGAAGAATGCGGAAAGCGGCCAAAGAGAAAACTCTTGGCAATGGCTTTGCGAATTTGGCGCGGAGAAAATTGATCGAAAATTTGTAAAAAAATGCCAAAAATCTCAAAAAATAATTTTCGTTTATCAAAAATATTAATAATACACATCCTTGGGACATTGATCATCATCGAGTCCGTCTTCCGTGTCCTTGGTCAACTTGAAGACTTTGTCGTCGCCAAGGGAAATGTCTTCGAAGAAGTTCTGCTTGCATTGGTGTCCCTCGAAGCGATGGAGGCTGAAAATAAACGAAAATAAATTTGTTAAATTTTTTGATGACGTTTTTCATGATTTTCACAGTCATTTCTGCAAAAACCGCAAGCTATAAGTCTATCATGTTTTTCGCCCATAAACCTCGGGTCAATCTGCAAAATCAGCGCTGAAATTTTCAGAAATTGATGTGTGGCCAAGCTGGAAGATTCAATAAACATTTGATTAAAGTTTAATCACTGTTCATCCAAACTTACACAGCCAAATGTTTGATTCCGAAAATGTTGGCCACCGAGCAAGTGATGTCAAAATACCCATTCTCGTCAGTGATATCTTCTGCACACAATGTGTAATACAGACCGCCGGAGATCAACTGGACTCTCTGAAAGGTATCAATGCAATTCTTTGGGCGTAAAATACGTCATGGATGCAAAAAAAAAAAAATAAAAAAAATCCGGAAAAAGTTCCTTATTTTGGCCACAACTTATAACTTTGCGGAAACTGGTCGGAATTAGCCCAAATTTAGCGTTCACGCTCAATTCATCGTTGTCAATGCCCGGACAGTGGATTTAGTTACTGAGGTACCTTCTTTTTTACGTACCACCTTGCCCTTCAAAAACGGCTGCAGCCTGTGATTTTACACTTTATACGATGAAACATGTCCGGAACTAAACTTATTGCCTCCGTATGGAACTAAATGAGTCGTCACTGCCTTAAAACAAAAGAGCTATTATAGTAATTCAGTGCCAGCTAGGTCGAAGCGTTTTTTCCTAACTTTAGCGCCCAAGCTTGGGCGCAGTTCGCGGAGTACCTTTGTTGTGGCCAAAATAAGGAACTTTTTCCAAAAATCCAAAAACTTACAACTTTCTCATATCCAAGGAAATTGTCCAAAAATGGGACCACAATTCGGCCAGAGAGATGCCATTCCGCGCCGACTGGGAGAGCCACGAAAAGAAGGCCACAAATTACACCAATCTTTATCATTTCCCGGAGAAAATAATGGGAAAGGCATAAAAAAGATTTCATAAAATAAATAGACCGCAAAATTGATTTTTAAATTTTGGAAGGAAAAACTGACTAAATGTACTATAAATATAACCCTTTTTTATTTGACATTTTTCTGTAATGAGCTAGAGAGAAAAGGCCAAAAATTTCATTTACTGATGACTTTAGTTCTCAACTTTATAATCGAGCAGTAAATTGTTTAATAAGTCCCTTTCTCGCATGCATTTTCACAAGCCTCCTCGCTGTCGTTGAGTACGAAGACTTGGCCGTCGTTTAGCATGATCGTGTTGAACCGCTGCAGTTTGCATTTCTCGTTTTCAAATCTGTGGTATCTGAAAAATCGTCATTTATGAGGGATTCGCGTATTTTACAAAAACAATAGGGCATATAAGTTATTACACTTTAAGATCCTTGACTTGGAAAACATTCAATGGGGCACTACAATCAATCTCAAAGAAGCCATGCTCATCTGCGATCGCCTCGCCGCACAGATCGTCCCATGCTCCGCCGGAGATCAGTTGAACCTTCTAGAAAACGGATATAAAGTTATATGTAAATATTATCAGTCCGTCGGGAAAATAATGAGCTCTCTGTCGCATCGAAAACCACATCGCCACTGAGAAAATGAATTGTGTCAAAATAAAACTGCTTTTCACTTCAGCGACGTGGCTGGCGTAGCGACATTGTGCTCATTATATTTCCGACAGACTGATACAACATAATATTAGTGCTTTTAGCAGTTACGTGATCGAAACTTGCTTAAAAACGGGCCCAAAATCTCCACAAAAAATTAGAACTCACTACACGTCCATATCCGATAAACGAAGGGATTCCTGGCTTTTCAACACGGGCTTTCAGATGCCATGAGATGACTGGAGAAGCCAGGAGCAAAATGGAAATTGCAACGCCAATTTTCATAGTTCTATATGGGTGTTAATGAGGGATGGTCGGGACGTTAAACGACGCAGCCCATTAGGCGTTTATTTTATTTTATTTTTTTAATTTCAAATATTGAATTTTGGGATGATACGTTTAATATATGTCTGTCGGGAAAATAGTGTGGATTCGTCGCGCCTTGGAATTGCCCTCCATTGCTTTGCGACGTCTAGGCGCGACTGGAGATTTGGCACTGCGACAAGGAAGAGCATACTGCTGCGACAAATCCACGTTATTTTCCCGACAGACTGATGATTGCGCTGGCCTTGAAATAAGTTTATTTTAAAGGATCATGTTGCATAACAATTTTTAGTAAATCTCATCGGGACATGAGCTTTTGCACGTGTCAACGCTGTTGTTGTCGATGATCATGAAGGTTTGACCGTCGTTAAGCTGAATTCCGTTGAAAATCTGCACTTTGCAGACCCCGCTAGCAAACCGATGGAAGCTGAAAAATATGTGCTAAAAGCTGAAATTTGCAAAATACAGGAGAGCAACGCCCCTTGCAAGAAACGATTTTTTTCGTTATCAAACGGGTTCGTTGTACAGAGACTTCTTGCAAATGGTATTCGGTTAAAATTTGTCGTGGATGAAACATGCTTACATCTTCAGGTTCTTGATCTCCAACACGTTGAACGGCGCGGGACAATCGATCACAAATGCGCCGTTTTCGTGGGCAATTGTATCTCCACAACTTGTGTCAAACATTCCACCAGAAATTAGCTCGACTTTCTAAAAATCATCGTTATGGGACAAACCTGAGTACCACTTTTCCATAACCGACGAAAGATCGGAGCCCTGGGTATTGAATGGTTCCAGCAAGATGCCAAGCGTTGCTTGGTAGAGCCAAAAATACGATTGAAACTACCACGGCAATCTTCATGTTCATTTACGGATATAATGAAGAAAAGCGGAGATAGTAGAGAGGCAGTTAATTATGCGTCATTTCGCATTTCTTTTCAATTATTGCGTTTTTGAACGACACCATTTTTTGTGCGATAATAAAGTCATTAAATCGCATATTTTTATAAGTTGTGACCTTGTCAAAAGTGTATGTGTATGAGGGTCCCTAGTCTAGATCCAATCTAATTCTCACGGGAAGTCGTGGCAACCTAGCGTCTTACATTCAATTCGATTTATTTACAGTGAGGGACCGGATCCAGTGGCAAAAAACTTCTCCAAACCCTTCCCTTCTCTAAACTAAAAAACACCGCTTTGAAAAGAAGGAAAGGTCGCGCTACTTTGCATCCCTTCCGGGATGCAAAGTGGGACGTTTTTTGCCACTGCATTCGTTCCCTCACTTTACATTAATCTCATGCAAAAAAAACCATGGCGTGAATCATAATGTTTTCCATTTGTCCGGTCAAGATCGCTCCATCGGAGGCCATGATTCTTGGCAGCATCGTCGATACATCTCATCCTGAAGCGCCAAACGGTCGCGAATAAGGGGATGTCGCATTCATGCTGATCACTTTCGTTTCCAACGATTTCTTGAGTTGCTCCAATTTTCCCTCGTTCTGGATTGATTTAACGTTGACAGTAGCAACTTGAAATCCATTAGCATGAACAGCTACTGTCCCAGGCGAAGCACTTTGTGCCCGCAACGGCATGGGTGGACAGGAAAAACCGACCGCTCTCCAGGAAGAAAAAATCGGAATTTCCGTCTTACATTTGACGCTAAAAATTTGCAAACATACTTTTCAACTCGAACAAAGTCAAAATGTTTATTAACGATAATTGAGTGGCTGATTACTGTGATTGTAAAAATCTCTTGGACATTTACTATCGTCAAGTTCTGGTTGATCATCCTCCAGCGCATTCACAACGTCCCCATCGTAAATGTTCTTATGGTAGGCTCGATAGCATTTATTTTCGCGGAATCGATGGTAACTAAAATTCGTTAAAAGCAATTATACAACGTTAATCTTAACTTGCATGGCTAAATTCCTCCAAAAGAAGACGTGGAAAGGAGCTTGGCAGACGATGTGGAAGGCGCCATCGACTTGAGCAATCGCATCTCCGCAAATGCTGTCCCAGAGGCCGCCGGAAATAAGCTCAACTCGCTAAAAAAGGGGTTTCAATTTGGCGCAAGGTCGACTTTTGGGTGCTCCGAAATTGTCCGTTATTTCAGTTTGTCGGGAAAATAATGATCGAAATGTCGCTGCGCCAATCGCGTCGCTGATGTGAAAAACAGTTTGATTTTGCCGCGACAAGACTAATTTTCTCGGCGGCGATACGATTTTCGATGCGACAGAGTCCTCATTATTTTCCCGACGGACTGATAGAAGCAATGGTTCCTACTAGCAATAGACAGGGGAAGTAGTCCAAGTGCGAGGCACCGGGGTAGCAGGCGGGCCTCTTTTTGAAAATTTCAGGTTTGGCCCGTTTCATAAAATTTGTCAGGCCCATGGACCTGGCCGCGACATAATTCATTTTCTCCGCAACGAAGCCGTTTTGAATGCAACAGAGTGCTCATTATTTCCTCGACAGACTGATAGACAGGTTTCATTGTACGTGAGTAGTATAATAGAAAATGACAAGTGCAAAACTGAGTATAACAGAATACCAAAAAACTAAGCTGCTACGAAATTTAGCCTACTATTTTGCGGAGTTATCAGCCAAAAAAGTGTCAACATCAGGGCAAAAACTCTTACCACTTTATACCTTCCGGTAAATTCAGGAATATAGGGAACGAACACCCTCCCCGAAAGCTTCCAAATATCCGCATGGACGGCGGCAAAACAAGCTGCAAATACGGAAAGGAAAAGTCTCATTTTTCCTACACTATTGTAACAGAAATTGTAAAAGCTTCGCGGATGTTAACATGTTGCTGTCTTATTTGCATTTCCCATATAATGGGAGTCCAAATTGTGTTTTCGAAGACAGACTTGAAATTTTATTTACACATAAATTCGAAGCCCGTATTACAAACGTAACACATCGATAATCGTATTATATTGCATTCCCGAAATGAATTTTCTGGTGAGCCAAAATCACTGGTGGTCTCACCTCGCCTATAATATTATGTTATACTTCACGCCTTCCCCGTGAGCCTATGCGAGTAACAAGAGCATTTCTCATTTTGTAAACTTTAATCTTCTTTTGCGATAATTTTCTCCAATAATTTTCTCTCTTCGATCGCACCTTGTTCTGAAAGCCTCTTACAAGGGAACTGACAACATGACTTCGATCGTAAACGTTAAAATGGGCAGGAAGAGGTTAAGGCTCATTTTAATACATCTCCTAAGTATTCGTATCGTTCAAACTTCAATCACTGTCCCGATTTATACTACACCTTTGATGGTTCGAGGTAGGCGTAGCTGACAAACGGCCCACACACGAATCTCAGTTCACCGTGTGGGACCTTAATGACCATTTTAATCATTAGGGCCATTAGAGAAGAGCTTTTAATATCAGTCTGTCGGGAAAACAGTGAACGCAACGTCGTTGCGATGACCGAAAATTCCAGAGACGGACCCGATCCAGTGGCAAAAAACGTACGGAAGTATCAAAAAATACAGCAAAATACCTCCATGTCCAAGTGAAAAAACTTCGTTTTGAAGGGCGCGCCCTTTCCCTCACAAGAAGAGCGGGCGCGCTTTTGAAATCGGAGGTTTTTCACTTGGAGAGGGAAGCATTTTGCCACATTTTTGGTACTTTCCGGATGTAAAATGGTACGTTTTGCCACTGGATCAGGTCCCCCACTGTAAAGATGGAGACACACCGCAAGTTCGAATCCGCAAGTTCGAATGCCTAAAGTTCGAATGACTAAAGTTCGAAAATGAAAAAAAAGTTAATTAATATTTAAATTATAATTTGCATATAATTATTTTGCAAAATACACTTCCTCTTCAATCATTCATTCATCCTCTACGATGGAGGTTGGTTGTCCTAAAACTTGGCCGACAACGAACGCGCTGTTCTTCATGTCGACCTGATCAAGATTCGTCATGTCGCCAATCCAACTGTGTCCTTCTCGGGATTCGTGGCTTTGTGTGGTAGATTTTGCTTTCTTCATAACAACTGGAGGTCGTTCGAATTTTAGTCATTCGAACTTTAGGCATTCGAACTTGCGGATTCGAATTTGCGGTGGGTCTCCTTTGTCGGGAACGCCTACCGCAAGTTCGAAAAACCCCAAGTTCGAATGCATTTTTTATATTTTCATATTTCGAACTTCTGGTTTTCGATCTTTTAGTTTTTCTAATTTGAGGTTTTTCGAACTTCTAGTATTCGAACTTGCGGCATTCGAACTTTTGGTTGTCGAACTTCCGGTAGGCGTTCTGTAAAGATAGGGATCCCGGGAAAGAAGCGTTAAAAGCGTGAAGCAGTGGGCGAGTGGTCAATGCGATCGCTTCTTGCGCAAAACGTCGATTAGTCTCCGATCGCTACGTCTGATATACATAACAATACTGTAATGTAACTTCAGTCGACTTCCCATTCCTTTACGGCACATCCATGCAAGACATGTACACCGAATTCTCGTTAAATACGGCCGAGATCAGCGTGTTGGACGACAAATGTGGAGACGCGTATGGCAAATGCCGTTCGTATTGCCAAGATCGTAAGACTTGAATTTTATCCTATTTGCTTTGTTGATTACAATAATTTTTACTGATTTTCAGCCAGTTTTTGCTCTTATATATTGCAGTCCAATCTGTTGGGTTATCATCGCAATTCGACGGCATTAAAAATATTGAAAGACTATTGGCGCGATATGGACCTGCAACGCTATGGAGTTTGGGCGGAGGATGCGATAGGCTTCAGACAGTACGACGGGACTTTTATTGATGTCGGGGTTCAACGGCTTGCATTGCAAACGGTCAACACCTTCGATAAGATAGGCAGCATTTTTATACAGTAAGAGACTGTTCGCAAAAATATTATAATAGGCCGGCCGAAAAGTTTTGCATGGTAACCCGAAATAAATAGAAGAAAAATGTTTCCCGCCCACTTTTGCGTTTCGTCCAAACGAAGTGTCAAAATTGACAAAAAATAAAAAAATCCCAAGAAAAAGGGTTTTTGTCGGACAACCCCACGAAAAATTCTTTAGTGTCATTCCCTCTGATTTTACAATTAATCATACAACTTGCAGAGTAAGAATCGGCCTTGGCCGGGATTCCAACAACAAGAACTTCGTTCAAATGCTATATGACGAAGGGCACATCGAGGAGGAAAAGGTTACAATATTGTTCTCGCGCTACGCCGGAACCATGGTGTTCGGAAGACCAGACAATCACAACTGCAGCCCAAAATGGGAGGAGGTCAAGCTGTGTGGAACTCGCGAATGGATGTTTGAGGCCATCAAAGTGTCGTTCTTCGACTACACATCCGAACACAATTATAAGGTAACGATTTTACAGGTCATGGACCTGTAACGTCACGCTCATACCTTGGTCAGGCCTGGTCAAACATATTTTCTCTCCTAAGAACGCTTATTTTTCAGATAATCCTCATTGAAAGCGGTCTGAAAATGCCCAGACATGTTCTAGTACAGTTTATAAACGTCGGTTTCCTAGTTCCCTTTGACACCGGCGTACAAGGGAATGTCTACAGTCTTAATTTAACTAACCGCAACGATCTACGCTACGAATTCATGCTCAATTCTAATTTTACACTACACATAAACGAGTCCTCCTTGAATGACGGACCCTTTACGGATGTGGATACGCTTTCAGCGACAGCAATTGATCCCAATCCAGATAACGTGGAATGGATGTTCGGGCCGTTGGTGTTTAGAGAATATTGCGTTCACTTAGATTACAAAAATAACATGTTGGGCTTCTCAAAGCGGAGACGGACAACCGGAGACTAATAAATTAAAAAACTCGAAATTTTGGACAATTTTTTTTTATTTAACACAATAACTTTCAATATGTCAAAAACTTATACAAAAATCATATCAACTGAGTGAAAACCTTTTACATCGAACCATTATTGCATTATGCAACTATTAAAAAGCAATAATGAACGTCTAAATTACGTCTTTGAAGACATCCAGAAATTACATAAATAGCGTCCGCTACCAAGACCTACAACAAGATCGCCTGTCCGTTACAACCGTAACACATTGAGACATTCGCATTCCGACGCGAGTTTTGGGTTAAGCCTAAATCACTTGTGGTCGCGCCCCGCCTGTAATACAGACTTATGTATTATGTTATATACTTATCGCCTTCCCCGTGAGCTGTGTTTAACAAGAACATTTCTCATTTTGCAAACTCTAATCGTCTTTTGCGATAAGTTTCGGCAAATTCTTTGCGTCGCACCTTGTTCTCGAAGCCTCTTATAAGCGAACTGAAAACATAACTTCCATCGCAAACGTTGGAATGGGCAGGAACGGGTTAAGGCTCATATTAATACATCTCCTAAATATTCGTATCGCTCAGACTTCAATCGCGATCCCGACTGTCATAACGTTCACGATTAACCGTAGGTATAATATGCAGCGGAATAAATTTTGGTCTTTTCTATGTTACAAACGCTGAGAGGCAAAGATAGCAATAAGGCTAGCAATCGTTATATTTAATTAGAGACAGTGGTAATATTGCAAGTCTTCGCCTGGTCTCCGCCAAGCCTATGGCGTGCATCCGACAGCTTTGCCAGGCCTCTTATTCACTTCCTACCACCTTTTTTGAGTCTTTAGGTTTCGACCGCTACGTCGGATATAATAATACCGTAATGTAAATTCAGTCGATTTCCCAATCCTCTACGGCACATCCATGCAACACATGTACACCGAATTCTCGCTAAAAACGGCCGAGATCAGAGTAGCGAACGACGAATGTGGAAACGCGTACGGTAAATGCCGTTCGTATTGCCAAGATCGTAAGACTTGAATTTTATCGTACTTGCTTTGTCGACTACAAGCATTTTTATAAATTTTCAGCCAAATTTTGCCGTCTATATTGCAGTCCAATCTGTTGCCTCGCGAAAGCTTGGACTGGCACGGAGTGCGAAGATCAGGTTGAGGGTTATCATCGCAATTCGACGGCGTTAAAAATATCGAAAGACTATTGGCGCGATATGGACCTGCAACGCTATGGAGTTTGGGCGGAGGATGCGATAGGCTTCAGACAGTACGATGGGACTTTTATTGATGTCGGGGTTCAACGGCTTGCATTGCAAACGGTCCAAATGTTCGATAAGACTGGCATTTTGCCGTAAGTTGCAGTGCACCGTGAATTTCACTCGTCGCCGCGCGTCAAGTTTTTCGTACAGCGCGCTGTGCAGACATGTCAAGACTTTTTGGCGCGCCTATAACGTATCTCGATTGTGCCTACAAAGTGATGGCTTCAAAGATTTATCCGTAGCCTACTTAAAGTCAGGGCATCCATGGTTTTATGTCAGTCTGTCGGGGGAAAACGTGGATTTGTCGCAGCAAAGCATCGCGGTCGTCCACCAATCCCCAGCCGCGGCTAGCCGTTGAGCCGACCGCGGACGGGCCATTCCAAGGCGCGACCCATTATTTTCCCGACTGACCGATATAAGCCTTTGGCAATACGTACAACTTGCAGGGCAAACATCGGTCTTGGCCGGGACCCCGACAACAAGAATTTCGTTCAAATGTTGTATGACAAAGGGCACATTGAGGAGGAAAAAGTTACGATGGTTTTAGCACCTAGTTTCGGCATGATGGTATTCGGAAAATTTTCCGAATTTCAATATCGGAAAAGCTGTAGCCCCAAATGGGATGAGGTTAAGGCGTGTGGAACTCGCGAATGGATGTTTGAGGCCATCAAGGTCTCGTTCTTCGACTACACCTCTGAACACAATTATAAGGTAACGGTTTTACAGGTCATGGCGTTACGCCCACAATCAGATCTTGGTCAGGCATGGTCAAACAAATTTTCTCTTCTATAACCGCTTATTTTTCAGATAATCCTCATCAACAGTGGCCTAAAAATGCCCAGACATCTTCTCGTACAGTTTATAAACGACGGCTTTCTAGTTCCCTTTGAAACCAACGTGGAATGGAATGTCTACAGTGTTAACACAACTGGGCGTAGCGCTCTAAAATACGAATTCATGCTCAATTCTAATTTTACACTACACATAAACGAGTCCTCGTTGAATAGCGGACCCTATACGACGTTGGAAACGCTTTCAGCGACTGCAATTGATCCCAATCCAGACAACGTGGAATGGATGTTTGGGTCGATGGTTTTTAGAGAATATTGCATTCAGTTAGATTACAAAAATAACATGTTGGGCTTCTCAAAGGCGTTACAAGATGAGTCGGACAACCTGAGACCAATAAATCAGAACACTTGAAATTTTGGACACTTTTTATATTAACCATGACAATAACTTTCAATATGTTAAAAACTTATACGAAAACCATCTCAATTCTTGCTTATTGTAATCCTAATCCTATTCAAAACCGACTATATTTGGAACAAACCCTTATATGTAACAACCCGACATTTGTCTAGCGGCTCGCTTTGTCACAAAAAAAGTAAAGAGCGATTCCTCAAGAGAATCTGTTGATTTCCCTCCCGATTATCGTAATGACCTTTCATTTGAATAGGAACAGTAGCCGAAATCAGATTCTTTGTTCGAATTTTTGAAAAACACCTTTGATTTCATTTTCGTAATTTCCAAATCATGACCTTGTTTCATATCGTTTTCGTTTTTTTGATTACTGTAGCAAATTGTAAAATTCATAATTGTGTGTGGTCGCCCGGTCACAAGTATTGCCTAAGCTATTTGAGCTCGGAATCTATTCATATTACCGTAGATAATGGAGAAAGAAATACGACAGAAGAGGAAAGTATTTGTCGGATCTACGATCTCGAGAGAACCAAATCCCAGTAAAATAATTTGATTATCCGTTTCTTATATTTTATTTTTGTATTATGTGAAACTTGTCCCGTGGATTTCCCGGGTTAACTCTATCTTTCCCGAGATTTTTTGAGTCTCTGTCCTCTCTTCCCTCAGGGGAAGGATGGAATTGATATAGGAAATCTTTCCTTTTGTCATCATGAACACGTCAGTGTAAAAGTATCTCTAAATTTGTGTGTGTGTTTTATTTGAAGATAAATTCTTGTTGTTAAAACGGAAGAAGTGCCAAAGGGAAGTGAACCCCTATCTTGAGGATTCTTTGATCTTGTCAGTTTCTCCGGGAGCAACCGGATTCAGCAATATCAGGCAAGGTGTCGTTCTTCGACTACACCTCTGAACACCATTATAAGGTAACGGTTTTACGGATCATTTGACCTGTAACGTCACGCTCATACCTCAGGCCTGGTCAAACAAATTTTCTCTCCTAAAAACGCTTATTTTTCAGATAATCCTCATTCAAAGCGGTCTGAAAATGCCCAGACATGTTCTTGTACAGTTTATAAACGCCGGTTTCCTAGTTCCCTTTGACACCGGCGTACAAGGGAATGTCTACAGTCTTAATTTAACTAACCACAACAATCTAAACTACGAATTCATGCTCAATTCTAATTTTACACTACACATAAACGAGTCCTCCTTGAATGACGGACCCTTTACGGATATGATTACGTTTACAGCCACCGCAATTGATCCCAATCCAGATAACGTGGAATGGATGTTCGGGCTGTTGGTGTTTAGAGAATATTGCGTTCACTTAGATTACAAAAATAACATGTTGGGCTTCTCAAAGCTGAGACGGACAACCTAAGACTAATAAATCAGAAAACTTGAAATTTTGAACATCGTATCAATTGAGTGAAAACTATTTACAACAAACCATTATTGCATTACTCAACTATTAAAAAGCAATAACGAATGTCCAAATTACGCTTTTGAAGACACTCAGAAATTACATAAATAGTGAAACATCCTTCTAGACTAGAGAATGGGCGAGACGCAGAGAGCACTCCGCCGCAATCGTCCGAGACTTGGATATTTGGAAGAGAAGAAAGTCTCAGTTTGGAAGTCGTTTTCTGAGAAAACCGTCAGCCGTCAGAGCCTGTGGACAATTGGTGAAGAAGCAGCGGAGTGAGTGGTCGACTAGAGGATATTGGAATCTATTGTGTGTAATTGGGCCTTCTACCCAGCCATCTTGGGTTGGTGATTGCCTGCCCGTATTAAGCATGGCCGCAAACCGGCCTGCGAGCCGGTCCGGCAGTAGAGCCTTTTAAACCATCAACGGGGTAAGGTCTCTAAGGAGTATATTACGGGATAACGACCCGGGTGATACTCAAAGGATTGACAAGATAATCACTGAGGTATTTATTATCTGACAATAACGCCAACAAAGGGGCAAATCACACAAAGTAGAAAGAGGTGAGGACGACGAACAATGGTCGACCGCCCGCCTCCGAAACGACCGAATAACTGATTAGAATATTCCAATTGAGATGTCCAAATGACCGGTCTGTGCGGAATGCAAATTAGCAGTTGAGTTATTCGTGGCGGGATGCAGATGAAGGTTGGGTGCTCTCGCTGAATTGTGGGGAATTACACGGGGAATTGGCTGGTGGCGCTGCTGGGGTATGCCTGGTCCTACTCGGCACGGCTCGCAAGCCCCAGCCTAAATCTCTGAGCCGGGCCCGGGCTTCGAAAATTTTAAAAGCCCGGCTCGGTGAGGCCTGGAAACTTTTTATAGCAGATTGAAAAGGAGAAAGTGAGAAATGAAAAGAAAATTATGGCAAATTTTCGCAAAAGGTAAAAAAGAATTTAAACCTATACATAAGAGTGAAGAAATAAGGCCGGTTTTCAGATTTTGAAAAAGACGCTAAATTTGCTTTCTCGAGCTTTTTTTCTCATGTTGGCCTCATTTTTCCCATTATATGTTTTCAAAAAAAGTGAGGAAAGCGTTTTTAACGTTTTGCTTCGGAACGACCGGTGCGATCTTATTTCTTCACTCTTACATAGTATAACTGATGCTTTACCATTATAAATTACTAAGTCTCCACAATTTTTTTACTATATGGTTACAAAAAATAACGAACTTTTGTGTACAGTCGTCCAAATTTTAGCAAAAATATTTTTATGACAAATCTTTTATCGGAACTGAAAAAAAAATCCGCATGGCTATTGCGTGTTTTTTACAAGGAAGTACGGGTCGAGATATCAAAAAATTCGCAAAAAATTTTCTGATTAAGAATATATAAAAATTAGCTGCCTATTTAATTAATAAATTCGACTAATTTATTCACTAAATGTTAAAGCCACTTTATGTTCGCTATCAGGGGCCAATGCGCTATCTGAAAGTTTGCTGAAAATGGTAGGGCGCAGCTCGGAAAACAAGCTTTCGCAGCTCGCCGGAGCTAGGTTTCAGCTTGTTTTCGAGCTGCGCCCAACAGGCGAGTTGCGCCCGTGCAAGTTTTCCGCGCTGCGCCCTACCATTTTCAGCTAACTTTCAGCAAACTTTCAGATAGCGCATTGGCCCCAGCTCTATAATCGTCTTTTGCGATAAGTTTCGCCAAATTCATTGCGCCGCACCTTGTTTTCAAAGCCTCTTATAAGCGAACTGACAACATGGCTCCGATCGCAAACGTTGGAATGGGCAGGAACGGGTTAAGGCTCATTTTAATACATCTCCTAAGTATCCGTACCGTTCAGACTTCGATCGAGATTCCGATTGGTATAAGGTTGCTCGTTGATCGTAGGTATAATAGGGACGTAGGCGGTTCAGGGTCAAGGCTACCAACCGTTATATACATAATTATTATATAATCATGCCGTAATGTAAATTCAGTCGATTTCCCATTCCTCTTCGGCACATCCATGCAACAGATGTACGCCAAATTCTCGTTAAATACGGCCGAGATCAGCGTGTTGGACGACGACTGTGGAAATGCGTATGGTAAATGCCGTTCGTATTGCCAAGATCGTAAGACTTGAATTTTGTCGTACTTGCTTTGTCGACTACAAGCACTTTCGTCAATTTTCAGACAGTTTTTGCCATTTATATTGCAGTCCAATCTGTTGCATCGCAAAAGCTTGGCGGGACAAGAAATGCGAGACCAACTTTGAGGGTTATCATCGCAATTCGACGGCATTAAAAATATTGAAAGACTATTGGCGCGATATGGACCTACAACGCTATGGAGTTTGGGCGGAGGATGCGATAGGCTTCAGACAGCCCGATGGGACTTTTATTGATGCCGGAGTTCAACGGTTTGCCTTGCAAACGGTCAACACCTTCGATAACATCGATTATCCTATGACGTAAGTCGTATAACAAACGTAGGCACAATAGGGAACGATAGGTTTTATTGAATGGACACAAGAATAATACAACCGCTCAAGAGGAGGGAGACAACGACTTCTGATTGTGAGAATAGGGGAAATCTATCTGATAAAGACTTTGTCGTTTGATTCTATGCAAATTCGTGGGAAAGAATTGGCGGTTTCAGTGAAGTCGCCAACAAGTCGCGTAGCACGTCAATCCAAAATAGAAGAAAAAATTTCCCGCCCCTTTTTTGGTGATTCGTTCAAAATCCGATAAAACGCATTTTCTTATCTTTCTTCTTCCTTTTCGAGAAAAAAACAATTATTTCGGGCGAGAAAAAGTGCCGATAATTTCGCGACATTTCGTCTCTCTTTTAAACCAATGAAAACGGTACGAAGTTTCGAAACGGTTCAGGAAATGCGCTGGATTGACGTGCGTAGCCTATTTGAAGTCAAGGCATCCATGGTTTTATGTCAGTCTGTCGGGGGAAAACGTGGATTTGTCGCAGCAAAGCATCGCGATGCTTTGCTGCGACAAAATCCACGATGCATCGCAGTGGCTCATTATTTTCCCAACTGACCAATATAATCCTTTGGCAATAAGTACAGCTTGCAGGGCAAGCATCGGTCTTGGGCGGAACCCTGACAGGAAGAATTTCGTTCGAATGCTGTATGACAAAGGGCACATTGAGGAGGAAAAAGCTACGATTGCGTTCCCATCTGACCTAGGCATGATGGTATTCGGAAAATCGGAGATTCACAACTGTAGCCCAAAATGGGAGGAAGTCAAGTTGTTTGGAACTCGCGAATGGATGTTTGAGGCCATCAAGGTGTCGTTCTTCGACTACACCTCTGAACACAATTATAAGGTAACGGTTTTGCAGGTCATTTGACCTTTGACGTCACGCTCATATCTTTTCTCTCCTAAAAACGCATATCTTTCAGATAATCCTCATGGAAAGCGGTCTGAAAATGCCTAGACATGTTCTCGTACAGTTTATAAACAACGGTTTCCTGGTTCCCTTTGACAACGTCGAACAAGGGAATATCTACAGTCTTAATTTAACCAACCACAACAATCTAAACTACGAATTCATGCTCAATTCTAATTTTACACTACACATAAATGAGTCCTCCTTGAATGACGGACCCTTCACGGATGTGGATACGCTTTCAGTGACCGCAATTGATCCCAATCCAGATAACGTGGAATGGATGTTCGGGATGTTGGTGTTTAGAGAATATTGCGTTCACTTAGATTACAAAAATAACATGTTGGGCTTCTCAAAGCTGAGCCGGACAACCTGAGACAAATAAATGAAAAAAATTTGAAATTTTGGAAAATTTTTTATATTTAACACAATAACTTTCAATATGTAAAAAAACTTAATCAAAAATCACCTCTATTGTTGCTTATCGAAATCCTAATCTTATTCAAAACCGACCCCAATTGGAAACAAACCCCTTATATGTAACAACCCGACATTTGTCTAGCGGCTCGCTTTGTCACAAAAAAAGTAAAGAGCGATTCCTCAAGAGAATCTGTTGATTTCCCTCCCGATTATCGTAATGACCTTTCATTTGAATAGGAACAGTAGCCGAAATCAGATTCTTTGTTCGAATTTTGAGCCGAAAAACACTTTTGATTTCATTTTCGTAATTTTCAAATCATGCCCTTGTTTCATATCGTTTTCGTTTTTTTGATTACTGTAGCAAATTGTAAAATTCATAATTGTGTGTGGTCGCCCGGTCACAAGTATTGCCTAAGCTATTTGAGCTCGGAATCTGTTCATATTACCGTAGATAATGGAGAAAGAAATACGACAGAAGAGGAAAGTATTGGTAAGTGCGAGATTTGTCATCATATAATAGACGATAACGGCAAGGAGGAGATTGGGTAGTCTGGAGACGAGATAGACCGGTCAAAAACAGAGAGTTTATTCGTCAAAGACGAGAAAAAAGAATGAGACAACAGTGTATTCTTGTCGCTTTTATAGCCAAATACATTATGCAAACTTGGCACTATCACCAACAATTATGAGAAACTATCGCCAACAATTATGAGAAATTTTTTGATTTTCTTCAAATTTTCTAACAGCGACGCTTGCGCGAGGAATCGTAAGGGACAAACAGATCTTTCTATAACGAAAAATATTTGTTATAGAAAGATCTCGTTGGTCGGAGGTTTATTTTGGCCTAAAATTGAGTCTTTGCACCTCTGCAACGGTTTGCAATAATACAAAAAGATTTCGTTTTACAAGAGTTTGTTGCATAGATACTTCGACGATCTTTATGGCCGAAAGAGTAGGCGAAGAGCGGTCAGAGAGAAAAAGACTATTTGGCCATAACTTTACCAGTTTTGCACGGAAAAAAATTATTTTTATTTTGTGGAAACATCACCCTCTAGGGTAGAAATAGGTATGGAATTACCATTGTGCTTCAGGCTTAACGAGCACAATCTGTCTATATCCCACATCAATGCCTGAAGATCTTACTTCGTCCTTTGCAGACGCGGCCGAGATATTCGACGGTCTTTTCAGAAGACCATGGGAAACGAAGAGAGATGGTTTGAAATTCACAGAGATATGGTCAAACGGTCTCTCTTTGTTTCCCATGGTCTCTCGTCTGGAAAGACCGTTGAATGAACGGCCGCGTCTACAAAAGAGAAAGCAAGATCTTCTTCTTCATGGGATTTTTTGATGTGATCTAGACAGATTGTGCTCGTAAAGCTTGAAGCACAGTGGTAGTTCCATACCTATTTCTACCCTAGAGGGTGATGTTTCCACAAAATAAAAATAATTTTTTTCCGTGCAAAACTGGTAAAGTTATGGCCAAATAGTCTTTTTCTCTCTGACCGCTCTTCGCCTACTCTTTCGGCCACAAAGATCGTCGAAATATCTATGCAACAAACTCTTGTAAAACGAAATCTTTTCGTAGCAAACCGTTGCAGAGGTTCAAAGAGTCAATTTTGGGCCAAAATAAACCTCCGACCAACGAGATCTTTCTATAACGAATATTTTTTTGTCCCTTACGACTCCTTCCTAGTGGCGCCAAAGCGCGAGCTAAAACTTTCAAGAATTGTCATGCGGCTTATCCGGAAGTGTACGCAAATTTTTTTAAAAATCAGAGCGTCGCACTTGTGGTCTTTGTTTGTCAAACAAAATTTGAAGCTAATATGGATGTTTCATAACGGAAAATTTATTTTTTCAGTTTTCCCCGACGAAGAATTTTACGCCCATCTGAGTGACTACCAAGCCAAAGCCAGCCAAGTCTCCGAAATCGATTTTGGAACCCTCTGCAACGTCACTTTCAACAATTCCCTACTAAATTCTCGTCATTTATCGGGGGTCAAGTCGCTAAACTTTGATGAGAAATGCCTAGAATTCGCGGAAAGGCACAATTTTTGCTTCGATTTCAACGACAGTTGGCCCAGAAATATGCTACTTGCCAATATGAGAATGTGCAAAATGCAAAGTAAGCTATTTCTTGCTGTAATAAAAGTGCTAAATCCAATTAATTTTCGATTTCAGAGCGTTTCTCGTATCTAGAAACATCCGCCGCAAAAAGCGATCAAGACTTTGTGACCATTGAGATCCACGGAGATGATCATCAAGATGACTTAATTCAGATGCTAAACAGCTCATTGCACAGGACCATGCATCTATACGAGGTCACAGAGCATAGCAACAGGATTTTAAGCCAGTACGAGTGTTTTTCAGATCTTTGTTCAGGTTTTTATCGATTTTTTGGAAAAAAATCAAAATTTTTTAACAAGAAATCAAATTTTTTGGCAGTGAAATTGTTTTACACTGATCTTTCAGTTGATTTAGACCGACTTTCTAATCAAAAATTGCAGGAAAATCAACGAACTGGAGCGAAACTTTCATCAATGTCAAATTTCTCGAAACGAAAGCCTTGATTTGGCCAATTATACCCGGAGGCAGTTTGGAAAATGTATGGACACAAGACTCCGTGACCGGAGGATCAAAATGGAGCGAGTCAAAGAGCTGGTTGAGACCATTTACGATGGTATTTTAGATATATTGCACTTGGATTAAGAAGCCATTCTCGTTAAAAATCAGCTTTCGCAGTAAATAAATATTTATCCTAAAAGTTAAATAAGTGTCCATGGCAAGTTTGACCGGTATGAAAAGATGATCAAAGGGGGTTTTCGACTAATAATAACGGGGTTTTGCTTCAACTTTGGTGACCTCGAAGAGTTCGATGATTTCCGAATCCGTGGCAATGTCTTTCGGGGTGAATCCGTCGTCGCAGAGTTGATTTGGGTTGAGACCTTTCTCCAAGAGAAAGCGGACCATGTCTACATGACCATTACAGGCAGCTGAAATTAAAATTGTTTTACTTTATCTAAAGCAATATAAATTTTTGAAAATTTGCGAAAAATTCAAGTAAAATGTAATAAAAGAGAGAATAAAGTACCATAATGAAGGACAGTTTGACCCGTAGAATCCTTCTGATGAAGCGACGCACCGATATCCAGCAATCGCCTTAGGACATCGAGTCGGCCAAAATCCGCGGCATGATGAATTGGATAAATCTAAACTCAAAAATACAAAATAAGAGTCGAAACAGCCACTTACCCCTTCACTGTCAGTGTCAAGGAGATCCGGACGGGCTGCAATTAATTCTTCCACTTCTTCTATTAGATCGTCACGTATTAGAACAACAAGTTTGGCAAGATCGGCATCGGTGAATTCATCGTCAATTTCTTCGACCCTCTAAAGACAAAACAAACTAAAAATCAAAAGAATATTGACCTACCATGGTACTAGGATTTTTGGAGAACCCAGCCTGAGGTTTGGAGGAAGTTGCTGCCTCCGGATCAAACCCAATGTTCATTTCGACTACTTTGTCGATATATTGCTGCATTGCTTCCGCCGTGGAGGTTCCATACAAAGAAGCAAGTCCAACAGACACCCGTGGTTGAAGAACATAGTCGATGGGAGCTAAAAACAGTGAGTTTATATTGTTTTAGATCATACCATAAAGGATTAACGTCAAAAGCATAGTTTCGCAAAAATTTAGAGCAAACAAATAAATCCGACACCAAAAATAAACAATTAGGAAAGTACGGTTGAAATTTCAGCCAAATCAAGAGAGAACTCGAAGAGTAACAGTCAAATCTCTAACTCCCACCATGATGAAAATCCTTAAATCAGAAAAATAATCGGAAAACATACCCAATGGCCTTCGGACCTTCTTGTATCTCAGGTAGAGGTATTTGGCATCATCTGGCTTGATTTGTTGTGTAAAGTTCGAAGCTACAAAGAAAACCGCCTTCTCAAACGTGTCCACAAGCTCTTTTGATGGTTCATCTTCAAACCCAATGTAAGGCCTCAATGTTTTCGCGAGTTGAATGACAAACATTAGATTTTCATGAGTATTAGAAGGCAATTACACTTGAAACTTTCGAAACGTACGTTTCGAAAATTGTTGAAAAACAGCATTTCCATTGAATAAGACGAAGTGTCACGGAATTATTGGATTTTTCGACGAAGTCTCTAAAAATTAATAGGATTTTATTTCTCGCAGAAAAATTGTTGTAATTGACTGTTTCTTGCCATTTGAAGGCTCATCAATGTTGACGTGACCCTATCTTGGTTTCGAATTATTTTTTCTCTGGCTTTTTGGAGATCGGCCGGTCTGAAAAATGAAGATTTTGCGGAAATACGTGGAAAAGAACGGCTCCGGGTAAGGATAATATAATTTTGATCGTTTATCTTGAGTTTAGCTCCGTTACATTGATTTGTGAGGAAGAGGAGGATGTTTGGCATGTGTACAACCTGATTCGGATCGGGGATCAGGTGCGGTGCTCGACTGTGAGGAAGGTTACACAAGAGACGCAGACCGGCTCGAAAAGCTCGCAGAGAATGCATGTGACATTGACGGTGGTGGTCGAGAGCATAACATACGATCCCACCGTGTGTGTTCTTCATTTGAAAGGTGAGAGTTTGGTTTTTTTTTTGGTTTTTAGAGCGTGTGGCGAATTTCTTCAAAATTTAGTGCTCATGATGAAGGTTAATATATTTTCGTGTGGTTTTTTGTGCGTATATTGATTCAGCTGATTCCTAGATGTCAACCTCCCACTTTTTAACTCTTTTAAGCCTTTGTTTTTTTTCCTTGCCAATCTTATATTACCCTATTCCAGGTCGTAACATCCAAGAAAACGAACATGTCCGGATGGGTGCTTATCACACACTTGACCTGGAGCTTCAAAAGAGATTCACATTGGCCAAAGAAGAATGGGATTCGATTGACTTGGAGCGTCTAGAGCTCTGCGCCGATATTAGCCATGCAGCTGATGTTGGAGCTGTTGTGATGCATGAAGGATTTGCAAACATCTGTCTGCTCACCAGTTCAATGACTGTGGTCAAGGCTAAGATTGATATGAATGTAAGTTGCTATTCTTCTGGGTATTATTCCGTCTTTAGATTGCAAAGAAACGAAAAGGATTCTCCCAACATCATGACAAATCAGTTGAAAAGTTCTTCAACGCCGTTGTGCAAGCGTTTGTTCGGCATATCAACATGGAACAGTTAAAATGTGTGATAGTGGCTTCGCCTGGCTTTCTAAAAGAGCAACTTGTCGAGAAAGTTTTGGAATATGCGGCTGAGAATAATTTGAAGGACATCATCTTGAACAAGAGTAAATTCTTGCTGGTTCATTCGACTAGTGGCTTCAAACACGCGCTCAAGGAAGTGTTAGCGGATCCTAATGTCAGCTCAAGGTTGGCCGATACCAAGGTTAGTGGATTGGTTTGATTATTGAATATTTTTTATATTGTACTAGATGTTCTGTTGAAAATTCTATGTTTTGAGACTAATGATAAGATTTTTTAGGCGCAAGCGGAAGTAAAAGCTCTCGATACATTCTTGGACCTTATGAACAACGATCCGGACCGAGCTTTTTACGGATATAATCATGTTAGACTAGCCTTGGACCAACTCGCCGTTGACACTTTAATGGTCTCCGACGTCCTGTTCCGGTCGAGAAATATCGAACAAAGGAAAAAGTACGTCAAATTGGTGGATGATGCCCGGGATGGCGGCTGCAACGTTCTCATCTTCTCATCTATGCATGTTACTGGCGAACAGCTGGGTCAACTCACCGGGGTCGCTGCAATTCTCAGATTTCCGATTGAGGGTGTGGATGATGTGTTTGAGGAGGATGAAGAGGTCCTAGACCTTCCAGACGAACAGTGGGCTGACCCGGATAACGTGATCAACACCACGATATCACCGGAACCAACTGTGTAGATCATGGTGAAGATAAAGTTATATAACTATAGAAAGTATCTGTAAAACGAGGTCTGGTGTATCGGATTTTGTTTATCAGACTTTTGAATGTGTTTTAAAACAGGTTTTGAGTTGATTATGATACAATCAAAGAGAAATGCCGGCAATTTCTAAGTTTGTTGACGTTTTTTATTGTTATCCTAACTTTTAGTTTTTGCTAAGTGTTCTGTTCAATTTTTTATCATCCAATGATGTCTTGAGGAGAACTGTATGTCGTTCTTTTTGTTTGTTAATAAACTTTGTGATACTGGAAGCAGTTTTGAGGAGCTTTCGAATGCTGTTTTAGATCAGCAAAAAAATAAAAAAAAAAAAAAAATAGAAAAAAAAATTTTTTGGTTTTTTATTGTAGTGAATATAATTATGGAGGGATTTTTATTGATAGTTGAGTAATGAAATGGTTAGATGTAAAAAGTTTCGGTCAATTTGTATGATTTTTGGACAGGTTTTTGACATATTCAAGGTCAGTGTCATGGTTAATATAAGTATCCAAAAATTTCAAGTTTTCTGATTTATTAGTCTCATTTTTTCCGACTCATCTTGTGACAGCCTTGCGAAGCCCAACATGTTATTTTTGTAATCTAACTGAACGCAATATTCCCTCAAAACCATCGACCCAAACATCCACTCCACATTATCCGGATTGGAATCAATTCCAGTCGCTGAAAGCGTTTCCAACGTCGTATAGGGCCCGGCATTCAACGAGGACTCGTTTATGTGTAGTGTGAGATTAGAATTGACCACAAATTCGTACTTTAGGTCGTTGCGCCCAGTTGTATTAACACTGTAAACATTCCCCCGCACGTCGGTTTCAAAGGGCACTAGGAAGCCGTCGTTTATAAACCGTACGAGAACATGTTTCGGCATTTTTAGCTCATTTTCAATCAGTATTACCTGAAAAGACGAGCGTTTTCAGAAGCGAAAAATTTGTTTGTCCAGGTCCGAACAAGATATCCAAGGTCTGAAAAAAGCATCCAGTTTTAAAACCGATACCTTATAATTGTGTTCAGACGTGTAGTCGAAAAACGACACTTTGATGGCCTCAAACATCCATTCTCGCGTTCCACACACCTTCACCTCATTCCATTTGGGGCCACAGCCGTGAATGTTGGATTTTCCGAATACCATAATGCCGCTATAAGGTGGGAACACCATCGCAACCTTTTCCTCCTCAATGTGCCCTTTGTCATACAACATTTGAACGAAATTCTTGTTGTCGGGATCCCGGCCAAGGCCGATTTTTACTCTGAAAATTACAGGGTGTTTCGTGAAATACTCCAAAAGATATTTGCAAATATAATATCTTTGGGCTCTTTGCAGCGGTCCAAGCTGATGAAATTGTTTTTAAAATTCGAGCGATTTTGACTTGACACTTTAAGAAAAAAATTTGCAGTAAGGATGTACCCCTACTCTTATACCCCTATTCTATTCTTATAGGGGTACATCTTTACTGAATATATTGTTTGGACGTCGCTATTTACATATTGGGCCAAAACATTTCCGCAAATATTTTACCCTAGAGCAAAGGTATTGCCAAAAAAATTTTTGTCCATTTTTGGCGCACCCTGTACAGTGAGGGACCTGGGGCCTGTTTCATCAACGAAAAATAAATAAAATAAACGAAAGGGAAAGCGAGAGAACACCCAAAACACGTTTCGAAGCGAGAGAGTCGCGACAGATTAGTAGAGACCATCTATAGAGCGGCGCATTTATCACAGCGATCGGAGTGACTTTTTACGTCCAAAACGGGGGGTTCTCAGCAGTAATCAGTGGATAACTCGGCTCCCGGTGGTCGTAGAATCACCCTTCCAAAAACCAAATAAAGCTATTCCTTAGAGCTACGTGATATCCAAATTTCATATTTATACTTCAAAAAATGAACTCAGTAGACACCTAGTAGATCGTAGTATTCAACTTTTTTGACGTTTTTTTCTGAAAAACGTTATTATTTCAGTCAATTTTTAACATAATGGGATAAAATTGGTACCAGTCGATAGCCAAACGTTTACTCTACAAAACTTTTTTAGAGGGGCGGTTTACTTCAAAAAATGAACTCGGTAGACACCTAGTAGATCACAGTATTTACGCTTTTTTTACGTTTTTCCGAAAAAAACCTTTGTTTTTCACTCAGTCTTTAACATAATGGGATAAAATTAGTACCAGTCGATAGCCCAACGTCTAATCTATAAAAAATTTTTAGAGGGGCGGCTTCTTTTGCCCTGTGGCCTGCGAAACGTTCAATTTCGTGAGACGATGTCTTCTATTTGCGTAAAAAGTCCTTCGATCGTTTCCGAAAAAACCAAAAGAGAGGAAAAGGGCCCTCGAAACGCGATGGTTTTTTGTGTCAAAAACGGTGGTTCATGACAGTAAACATAGACGTTTCGCAGGCCACAGGGCAAAAGAAGCCGCCCCTCTAAAAATTTTTTATAGATTAGACGTTGGGCTATCGACTGGTAATTTTATCCCATTATGTTAAAGACTGAGTGAAAAACAAAGTTTTTTCCCGAAAAAACGTAAAAAAAGCGTAAATACTGTGATCTACTAGGTGTCTACCGAGTTCATTTTTTGAAATAAACCGCCCCTCTAAAAAAGTTTTGTAGAGTAAACGTTTGGCTATCGACTGGTACCAATTTTATCCCATTATGTTAAAAATTGACTGAAATAATAACGTTTTTCAGAAAAAAACGTCAAAAAAGTTGAATACTACGATCTACTAGGTGTCTACTGAGTTAATTTTTTGAAGTATAAATATGAAATTTGGATATCACGTAGCTCTAGGGAATAGCTTTATTTGGTTTTTGGAAGGGTGATTCTACGACCACCGGGAGCCGAGTTATCCACTGATTACTGCTGAGAACCCCCCGTTTTGGACGTAAAAAGTCACTCCGATCGCTGTGATAAATGCGCCGCTCTATAGATGGTCTCTACTAATCTGTCGCGACTCTCTCGCTTCGAAACGTGTTTTGGGTGTTCTCTCGCTTTCCCTTTCGTTTATTTTATTTATTTTTCGTTGATGAAACAGGCCCCTGATCCAGTAGCACAAAACATACCATTTTGCATCCGGGAGGCATCAAAAATGTGGCAAATTGCTTCCCTCTTCAAGTGAAAAAAACTTTGTTTTGAAGGGCGCGCGAAAAAAAATTGTGTGCTTAAGGGTTGGAAGGTACACTTTTTTTACCTGAAGGTTGAATTTTTAATAATTTTCGATCATTATTTTCTCAACATTAACATAAGATTTGATGACGCAGTTTGTATACGTGGAATGGCAACGTCTTATAGTCTAACAGCCATTTTTTAGTTTTGTTACATCTATTGCGGCTAGCCAAATATACACCGACTTGTAAGCACTACTTTTTATTTTTTCCTTTTTTCGACACCGATCGGCGGCCGAAAAAATGTTCGGAACGCTGTGGGGCGCGCTTTTGAAATCGGAGTTTTTTCACATCGAGAGGGAAGAATTTTGCCACATTTTTTGATGTTTCCCGGATGCAAAATGGTACGCTTTTTACCACTGGATCAGGTCACCCGCTACTTTTGGGAGCATTGCGTGAAACGCGCTATTCCGCTAGAGTACGAAAAAATAAGGAGGTACGGCTAAGAAAAATATGATGATGAAAGCCGGAGGGCGGCCTATACTGGGTCTTACTGTCCAAAAAGGCCCATCTTATCAAAGGTGTTGATGGTTTGCAAGGCGAACCGTTGAATCCCGACGTCAATGAGAGTCCCATCGGACTGTCGGAAACAAATCTCATCCTCCGCCCAAACTCCATAGTGTTGCAGGTCTGTGCCGCGCCAATAGTCTTTCGATATCTTTAGCGCCGTCGAGTTATGTTTGTAACCCTGCAGCGTGTCCTCGCAGTTCTTAACAATCCAAGGTTTTGCGATGCAACACATTGGACTGCAATATAGATGGCAAAAGTTGGCTGAAAATTAATTGGTAAAGGTGCTGGTGGCCGACAAAGAAAAATAATACGATAAATTTCAATTCTTACGATCGTAGCAATACGACCGGCATTTTCCGTATGTTTTCCCACATTCGTCGTCCAGTACAATGATTTCGGGCACGCTTAGAGAGAATTCGGTGACCATGTATTGCATGGATGTGCCGTAAAAAAAGTGGAAGTCGACTGAATTTACAACATTGTTAGACGTAGCGGTAAAGTAAAAATTTATTTCGTTTTTTTGAAACAACTTACGGTCAACTAAAAATGAATGAACTGGAATCTCTATTGAAGCCGTGACATGACGAATAGTTAGGGAAGTTATTAGAATTAGGTTAAAATTTGGGTGTCTTTCCATCTCAACGTTTACGTTTGTTTGGGAGAATTTGTTGTACGCTTATTGATAAGCGGATTTGAGAAGAATTTTCGACTTAGTGATCGTGAATAAACCTTTCGTGAAAAAACGATTAGAGTTAAGAAAGTAAGGGACATGTGAGCCGGTTGTTAATTATGTAGACTTACAGCGCCTGTGGGAAGCGGTCGAGGCTCAATTATGATGGCTTTCTATCGTGCCAGATTCCACAGAATTTGGAGTTTCAATCATGTATCAGCTTTCTGAAGAAGAGAGGTAGAGATGTCCTCAGTGTCAACTGTTTCCCCCGATGTTCGAGAATGTTCGATGAGGAGGTTCCGAAGCGAAGCCCCTGAATCACGATATCGTAATCTGGTGGAGGTTGCTGCATAATTTGTTTTCGTAGTTTTGTTTTATGGTTTATTGTGTTGTTGAAGTGCTGTTCTATTCTATTTTTTAATGTATAATGGTTGAATTCCGTCGTTGATAAATCTACATATTTATTCGAGTCGAGCCATCATATTCACATTGCCATCTAAGGGGAACGATTTCGCATCAAATACCCTTATTCTATATCGGCAACCTTCCACTTAGAAGGCCAAGTATTTTCAGGTACAGGGATCCAGTGGCAAAAAACTTACCATTTTGCATCCGGGAGTTATCAAAAAATGTAGCAGAATACCTCCCTCTCCAAGTGAAAAAACCCAATTTCAAAAGCGCGCCCGCTATTTTTTTTGTAAGGGAAAGGGCGCGCCGTTCAAAACGGAGTTTTTTAGTTGGAGAGGGAGGCATTTTGCTACATTTTTTGATACTTTCCGGATGCAAAATTATACGTTTTTTGCCACTGGATCAAGTCCATCACTATAGAGTTGCATAAGGTATTTTAAATATGGTATTTGGCGCAGACAACACCGCAAGACCAGAGCCAATCTCGTTGAATCCTTTTCAACGAGGAAAGAAAGTCGGTCTAACGCCTCTATGGAAAGTCTACGCACTTTATGAAAGCCTAATAGCAGATATGTAGAACTGAAAACAAAATTATCCAAAGTTTGTTTTAACATTCATTGCAACCCCATTAACTCCTCAATTCGAAGCCAGGATGGCGAAGAACGAGGCCATGACAAATGACAGCGAGCATGCAGCGGCTGACTTTCTTCCACCTTTTTTGTCTGCTCGATCCCCTTCCACCTGGCCTCCATCCGGTTTCTTTTTATTCTCAGCCAGGCCAATTTCCAGGTCACCACTGCGGGTCATGCCAATTGACAGACAGTAATGCTGCAGGAACTCGGAGCCAAACGCAAAGTCGTACGGGAAGTCGGCAGGCTTCTTCGAAAACTTGGCCTTGTATTGATCGGTCTGCAATTTACAAACACATTGACAGTTATCAGCCTGTCGGGAAAATAATGAGCACAATGTCGCTGCTGACTAACGAGGGAATGGTCTGAACTTCCCCCAGCGTTTGGGAAAATGACTAGTACAGTTGGATAGAGCATGCCAACTTTGGTAAAAAGAGCCATTTTCCAGCTGCGGAATAAGCCCGGCCGACGAGAAAAATCGACCGAAAGTTCCACAAAAATTTCCTCTTTCTCTTCCCTTGGAAAAGAAGAGCGGTGTCCGATGGTTCGGTTAGCCGAGTGGATTAAGCATCCGCTCGATATTCTTTTGGGGGTTGGTTCGATTCCGGGGTCTCGCGAAGGGCCGTGATAAGGCAGGCTTTGATAAGCAAGATCAAGCTCTAACAAACCAAAAAAAATATTTTGCCATTTTTATACGTTTTATAGGGGCATTATACCAAAACAATAATCGTCAAAGCGATGGAACGTCGAAGTAATACTGGTTTGGTGATAGACTTGACTTTGAAAAACGCAAAATAAAATTCTTTGGGTTGTTAGAGTTTGATCTTGCTCATCAAAGCCTTATCATGGTCCTTCGCGAGACCCCGGAATCGAACCAACCCCCAAAAGAATACCGAGCGGATGCCTAATCCACTCGGCTAACCGAACCATCGGACACCGCCCTTCTTTTCCGAGGGAAGAGAAATTGGAAATTTTTGTGGAACTTTCGGTCGATTTTTCTCGTCGGCCGGGCTTATTCCGCAGCTGGAAAATGGCTCTTTTTACCAAAGTTGACATGCTCTATCCGCCTGTACTAGTCATTTTCCCAAACGCTGGGGGAAGTTCAGACCATTCCCTCGTAAGATAAAAAAGACTAATGTAGGTTTAACTTACAGTCGCATTGTATTCTCCGTACTCTTTTCCAGCCAGTTCAAACGTTGTGGAGGAAACATTGAACGATATTGTCGGTAGCTCCGTATCCTTATCATATGTTCTGGCGAAATGCTTATCAAAAATGGCGTCCTCAGCGACTCCGTTTTGTCCAACCATGAATGCAATCTTCTTTTTTTCAAACTTCTCGTCTCCGATTTTAATACTGTAACGGGAAGATAATACACTTTTTTTCAAAAGTTCGTAGACTTGTTGTGTCAAGGATTTTCAATTTAAAAATCGCCGCGACATAAGTCTTTTTCAAGAACACCTTTTGTCGCGGCGTGCGCACTTTTGAAAAAAGCGTAAAAATGGACTGAATAAAGACAACTCGTTTAACCCACTCAGCCTCAAACGTCCAGGATTTCTGATCCGTATTTGCAGTGGTGAAGCTGCCGCATCGCCCGCTCTCCAGATTCCCGATGGCTATTAAACCGCTGGCGTCTGCGTCGCCTTTCATCTCTTTGTTTTTCTGAAATTAGTAGTAGTTTTGAGGCCGTTGAAACTTTGTTCATAAAAATTTGTCAGTCATCGCTCAAATGAAAGCCTTTCATGGATTCTTTACCTTTGCCAGTTCCTTCCAGCTCTCCTGGATGACGAGCTGCTTAGCGCTCAGACTCTCCGCATTCAACAATTTTTTGATGATGCTGCTCTGTTCGTCCTCACTGTCCCGGGCCGGCGCCAATCCGAGAACGCCGGAATAGAGCCAAGGGACTTGGGGGTTGGCCGAAGTGGCGGCAACCACATTGACCGTAAACTCGATTTCAAGTGTTAGGGTCTCCCGGTACCATTTTCCTTGTAACTCATAGTTGCCGTATTTTTTGTCGTCTTTAAATTCTTTTAATTCCTTTGCGCTGAAAAGAATTGGTGAGACTATCAGTCAGCCGGGAAAATAATGAGTACGAGTCGCATCCGAAGATCGCATCGCCGCCGAGAAAGTGAACTGTGTCGCGGCGTAATCAAATTGCATTGCAGTTCAGCGACGCGACCGTCGCAACGACGCTGTGTTCATTATCAGTCTGTCGGGAAAATAACGGCGGATCGTCGCGCCTTGGAATCGCCCATCATCGCTTTGCGACTGCAAGCCGCGGCTTGGGATTTGGTGCGCGATAGCGGCGAGGCGAGACATTTTGTTGCGACGATCCGCCGTTATTTTTCCGACAGACCGATATTTTTCGACGGAGGGATACTACTCGGTCGAGAAGGTTGTCACGATTCCGTGAGAATTTCCCAAGAATTCGCCGACAAATATTGTGAGAAAATGTAATGGTCGGGGTCGCTTTTCGGTCACTTTTTGTTTCCCTCGCGAATAAGCGTCATCTCACGTCAATCCAAAATAGAATTAGAAATTTCCCGCCCTTTTTGGTGATTCGTTCAAAACGAAACGTCACTATCCGATAAAAAGCATTTTCTTCCCTCTCTTCTTCCTTTTCGAGAAAAAGGAATTATTTCGGGCGAGAAAAAGTGCCGATAATTTTATGACATTTCGTCTCTCTGTTAAATCAAAAAAAAACGATACGAAGTTTCGAAACGGTTCAGGAAATGCGTTGGATTCACGTTCGTCTGTGATGGTCGGCTCTCATTTACCCGTCTGGTCGAGTGGATTCAATGAAAATGAGCCCAGCCTTGTGTCTTTTTTTCAGCTAACAATCTATCTGCTAGGGCTTAGCCTGGTTTACTATTCGTGAAGACAAGCTAGGGGCCTTCACTCCTTGACCCATGCAGTTAGGGACAATGTGCAGATTTTTTGTCGGCCTTTTTTTCGCTGCAGCTTCCTGTTCCCTCCATCCGTTTCAAAACATTTTCCACTGGTAATTTCTTTCTCTGCGTCCAAAGTTTGCGCCAATTTCGTTGAGAAAAGGTTGCGTCGCAGCGATATTGGACTTGCACGGTGCAAGAGGAAGTTTTATTTTCTCACAGTCCATGTCACAAAAATCACTCCGGAAAGTTTGCAAACAGACTAGGCAGCATCAATGAACAGAACTGGAGCCTTAAGGCACTCTGCACGCAAAAAATGCAAGTTTTCGCAGTCCACCAAAAATTTAATCATACGGTGGTTCGACGTACCTCGGCTTATACGTTGTAACTCCGTCGACAACGGCCGAACACTTTGCTGCCTTGCAATCGTCATGGAGGAAGACGGAGTAGGGACGGTTGAGGTCGAGTTGTGCTCGCAAGTAAGTTTTTCCAAGCGCGGGAGCGATAAATACAGGTTTGTCTAAATACACATAATTGAAAAAATGGAGTTTGTCATTTTACAGCATAAGAAGAATAAAAAAAAACTGTTTTTTGGCTCGTGCCACGGAAGCGCGCCGGAATAATTGAAAACAGTAAAGTAAACACATAATTATTACGATAGAATATCACCAAAATTCTCTTTGTTATTAGTACAACGTGTATGTTGTACGAATAGCAAAAGTAATTTTCTGGACGTTCGTTTCCCAAGACGTAAATAAAAAGACTGGTTTAAATGCTTACTTGAGCCCTTCGACTGATCTCCCAAAACAGCAGCCACAAAATACAGTAAGATAGCGAAATGACAAACGTCCATGATGAACCGACTTTGTTGTAAAAACCGCGGGCTTTTATGACAGCCCTACTAAAGACTTATAAGGTGTGTTAAAATCGCCAATAATCCTGATAAGCCGCTTCCTTTGTTTTGGAGCTTGAAAATCGGCGATATCATAACAAAGTCATTGTTTTGCATCGCCGCTCCCATGTCTCAGGAATGCACGGTGGACGTAAAAAATACCACGAAATGCGCTATAGGGCCACTACAGCCATGTGCGAATTACGGCTTTTACGAGGGTTGAGGCGAGATGCCAAAAAAGTGCTTTCTCCCTGCAGCGAAAAAAGAGCCGGCATGCTGCAATAATCACTGCATAAAAATTATGGATCTTTGTTTTTCAGAATAAGGTTTAGTCTCCTCCATCTTACAATAACCTAGGGTTAAGAAAACTAGGGTAAACAGTAGTTAAAATTAAAGAAAGTTGTTATATTGTAAGTCTTCGCTGAGCCTTTGCCGAACATCCGCCGAGCATTGAACAGCTTCTGCGGGCCACTTTGGCACCACCTCTATCTTTTTTTCAGTTCTCCGTCTGTCCTATGTTTGTATCGACCGATTTTGTGTTCACCCGAACTGTCGTACACCCGAAAAGTCGGACGCGAAAATAAGTATGTATTATGGCACTCCTTCCTTTGTTATGATTTTCTGAATAGCCTCTTTAGCATACAAACATGTATGCTCATCTTATCAAAGATGTTGTTCGGATACGTCTAAATCACCAAGGCAAAGCGAATGCGGATATTCTCAGTCTGTCGGAAAAATAGTGAGCACTCTGTCGCATCGAAAATCGTATCGCCGTCGAGAAAAGGAATAGCGTCGCGTCAAACTCAAATTGCATTTCACAGGGCGCAGCTAGGGGGGACTGGGGGGAGGTAAACATTTTGTAAATACGTAGTGACCCAATTTTAAAAGTTCGACGTAGGGCGGTGTATCTATCTGTCCGTTTCAACATTTGTAAGTTCGAGAAGCCGAAATGCCAATGAACCTGTTTACAACCTCTAGTCAAAGCTTTATTTACCCTGATATTATAATACAGGGTGGGGCATCTTTGTGGCCGGGTTTGAATGGGCTATAACTTCTTTAGTCTTTGGCCAAATCTTAAATTTCTTTTTTTCCCTGAATCGTCAGACAACCCCATTTTGTTTGATACCAAATACTTATACATAGATAAGTGTCATCTACAGTTATTGGATTTGTTCTTGTAGTTCGTTTTTTTCGGTTGGTTTTTCGGTCTTTCCCGGTGTTTACGAAAATGGAGTACGGTGTGGAAGAAAAACTACACCGTTTCAAAAGTGCTTAGACTTTGTGTCGCAAGTTTTCCTCGCTCTACAGTATACGCACTTTTTAAGAAGGCGTAGTATTAAAATGTAATAACTATTGTCCTTATTGAGTTTACATATTTATTCTCAGAAGCTCAAATAGGACAAAAATTAGCGAGCAAAGACCTATCCCTACAAAACATCGTACTATTTCAAAACCCTCTAGCGTCATTATTGGATTAAACCTCGGATTCAATTAGACACAACTTCGGCTCTGGAATTGTGTTAGCCCGAAAACGTGCGGCTCCCCTAAAGGTTACCGTGTTTCATCGCATTTTTGTAACTCTACGTGATTAATGGAACCGCAGATTTTTCTATTTGTTGCTGGATACGTAGCAAAAACCTTTTCCTCATTGTTCGCGATTATTGCGTTGCACTTTCTAACGCAAAAAGGGCAACCGGACACGGCGAGGTTGTACAGACGCTCGCTGGTGTGGACGATTTCGATCGATTTATTGTATTCCACATGTGGGCTGCTGTTTTATCCGGTAAGTGAAGTGTAAATTCTAGTTGGTTTTTTGCTGTCAGTCTGTCGGGAAAATAATGGGGACCATGTCGCTACGCCGATTGCGTCACTGAGGTAAAAAGCAGTTTTCATAAAAATTTTAAAAAATAAAATAATGGCGACAGAGTCCCCATTATTCTCCCGACAGACTGGTGGGGCGCCGCGACCCTTGCGGGCAACCACCTTGCGGGTAGCCGACATTTACTTATCAGAATCTACCGTAATCTCTGTAGTGTATAATAGAAATTTTGCATTGGCAACTCCCTGGTACTGGCAAGTGCACTAATGTACTGCATAAAATCATTCACCGCTTTCGAAGTTACTGTTTCCAAAAAATCAAAGTTTCTGAACGTTTAGAAATGCCTGGTTCATGGTGACATTGTGAATAAATACTTGCCAATACAGTGGCGGATCTGATTCAGCGGCAAAAAACGTACCATTATGCATTCGGGAAGTATCAAAAAATGTGGCGAAATGACTCCCTCTCCAAGTGAAAAAACTCCAATTTGAAAAACGCATCCGCTCTTTCTTGTGGACGGTGCGGCTTTCAAGACGGATTTTTTTCAGTTGGAGAGGGATATTTTGCAACATTGTTTGATACTTTCCGGATGGTGCGTTTTTTTGCCACTAGATCAGGTCCTCCACTGTAACTATTCCAGTCATCGCTTGGAAACTTTGTTCGCAGCATCTAACTGCCAAATCCATTGTTACAATTTCCTGTTATAAGCAACTGTTGGCTGATTTCCAAACATATCCGCAGAATCTTTGTGGCTCTGCCATCAAGTGGTGGCCCGCAGGTGTAAGGAAAAAGCAATTCGATTTTGCCGCGACACAATTCATTATCTCGGCAGCGATATGGTTTTCGATGCAACGCGCTCGTTATTTTCCCGACAGACAGTTAGGGGCCTCCAAAAATAGCCCTCACATTCCCTGCCATGCAAAATTCATTTTCAGATCGTGAACTTTGAAGCGGACACGGTCATCTTCGAGTTCATGGCCTTCCACTTTCTGCATCTGGGCCACCGCACCGCCGCGTTCACCGAAGGCGCCCTGCTGATCCTCGTCGTCATTGTGTTGCCGATTCAGGCCGTCGTTCGGTACGGGAATTTGCGGTCGAAGCCGCTGAGCAGTGCCCAGCTCGATGGGATGTTTATTTTTTGCATTTTCATCGCCATTTTGTATGGACTCCTCACAAGCGCCGCCGTAAGTCCATGGGAGCCGCCGAATCTTCCTGCCGACGCATATCCTCAGGTGATTGTGGTGGTGCAGCTGGTAAGAGGTTCGAAATTCATCCGATAGATATCGAAAATCTTTTAGAATGCGGCCATTTCAAGGGCGATGACATTTGTCTGTGTGTTCCTCGTTATCACAACGTACGCGTTGATTGTCATCTATACGTTGAAGGCGAGGATGTTGATGAAGACTATGCAACGGGTTATTAGCAACGAAACGAAGAGGTTGCAGGCGAGAATGAGGAAGTTGATTATCATTCAGGTAAACCGTAGCGTCTTTTTTAAAACAGTTTTTTACAAACTGAAGGGGCCCGGACATTGTTGCAACGACCAAATTTCTTGAAACTTGGCCAGTAGAAGGGCTGGGCATGCTGACAAAAAGCGATATCGGGTTTTGCGAAATTTCACCCATTGTCACGACTTAGTCGTGGTGTAAGATGGCCCTGAACTTGCCCGCTACTACTAGTATTCACTACCCTCTGATAACCCGGAGACACAGACTAGAGGACTCTGGCAATAAAACTGTGAACTCACGATATTGACTCCAGACGATGTGACCACCATACAACAACAATAGACTACAGTAGACAATACAACGGTTTTTTGCACACAACACAACCGGGAAAAGGCAAAACACAAATTAATACTGATTGGGCGATTTCTCTTCTTTATATACCAATTTGTCGGTCATTCCGTGGGAATATGCAAATTCACACGCGAAGTCGTGACACCATTCCGGGATTACTGTAACAGTTTGTATTTTATAAAGTGGCGGTTGCTGTGGGCCGGGTGAGGGCTCTATGAGTCCAAAACTTTTTGTGGTGCTGTTTTCGACCATGTCAAACATTTTCCTAATCAATCAGACCAATATAGTTTTTCAGACCGTATTCCCTTTATTTTGCCTTGTCACTCCGACATTTCTCCTCGGCGCCTACCCGTATTTGGACCTCAAAAATTACACGCATCTGCTCAATGACTTCTGCACAACTTGCTTTATCTGGATATCGCTGTTCAACCCTCTGTCCGTCATAATGCTGATGCCGCAATATCGGCGAAAATTTTTTAGAGCGCTATGTTGGGGAACAAGTCCAAAATCGCCAGCGGCAACAATGGTGACCTCGATTGCAGAGGCGCAGACGGTTCGAAGACAGTAGTATAGGAGGTTAAGGTTCTAACAAAGTATAATATGTTACTTGATAAAGACCCGGTTGATGCTCAAATAAAGCGCTGAAAAAGTAATTACTAACAAGGGAGGTCACTTTTTTCGCAGGCGGACTTTGGAACGGGACCTAGTAGGTTTCAAACATGAAGTGTAAGATATATTTATTCGTCGAATCACCAACAACAAAGTAAATCACACAAATACCAGCGAGGTGAGGACAGCGAAACGGGTTACTTGTCCGCCTCAGATACAACCGAACAACTGAAGAGAATATTCCAAGTGAGACGTCTAACCGACCCATCGGTGCGGCATGCCAATGAACGGTGGTGTTTTCGTGGCGGGACGCAGACGAAAGCTGGGTGTTCTAGTTGAATGGCAGAGGATTGCACGGGGAATGTGGTTCTGTTGGGGCTGTCCTGGTCCTACGCTCAGATTTTTTTAAAATTTGTACACATGTCAAGCATAGAAATTCTTGAAAATTTTTGCTTGCGCTTTGCTGGCGACTCCGGGATATTACACGATATTTGAGACAGCACATAAAACGCGGAGAGCGTTCAGAAAGAAAAACACCCTTTGGCCATATAATTGTCAGTTTTATGCGGAAAAAATTGATTTTTAGAGGAAACATTATGCTCTACGGTAAAAAAAGTATGGAAATTTTCGCGCCAAAATTTGCAAAAAAAGCGTTCCATTTTAACCAGTTTTTAATCTAAAAAATCTCAGCAATTTCTGCATAGCGTGAGCTAGGCGTCCCGCACATGCCTTAAAAAAACCTTTGCCAAATTTGTCTCAAGTTCCACCAAAAACATAAATATATTTTTATTGCCAACAATCGCCATTGTTTACTCTTGTATACCCAAATTTTTTCTTATATGTTCACTCTATATAAAAGACCTGTACCTCCTTTGTTTTCGCCTCCCAAAAACGGAACTTTGGACAGGTGTGTTCATTCGGGTTTAACAAATATTTGTACAAGTTCCGGCACTTGAGCTCGCCGTAAACGCAAAAACCCGGGCAAAGGGCGACTGGGGCGCTAGGTGGTTTTTGCATTTGGGATTTGTTTATAAACTTTACATAAGGATGAAGGGTGTTGAGACGGAACATGAGGTTTTGAACTTTATTTTTTTTTGTTTTTTTAAAGAAGGAAATTTTTTGGAATAAAAAATATTTTTTAACAAGAATGCTCTTTAAAATTTTATTATATTTATTAATTTTTTTGGAAAATATTTTTTAATAAAAATGAATTCAAAAAGCTCTTTATATACGCCAATTAAAACATAAAAAGAAAATCTTGTTTTTTGAAAACATTTTTTATACAAAAACTGCTAAAAAAGAGGCACAAAATTAAATTTTTTTTTATTGAAATTTTAATTTTTTTATGTATTTAAAAAGCGTATTTTTTACTGAAAAATATTTTTAAATAAAATTCGATTTTGCGACTTTTTAAAGTTTTATGAAAACTTTGAAAATTTTAAGGCCAATATTTTTTTTATTTAATTTTTTGGAAAATAAATTTTAATAAACGTGAATTCAAAAAGTTCTTTATTTACCCTAATTTAAAAAAAAAGTAAAAAGAAAAATTTTGTTTTTTGGTGCGTTTGAAAAACATTTTTTTTAAGAAAAAAAAACTTCCGAAAAATCAAAAAATTCAATTTTGCTTTTTATTTAATTTATTGTAAAATATTTTTTAAGTTTTTAAAACTATTATGGTATTAAAAAAAGAAAAAAAAATATTTCTTATTATTTATGTTTTTCAAAAAGAATTTTTTATACAAACATGCTAAAAAATTTTTGCTGATTTTTTTATTTTTATTTAATATTGATTTATATAAAAAAAGAAATCAATCTGAAATCTACTCCAAATAATTTGAAATTCAAAATGTCCTTCCTCAATAACAATAAGCGATTACGAATTCATCCCTCGTAAGCCGTTTCCTTTTAATTTTCGCTCGAAATCAGACCCCTTCCGAAAATCGCGCGGTTTTAAATTGCTTGCGGAGACGAGTATTCATATTGGCAGGTAATGAGGGCCATTTTCGGAAATGCATCATCGCTTTTGTTGCGTTTTATTTTCGCAAGATTTTGTGGGATTTTCAGCGTTTATTAATGCGATTTTTTTGGGTATATTTGGCAACCCCTACCGAGATATTGAACGACAAAAAGTATGCTCATGTTTTGACCACTGGCCATTATTTATTTTCGAGGCGGTCTTCGAAACCCTTAAGTGAACTGTAAACTTGATACTCCCCTTATTTCGACTATTTGACACTCTAAGCCCGCTTCCTTCCGTCTTTTAGGCTCTATTTTCTCTTCTTTGTTTTCGCCGTTGATTCATCTTCAACGCAAATAGTCGCCTTCTGTGGGGCCGGACAAATAAGTAATGGGCATTTTAAGCATTTCTATATTTTTATTCACCGGGTTTGAGTTTGAAAAACCAAAAAAATTAAAAAATTTTTTTTTTGATTTTTTTGGAAAAATTTATTTTTTTGGCTACTGCAATGTTTTTTTTAAAAATTTTGCATACATACTCTGTATGTGTCATACATCGATTCCTGAAAATTTCAGCTTAAACTTTGCAAGGACCGCCAAGATATTCAACGATCTTTTTGGCGAGATAACACGCAAAATGAAGAGAGTCGGCCAGACAAAAAAATGAGCTTTGCCTTTTTATAAATGACGTTATAAGTTGTGCTCGGTAAAAATTGATTTTTCTGTTGAAAATTTTTTACCTTGCAAGGAAAATCTAATGATTTTGAAGGCTAAAATTAGCTCCCAAAAATTTTTTTTTTCAAGTTTTTTTTTGCATTTTACCTCTTTACAGCAAAACCTGTCTATATATAACAAAAATTTCCGAGGCTCTAAGAGTCAATGTTATGCCAAAATGAACCTCAACGCAAAAAAAATCCTTTTATAAAAAATCATTTTTTTCGGTTGCTGAATATTTGTTGTACAGATGTTTCACTGTATTTTTCCATCCATATAATAGATCCCATGTTTCCTAAACGCACTTTTTCTCATTTCATAACCAATAAAAATTTCCCACGATCCCCCGGCGAAAACAGGTCGTCATATCAACACGTCCCCTAAAAATTTGCCAAGTTTGGCCAAACTTTTTTGGAGACAAAAAAGAGCTATATTATGGTAGGTGGGAAGCGCCGAAGTTTTTTTTTGTTGAAAAAGTTTTGGTTTTTACGAAATTTGGGGGCTTTTTTGAGGCTAAATTATGTACAATGAGACCTCTCTGCAACAAACCGCAAGGAATCCAAAAAAAATTTCGTTATAGAAAGGTTTTCTTCTTTGGATAGTCATTTTGGTCTAACAAGATTTTTTTACTGAGATAAAGCATAAAATGCGGAGAGAAGTTAGAGAAAAAAAGGTGTTTTGACCAAGTTTAGGAAAGTTTGCTGTAAGCAAGTTATGAAAAAAAATGATTTTTGTGATCAATCTGTCGGGAAAATAATGTTGATTTGTGGTCTCAAAATTTCTCATTTTGTCGTAGCCGTAAATCGCCAGCCGTCGCAAAGCGATGATGGGCGATTCCAAGGCTCGACGAATCCAGATTACTTTCCCGACAAAGCCAAAATGTTGCTTGTGAAAGTCAACCGGTAAAAAAATTTTTTTTTGGATGTGATTCAGAGTCTCTGTTAGCGAACCCGCACACAGCAAGACCTGGCTATAACAAGCAATTTCCGATCTCCTAAAAGTCAATTTTAGGCCAAAATCTCCGCAAAAATTAAGATTAGAGGAATTGATCTAAATTTCATCAATTTTTACAATGTTTGAACATGTCATTTGAAGAAAAGATTCCATAAATCAGCCCCCTTCTCAATCCCAAAATTCGTACGAATTTTAAACCGCAACCTTGAAGACTCATGGCAGATGTTTTCCAAGGCGTTTTAAAGCGTCTAATATGTCTAATTTTTATTGGAGAGGCGTTTTTTACAAGCTCCACTCTCTCTGCTCAATTACAGAGCGGTTTCGGACATATGTTCATTAATTTTTGGGAGGGATCGCTTGATTTCTTCTTTGCAAAATTGGTTGTGATGTAAGAGTGGACACTTGAGGAGAGCAGCAAATTTTTTTGTAGGATTTTATGCGGATTTCAAAGATTTGTTGCAGATAACTTGAACATATTGGGCAAATTTTATAGAAATTGGATTTTTGTGGACTTCACAGATTGCCCGAGGGCGGGCTAGTCAAAGAAATTTATTTATTCGGATACGGAAATTTAGAGATCTCTATAAAATTTATTTTTAATTTATATAGTCTGGTTGACTATTTCTTAAGTTATTGACCAGAGGAGGACATTTCTGGCCAATAAAGGTGACGTGCGTGTTTTAGTCAAGGCTAGCTAGTGGTCAGTTGTTTCAAAATCAATTAGCAAGTTTGTTTATGGGGCCCTAATTTTTACCCCAGTTTTTGGTTGCCTTGTTGGTGCTGCACAGCAGGATGGGTCAAGTTTATCTCCCCATGTGTCAAGTCAACCCTTTAATTTTATTTTTTGGATCAAATTTTATTACTTTCATTGCTCTGATAAAAGCTCTTTTCTTAATGTAAATAGTCAGTTTAACTCATCCATATTATGACTTGACATAAGAGGATAAGCTTGACGCATCTTGCGATGCACTATTCAAAATTCAAATTTTTGGAAAGCCGTACGGACACAGTAATCTTGAAAATTACATGGCTCAAAAATGGGTGCGTCTAAGATCAATTTGATATATCATTGACAAACAACGGGCCATTGACTGTCGAGTTATAGTAAAGACAAGCTTATTAACTCATTACTTGCGGCATTTTTGCTCATTATTTTCCTGACAGATTGATGTAATCGCTTTTATTTTTGATACCTAAATACCTCGTTTGCCAAACTTTCCAATATTTTTACAATGCCCTTTGCACTTCTTTAGTGACTTTATAATGACCGCAAGTTGTTGTAAAAAACGCAATTTGCCACAATTTTTTTTATTTCTCCTTTCTTCTCCCCGATTC